TTCATAAAAGTGATTATGGTATTCTTATAAAAAACTTTATTCTTGTAGAAATACTGGAAGCGAAATACAAAATACAAACCCGCTGGCTCACAACTGCAAACGCTTTCTTTCATCCAAGCACTTATGAATACAATTCACTCGACCGCAATAATGAGGCTCCTGAAGAATGAAGAGCATTCGACCTACTATTGCTAAAAGCTGAATTGGGCTGCACTAATCTAATCGTGCAAACATTAGTTTTACCAACCATTCAGCACGTATTGTTGTTGAGAGATATAATAGCCCGTTTGCTTTTCGTCGCTACTAAAATATTAGGTTCGCTAACAAGCATAAGAGATAGATATATACACCATTGAAACTCGAGCCATACTCGGCTAATATAGTTTGCAAAGTAAATTCGAGAGAACGACGAAAAACGCGATATGGTTACGGAAAATAACGCACGATTTTTACGGCCAATTTATCTTAGTAATCAAGTTGTACGCTTCGCTGATTTGTGAGTTCACTCGAGTGAAAGTTTGGGCAGTAAATCCAGCAATAAAATTGGGTCACTTATAATAGTCGGATTCAATTTTATTGCGGCATTCTCGTATTATGAGCGTACGGACCGACCAGGGCATGGAAGACGGATAAGCTGTTTGGGATCTTTTGTACTAAACCACCGCCACTAATGCAAAAATGTGAGATTTGAGAAAAACACCACCGCCGTGTTTTAAATAACGACTTAGAAACTATCCAGTTAGGGTTAGAAATGATTTTAAAATCTGAATTTGCAAGCGCAATCTTCATTCCTAACCCTTACTGAATAACTACTAGTTTTTCTTTTTTGATCGTTGGCGGGGCTTTGTACAAAAGATCAGCAGTTTGTTTAGCAAGCATGCAGTTCTTACTTACTAATAAAGCATGGCCCATTCATGGACACCTCAAACGCATATTTTACTTAAATTTTCAATATAGCTCCCTAAATCGTTTATTTGTGATATTTTAATCATTGACCTCGTGTTGTTTGCTCTACTAAACCAATTATTTATGGTAATCTTTATAAACGGCGAGATATTTCTCTGTTAATAACAAAAGGAATCGGATCTCTTGTACCAAGCCTGCAATAAAATTGGGTCACTTATATGAGTTGTCTTCACTTTTGTTGCAGCATTTTTGTATTATAAGCATACGGGCCCATAACAGTGCAAAAGTATAGAAACGGATAAGCTGTTTGGGATTATTGTACAAAACCACCGCCACTAATGCAAAAATGTGAGATTTGAGAAAAACGCCACCGCCGTGTTTTAAACTAACGAATTAGTAACTATCCAGTTAGGGTTATAAATGATTTTAAAATTTGAATTTGCAAGCGCAATCTGCATTCTTATCCCTAACTGAATATTTACTAGTTTTCCTATTTTGATCGTTGGCGGGGCTTTGTACAAAATATCAGCAGTTTGTCTAGCAAACATACAGTTCTTACTTACTATTAAAGCATAGCCCATTCAAGGACACATCATGCGCATATGTATGTTACTTAACTTTTCATGCTCCCAAATCGACTATTTGCGATTTTTTAATCGTTGACCTCGTGTTGTTTGCTCAATTAACCCAATTCTTCGAGGTTCTTTATAAACAGCGAAATATTTTCTACGTTAATACCGCCGGAGAACTGATAACAATCATTTACGATGACATAGAATGCAAAAAAGCATTGGAAATCTGCGATTATCACAGTCTGAGTTTTTGACCCTCGGGTTAGCTCTCGCGTCAAAAGGAATCGGATCTTTTGTACCAAATCCCTGCCAAAAAAAACACCCCCAATCAATAGGAAAATCAATAATTATACAGTTAAGATCAAAAATTCAGAATGCGCTGGAAAATTAAAATTTTAAAGCATTCAAAACCCTATCTCTAACGCCAACTGGATAATTACTTAAAAATTTGGGAGGGGTATTTCTCTCAAATCTCATATTTTTTTACATTGGTAGGGGCTTTGAACGAAAGGTCCGAGCAATCATCTTAACAACATGAGCACCATGCACAATTAATTATAACGTTAAAAAAGCATTAAAATGAAATGGTAATTAACCAAACAAAATAATAACCGTAATTGGAGTGATATCTCATATTAAGTTTGTGTTCCGTGTGTGGTATTCGCCATTCTTTTCCAATGTAGCTGGAATCATGAAATTCTAACTATGTCGTGAAACTAATTGCGAGTGTTAACGAGGGCTTCGTCGACAGAAATTAGATTTTAAGGTCGTATCGCTACCACCTAGCCATTTACGGAAACTGATCATATGTACCCTTCCTAAAGTATCATATGAAGACGGGAGCTAGATCCCCCCAAATCAAGTAGGGAAGGTCCACAAACACTAATGTGTTAAATGAAGATCCTCTCTCCTCTCAGGATAGAATATACCTGAAGTCCAAACCACTACCAAGTAGCGAGGATCCTTTTTTGATCCCGGAACATTTCGTTTATTATATGTATATATATACATTTACACTGTGTTTTGCAGTTTTAAATATCAAAATAAACCTCAATTATCCCTCTGGTTAATCCAATAGTTCCCTACCTTTTTGATAAATTCATCATTTGCTTATTATCCGTGAAGCAACTGTGAAAGAGACGCATTTGTAACTTTGATAATGCGGTCTATGCTATAATAACGTTTAAAGACCAGACGGTCAACGACCTTCGATTCCATTTCGAGAGAACAAGGTAGGCGTGCGAACATTCATTGTTACATGATATTCTCCTAATATGGTTTTATCATGAATCGACCGAGAATTACTCTCGATCTCCCTAGCGTTATATAGAATAGATTGAGAAATGTTTCAATTACGAGGCGTGGAAAATGTAAGATGAGAAATCTACAATACGTGGGATGGAGAAACCAACTTTGATTCTGGGAACCAACATAGGCAGGCCCGATTTAGCTGGGACAGTCCCAGAGAAATCTACAATACGTGGGATGGAGAAACCAACTTTGATTCTGGGAACCAACATAGGCAGGCCCGATTTAGCTGGGACAGTCCCAGAGAAATCTACAATACGTGGGATGGAGAAACCAACTTTGATTCTGGGAACCAACATAGGCAGGCCCGATTTAGCTGGGACAGTCCCAGAGAAATCTACAATACGTGGGATGGAGAAACCAACTTTGATTCTGGGAACCAACATAGGCAGGCCCGATTTAGCTGGGACAGTCCCGGTTTTAGCAAGTTTTTCCGCCTTCCCGGCGGTAGACCTAGATGTCCCGGTTATTAGTGTGGCAGTGATAAAAAAAAATTCTATTTGGTACTATACAAAATTGTTTTTTTAACGGAGGTACCGATTCACCACTGATTTGTGTCTCACTTCACTAGTTCAGATAGTGAAAAAATTGTTATATCATAGTTATGATGTGAAGTACGAACCATGCGTTAATTCAACAACCACCTGTACTGTCGGTAAATCACCAAAATGCCGGGAACAACGTGCAAGTTTTCTAATTAGCTGAACGTTTTTCATTACTTGAAGCAAAGATTTATAGAGAATATTTGGCACTCCTGAAGTATGCGCACCAAGATGTCGCACAACCTGAACCCTAACCTGGTACACAACCTGAGTTCAGGTTTGCGCCAGCGTGGTGCGCATACTTCAGGAGGTCCGGATATTTTAATAGGATTTACAGCTAATTTTGATGCCCGTAATCTACCGCAAATGATTATGATTACTATGATTACTTACCGATTAAAATCGATAAGTCGATTCGATAAGACTTTGCGTCATGTGTAGAAATTGAGAAATTTGAGACCCTTTTTCACTAAGATCACATTTGTAAATAAAAAATCTTGCACAAAATAATGCACAATTAATACCTTGGACCGCACTTTACGAATTCTTTATTTACGAAATTAAGGTTAAAACTTTACAAAAGTTATTTCTCCTAAATAACCGCATTCTGAATTTTGCCTTTGCTGTCGTCTAGCGGTGTAAATTTAATAAATTAAAAATTTGATTGACATCTCGCATGAATTGTCTGGGGAACTCCCTTCCAATGCCTCTTTGCTTGCTGTGAATTTTCACTCTCGCTATGTTTGTATTTCGCATTCTGGGACCGAATTATCTACAATTTAGAAGGGGTTTGAATACAAAACTGCTACAACATGTCCGGCCGTTAAGCAACTCATCGCCCTTTTACAAGGGAAATGCAACAGTTAGAAATTGCAAAGCAAAAATCTCAGGCAAGACGCCAAGAAGAGCTGTTTTGTATGTTCCCGGGAACGACGAAAGAAAAATTGAAAAAATCGCAACTCTGAAAGTGGATTGTGTCGTGCTTGACTGTGAAGACGGTGTTGCAAATAACCGCAAAGAAGATGCCAGAAATACCATTGCGAAATGTATACCGAATTTGCTAAAAACTTCAAAAAGTGAAATATGTGCCAGGGTGAATTCTGTGAGCAGTGGACTGTATCAAGAAGATTTAGAAACTATTTTTAAAAATAAATTTATGCCGCAAGCTGTGATGTTGCCTAAGGTAGAAAAATGGCAAGAAATTGAAACGTTTTTTGATTCTATCAATCCAATATTGAAACCAAGACAACACTCTGTTGTAAAATTAGTAATTTTTATTGAAACTGCTCTTGGGTTGATAAATCTGAAAGAAATTATTGAAAGTACAATTGCAAACTCATGCACTACAAATTTGTTATTTGAAGGAATTGTTTTTGGCTCAGATGATTTCTGCGCGAGCATTGGGGTTGAAAGAACAAAAAATTCAGATGAACTTCATTACGCTCGTCAAAAAATTATTGCTAACGCAAAAGCATATGACCTACAAGCTATAGATATGGTACACATTGACTACAAAGACCATGAAGGGTTAGAAACCCAATCTATTGAAGGAGCAAGCATGGGATTCACAGGGAAACAAGTAATTCACCCTGGGCAAATAGAAATTGTTCAAAAGTGCTTTTCTCCTAGTGTAGACAGAATAAAATGGGCACAAGAACTTATTCAAGCATTTAACGAGCATCAAAAACTTGGTCAGGGTGCTTTTACTTTTCATGGACGCATGATTGACATGCCTTTGCTAAGACAAGCTGAAAGCGTTGTTGATATGAGTCTGAAACTAGAAAATAATAATTGAACGGAATTAACAAATGATTATTTAATCACAAATTGTCACCATCAATTATTGAAAAGTGTATGGTCTGAAGTACAAATAATCTAACGCCAACTGAATGAAATTTTCCCATTTATGCTTTCTCGGTTTTTGCCGTTAAATGTTAAATCATACTAAAATGAAGTTTTTTGGACTGTCTTCAGTATGGCACAGTTCTCGGATTCCAAGAATAGCTCCCACACTAGAAGATATGAGTTACAACAGTGTGTACAAGCCCCTCCTTTACGAGACAGTCTGGGCCTTCATACCGACAAAAATTTGCAAACTCGCACTGCGCTACAAACTAAACATAAGCGCAATCTAAAATGTTACTATTGAATTCTTCTGTAGCATTTGATAGTTTTCAGCAAAAAAACATAATTTTAGTTAATTAGATTAATATTATTTGGATGAGCATGGAGCGATCTGACGCATCTGCCCCCATGCCGATGCCCTTGTTTCAGAGACAAATTGATTGTTTGTTTCATTGAACCAAATGTCGGGACTATTTGGAATCAGGGAACTGTGTCATACTAGTCTTGGACTCCAGCATCACTGAAGTGTAGGAGATCATAATTATGTCATGTTGATTAATTAGCATCAATGCCATTTTACACTTGATTGATTTTTGAGAAGATCGAATCATACAAGATTAGGCTACATGATTTACTGAATATAATAGTACTATCTTGTATTGATTTTTCTACCTCGGGGCGGGCCAAATGTGGCCCACAAGTGGAAATTGTGCCTCCCCCGGAGAAGTGTCAATTTTGAATGATGTTCGGCCCGCTAAACAATTTTAGTTTGTTCTGGTACATGCGAGTAATTCCAATCACTTTGCGTTACAAACCTTATACCTGAGTCCAATTTATTCTCTATTCCTATGACGTTACAATTTTTTTTGTGCCTGTAACTACTAGAAAGCATATGTTAAAGTTGTTGCCCACAGTTTCTGCAGTTATTTGTATATGACCCTCGTGTATTAAAGTTCGCACACTCCTGTTCTACATGATAACTCACTTTTTCGCTGAAACATGAGCCATTTTAATCATTGGTTATGCTAGCTTTGATAATTCAATCATGTTGTTATTTCAGAGAGTTTTCAGGATAAATGTAACAACTTGTTTTATTCTCTTTTTATCTTTATCTATTATTTCTTCTTACAATGTTAAGGGTAAATTTTGCTGATATTGAATTGGAATACGCTACTGTAGGTCATAAAATCTACCCCATTATTCATGTGTTCATTTTGATTCTGTCTAGCACAGTGGATTTCAAACCTATCAGGCTGCCCCCCCTTTTTAGAATTTGTCAAGTCTTGTGCTCCACATCAAAAATAACTAGCCAACAATAAACTGCAAATACAGATAGGCAGAAGTATGTTTTTTTTAAATAGGTTGAAAATATGTGGATGGAACATAAATATTCAAAATAAGGTGGGCAAGATTATATCCAACAAATTATTACTTATCGATTTTAATCGGTAGGTATGTTGATAGGTATTTGTCTGTATGTCTGTTAGATGCACGCGATATCTCACGAAAGCGAGATTGAATCTGCTCCAGATTTTGCATGTGCATTCAATATAGAATTTTTTAGAAAACGTGGTCATTTTATTACAGATATCTTTCTTTTTTTTTAAAACTGTAATTGAATTAAAGAAATGTAAACATGGTTTACCTGAATATTATTGAAAACACGAAGGAATCACTTATATTAGAAAGATCTCCTGGACTGCGATCATTGGCCGTTGTTTTTGGTGAGTTCATGCATAGAGTCTTTTGTTAAAGTTGGAATTTTGCCAATTAAACAGGGTGTCCATAAAATCCCTTTACAATTTCAATTTTGTTATGAAGTCAGTTCTCAAAGTATCTTAACCAGGTTTGTTGTTTTCAGTAATTGTTTGGGTATTTTTACTTCATTTAATACATCTGTGAGAGCCGAAACAATATATGGTATCGACAAATTCCCTTTATTTTATAAAATTTCAAGACTTCATGAACACCCTATAGTTTAGGCCAGTGGTTCCCAAACTGGGGTCCGCGGACCTTTTGGGGTCTGTGAAGTACTTTCGGAGGGTTCGCGAAAGAAATCTGTTATATGGGATATAGTTTGATAATACAAATATTAAGTGCTTAAATATGCAAATACACATTTGTCGCCTTTGCAATCACTGCTGGGGACACTGATTCCCCACTTTCTGTTTCGAACACGATGCCCCATTGTGATGTCACAGAGCTGTGGGCCTGTGATATCACAGAGAGAGTTCATTTATGCCATTACAAGCCAACTGGCTGCAGAGGCATGGCTGACGCTGTCTTTTTGCACGTTTGTTGGTAGTAGCCGGTGGGGAAGGAGTGTTTTTCACTATACCATACGGCGCATTAATTTTTTGTTGTGATCTTATAATGTTTCATTTTAGTGCACAAGGCCGCAAATCATTAAAAAAATTGCGAGGGGTCCAGCATGGAATTTTTTTTTAAAAAGTATGGGAACCACCGGTTTAGGCCAATGTTAATATATTTGTGTTTGTCAAGGCAATTCTTGTCCAAAGCAAAAAAGGTACGGGACATATTGATAGTATTTTTCATGTTCATTTTGTAGTACCAGGAATACTTATCGGTCATTGCTTCATCCACCATCAATTCCATGCATCTGAAGCAAATAACTGGTCGAATATACCCACAATGAGCTTGTAACTGATGCCACTTTGGTATGCGATCTCAATGGTTGTGTGATCTCAGTGATTTTAGTATTAACCTAACCCTAACCCAGCAATGACACAGTTAAGATTAGGAATTGAATTCTATGAGAATGTCTCTATAACAGAGGTGGGCTAATTACGGCCCGCAGGCCAGATCAGGTCCCAGATTGTTACATTGTGCTTCTTATTATTATATATACGTTGGACTAGTATTTGTGAAGGAATTTTTTTGGGGCTCCCGAAGTATGCGAACCAAGATGGCGGACATCGGAATGTAATATGTGTACTAGGTTAGGGTTAGGCCATAATTTTAGCTATAAATACTACGGGAGGCTCTTGGCTAGCTTTCGAACTGATAATAGGACTAAAATAAGGAAAATTGGAAAAAAATTATCGCCTAACTCTAACCTGTTACCCATGTTACGTTCCGATGTCCGCCATCTTGGTTCGCATACTTCGGGAGCACCTTATTTTTATTCATAGTTTTTCATATTGAGTTTTGTGCCTCTGTCCCAGTAACCAAGTCTCTTATCTGTAATTGGCCCACTCAGAAAAGTAATTGCCCACCCCTGCTCTATAAGACTAAACAATCGAGACAGACCGAAGTATTCTTAGGACGCTGAGATTGCATACCAAGGTGGCACCGAATAGGCCAGGGGTCGGCAACATTTTGCCGCTCGTGGGCCAAAATTGAGGGTTGCAAGTCATTGGCGGGCCGCGCATATATTTAGAAAGTTGAAAACCGAACGGATGATACTTTTTATATAATAAAGATCAAGCTGTGATACATCTCTCTAATAGAATATAAATTTATTTCCTCATTGCATTGCATCTCAAAAAATTCCATTTGAATATTTTCGGCGCCATTGGACCCTTTGCACTTAGCATCAACTTTTCTGCGTTTTGTTGCCATTTGTCTAATTATAATTAAAGGCTCATTAAACGAGTAATTGTGAATTATATACTTGTTTGGTTATAATATAATTCAGTCTAAAGAATATCATCGTCAAAACGGGTGTTTTGATAGTTATAATTCAGTGAAGCGTTGCGGGCCGGATTATATTATCCCACAGGCCGGATCCGGCCCGCGGGCTGTAGGTTGCAGACCCCTGGAATAGGCCTCCTCATTGATTTTCTCCTCACAAAATAAACATGAAAATCCTCTCCATGTTTCCAGGTATATTTGCAGCATTATCAATAGCCGCCAACCAACAGATCACAGCAGATGCAGCATGGTGGATGCCTCTCTCTATCATAGGATGTTTCTTTGTTGCCTTTTCCTGTCTAGATGAATGGGAAGTGAGTGTTTGAATTGTGCCATTTGCTAACTTTCTTTCATTTACATTTTGCCGAGGTGATTGTCATCCTATTTTCCCTCTTTATCTGACTAATGATTGTATGGCATTTTGGGTAAAACCACTGAAGGAGTATAAATAAATACTTCCATTTCGATCTGCAGACTCCTGGCCCCAGGGTACACCCCTGTTCTAATAAAATTTATTTTATGAGATTAAACGGATACTAAATTGACAAAACAACTATTTACTATTGATCATGCTAAACAAGTGAAATCATGTAGTTTTTCGGTACTCATGTGGTATGTGAACAAAGATGGCGGACACCGGAACGTAGTATGTGTACCAGGTTAGGCCATAATTTTAGGTACAAATACTACAAAAGTCACTTGGCGAATCTTCGAACTCGTAATAGTACTAAAATAAGAAAAATTGGAATAAAATTATCGCCTAACCCTAACCTGGTACACATACTATGTTCCGGTGTCCGCCATCTTGGTTCACATACTATGGAAACGCCTTTTTTTTTTATTGAATTTCTGAATCTATTTTGCGGTTCTTGTATTTGGTATTTTAAATTCTTTATTTTGAGAATAATTTTCTTAATATATTTTAATTTGAGTGATTGAATTCTCACAGTATGTTCAAGAAAGCTTTCATTTAACTTCTAGATGCAATGAATAGTATAGTTTGTTTTATTTATATTAAATAATCACACCAAAACTTATCACTTTGTGTGTATTGTCACTCAGGTTTGCAGTTTCAACAAGAAATTGAGGAAACTCACAATGACTCGGCAGAGTATTTTTGGAAAAGTCTTGAAAACAACAATAAACAAAGGTAGAGTATTAGGTTTAGGTTGTCTCCATAGTCTTCTATATAATATTTATCATCTTTGAAAAATCATTGTGCTATTCAAGAATGGATGAAATGTTTTAGCAGAAACCTATGGCTCATTCATTAATGCAGCCACCTAGTGGAGGCCTTTTCTCACGGCCCCTAGAAAACTGCTTCATTGCCCTCGTGGGAGCCAAGGGCCCAGTTGACTAGTACACTAACAACCACAAGTTTTCCTCAATTGGGTGCCGCTGCTCGATAACCAACTTTGGTTCTCCTGACTTCTCTTCCTTCGAAAGCATTTGTAATTATCATTTTCTCGCAATTTGTGTTCAAGTGATATATTTTACTGGTTGGAAAAAATAACGTAACTTGCAACTTTTTATAATTTTGTCTAGTTGTCATCGATCTTGAAACCATCACAGATGTGACTGTAGAAAGTGAGAAGATCAAATACACCGGCAAAAATGTTCATGTTGTCTGCCTGTGGAGTGGAGAAGGACACACTTATCAAATAACGAGTTGTGGGACATCTGACAGCGTCAGGTATGTATAAGGTCTTTCATAGGGAACCCTATTTTATCTTATATCTCGCTTAAAGTGCCCTCTAATCTGAACAAGGCTCTGCTAAAGCAGCCACTGCTAGGTAGGTATTCTATTCTGACAGAACAGGAATCTTGCTGGTTCCTCATTGCCTACCCAGATTATTACATTCTGGGTGTATCCTGGATTTGAACCCAAGAGGGGGCAAAGTCCAACGCTTCAACCACCAGGTCATTACCCCCTCACCCTTTAACTCATTGATTCAGGCATTTTCAAATTATAGTAAAATCCAATATCTTCCCTTGTTTTAAACATTTTGACTGGCGAGCTAAGCAAGAGTTTATAATAAAAAATTTATACTTGCAGAAGTTTTCGGCTCGCCTGAACTAAGTGTAGAATAGCTTCAAATAGTATTTCACGTCATCAAACATGGATCAGTTGTACAAAATGGCAACTTAAATATAGAATTGGTCACAAGAAGGAATATATTGCACACGACAGTCCGGTTTGAAATTAATCCCACAGGCTGTAGTTGTGGTACTCCCTTAGTATGTGTACCAGGTTAGGGTTAATTAAATTGTTTTTTTCAATTTTCCTTATTTTAGTTCTAGAGTTCGGGACTGTCTATGTTAGCTAAGTGAATATACCCCCTGCCCATTGGTTTCAGTCCCTTTACACAACTTGATGTAAAGTAGGCGAACAAAATTAGTTACTTCCATATTGGTACACATACTACTGGAGCGCCGTAGTGGCCATGTCTGCCGCCCTATGTTATATTAGTGGCTGCTTATTCAGAGCCTTGTTGTGAGCAAATACATGAAGGACCATATAATTGAAAATCTTATTTTTTCAGTGAACATGAGGAAATATGCAACACCATTGAGAAATTTCTAAATCTTGAATCGAAGAAAGAGTCTTGAAAAGATGGAATTTTTACATTCTTAGAGAGATTGATAAAACTTTAGGGCTGGAAATTGGGGGAGTCCCCAAATTCTTTTCCAAGTTTTTTACTTTGTGCTGCTGCTATCAGACACATGGTTACTTTTAACAGTGCTTATATTTGGACCACATTATTACTTTTTATTAATATGTTTTGCTAATACTGCACCACTTTCATATTCAATACTGAAAATACACTAAATATGCAAAGTTTACTGCTGTTGTTTGACTAACTAACAATTGGGTTGACAGTCCAGTAATATCATCAATTGGTTTTACTCGAGTGATAACGTCTCGTTTCTATATTTTTTCTGTGAGAGGAAAGCGACGAGTCGCCTTAATCATATTACAGCCCACAGACTCCTTGCCAATCCATGCTGGTATGGGAATGGTAAATTGGTTAAATGTCCTATATGCATGGGCTTGGAAGGTCAATGTCGTCATGGGAAACTACCAAGTTAGACCATGAGAGCTAGCAGGTCTGACCAGAGGCCAGAAAAACACGAGTTTTTATGGATTTTGAGGGTCTAAAAGCGTTTAAAGCTGATGTATGATACAGAAGGAGGGAGGGGGGTTCCGAGTCCCGACCCTCGGTTGTGGGGGAAAAATGTAACAAAAATACATATTTACATCCGAGCTAGGAGTGCGCGTCAAGGTATAGGATAGGATTTACATATTTATCCTGGGGAAGAGGGACACCAATAGGATTTCGAACCTGTGAACCCACACAGTAATCTAGATTCTAGAGCAGTGGTTATCAACCTTTTTTCCTTCGTGGCCGACTTTTGTTGTATAAAAATTTTGCGGCCCCATAACTTTCTCATGCAAGGGGGAAAAACTACAAGAAAAAACATGACACTTTTCGCAAAAATAAATACTTTCACTTTAAGAATTGGAATGAAAAGCAGCATCATCATTCATTGCTACTACAATAAAAATTTGACTATAATGACACAAATGAAACTAAACTTTTCAATAACCAAAGTAATTTTTAATAGGCTTGTGACCCACTTCAAAATGTCTCTATGACCCAGCAGTGGGCCATGGCCCACTGGTTGAGAACCAGTGCTCTAGTATTCCACCAGTATTCTAGAGGTATGCTGGCAGGCGTTTTCCCAACTCTTAGCTTGGTGCATTGGCTGAGTATATACGGTAGCTATCCTTTTGCAAATGGCATTATCAATACCATTCAGCTTGGCGAAACTGGGCAGTGGAGAATTTGAACCCTGTAATGATGAGCAGTCCAGAAACCTACTTGCAAATGGGAGCTTCAGAAGTATGTGTACCAAGTTGGCGCACAACCTGAACATAGTATGTGTACCAGGTTAGGGTTCGGATTGTGCGCCATCCTGGTGCACATACTTTGAGAGCACTTGCAAATGCCCCATGAGACTCGACCTATGAACCCCATATAAATACCTAATTTACTTCCCTTTCAACTCATTTTTAGGCTTTATCCACTTGGCCCCATTTTTTTCTATTTCTCTTTTCTGTGCATTGATTTGCTGTTGAATAAATGAATAAACCAAATTAAAAGCCTGCGCTTCCACAAATTATACAAAACAACAGCAATTTACTACAAATTAAATTCTTTATTCAATAAAATAGAACAGTGTAAAAACCTGCATTAATTTTACTTTACAAAAATAATATTTCAAGGTAGAATGAAAACAAAAGCTGGAAAACAGAAATAGAAACCTAAGTCCCAATTGAACTATTGTGTCGGTCATGAAAACAGTTAGAGTTCCAAATACGATTATGTTCAAATAATCCATGCGTAACAAAACGAAAAGACATTGTGAAATAACCTTATTTAGTAATGAAACTGGAGAACGGGGAGTTTTATTTTTGAGGGAAAAGTAAAATCAGTTTTGCGCCTAGAATTGTGCCCCCCCACTCCAACTGCTCTGTGGTCCCATTGGAGAAGGAAAGGCCCCCCGGTTGGTGACCGCTTGGTTAGAACATCAATGTTCCTGGTATCAATATATAGGATTTATAAATTCATCACAAAAAGAGGGAAGGTGATGGGCAAGACAAATATCATTGCTTCCTGTACCGTTACCAACAGAACCGGTCGATTCATTATGATGTAAGTTACCCACAACACCCAAAGCTAAGAATTTGACAGAGATAACTAAAACCAAAAGATGGGTCATTTTATTTTTACAGGCTCATTATATTCGTTGCTATTTTCATAGCTTCAGTTAAAGCAAAAATTAGGTGGAATACACCTTCTTAGCAAAGGAGTTAGCATTATGTTATTTTTACCTCCCCCAAGCTAGGATGAAATAGGTGGGCTATATTATATAGTGTTATAGTCAGTTTCTGCCATACAGCTTAACTGCCTTATTGAAAAGGATATGGTTCCGGTCCATAAAGAAATCACTCCAACTCCGACAAAAAATACTGAATTAAATAGTTATTTAATAAATAATTAAATGATATTAAAAAACTTTACACAGAGAGAATTGAATACGGTAACGCTCATTCCAGACTTAGTAGTGCCAAGTAAATAAATGGTTGCTCGAAAAGAGCCATGTAAAAAGTGTGACATCAGTGAAAAACCGTCAGAATATTCTTCAGGAAAATACAAAAACATGAAAAAATAAGTAGCTCAGGCTTTTTAGAAGCAAACTATTCAGAAAATTACCAAATTACAACAAAAACGGACCGGGGAAATGTGTATAAGTACAAGCAAAGTGAATAGCATAAGTCCAGACTCAGCGGTGCATACACGGAAGTAGCTGATGGTACAGGGATTTGTTGAAAGCAAAAATGGCCAGTGAAACAATCACAACACTTCAGAAAAATAGTACAATTACAGCCAGAATAAATAGGTATCAATGAACGTTGTACTAAGCTGAATCAAATACAGTGCCATACAGTTAGAAAACCTTCTTTGGAAGCCAAAAAGCAAGTGAAAAATTTGCCAAATTTTAGCAAAATAACACAATAACAGATCAGAAGAAATAGGTATAAATAAGTGCCTCGCAAAGCTGAACTGAATAGGGTAACAGTCAGTACAGGCTTAGCGAAGCTACACAAAGACTTCAGAAGCAAAACAGTCAGTCTTGGAAGTTGGAACATATGATGAAAAATCAAGGTAGTACAACAACAAAAGGGTGTTGAATAAAGTTGAACCAAATAAAATTTAATTACAGCTAGACAGATGCTTGTATAAGGCTTTCTTAGAAGCCAAACGACACCGAATTTTATCAAAATAGCACAATTACAGTACAGAATAAATTAGGATGTTGTACTGAGCTGAACTGAATAGTAAAATAGTCAGTCCAGACTTATAGGTGCCATATAGCTAAGTCACTGTGTGTACTGTGGTGCCTTGTTAGCATGAAATAGCTAGTGAAAAAATTGCCAAACTTGTTAAAAGCAAAAAATCAACTTCAGAAAAATAGTATAACAACACACGGAGAGATAAGTATTGATAAATAGTACAATAAAAACAAAAACACGACTACAATATGTAGTAAATGTCCAGGCAACAATGCCTTCATTGTGAATCTTGTTGATAAAGCATTTTCAGTGAACAAAAGAACGGTTGCGTAATTTGGCACTTACGGTCTGATATCTGTGAAAGGATTATTATTGCCTCAGCATGTTCAAATTTAGACTGATTCAAATAAAAATTAAATTCAAGGCTCTTGAAGACATGAATTCTCAAAATTACAGTTTTGCCAGTGGAAGGGGTGCACCCTTTACATCTGGAATAGGATTATTATCGCCTCAGTATGTCCGTAGAATTACAAATAATTTACTAATACAAATTAATACTCATGATTTTATTCCGATTTTCTTTATTTTAGTTCTATTAAGAGTTCGGGGACTGTCTGTGTTAGCCAATTGAATATATCCCTTGCTCATAGACTTCAGTCACTTTACACAACGTGATGTAAAGTAGGCGAAAACAATTAGTTACCTCCATACTGGTACACATACTTCTGGAGCGCCCAGATTATACTGATTTGAATGAAAAACGAAAATTGAATTCAAAATTAAAAGGTCATTGTAGGGGCATGGAAATATGAAATTACAGTTTTGCCAGTGGGTGCACCCTCTACAACTGAAATTGTAACCTGGAATTGTATTATTATTGTCTCAGTGTGTCCAAAGAATTTCAAATTTGAGTGATTTAAATAAAAATTCAATTCAACTTAAAAGGCTCTTGAAAGCACAAATCTTCAAAATTACAGTTCAAGCAGTAGGAAGGGTGCACCTTTCACAACTGGAATCTAATGTTTATTGCCTAAACATGTTCAAAGAATTTCAAATTTCTGTGATTTAAATAAAACTTGAAAGGTTTTTGTTGGGGCTTGGCATTTCAAATTACGGTTTTGCCAGTGGGTATACACTCTACAACTAGAATCTGGAATAGGAATATTATTGCCTCAGTGTGTCCAAAGAATTTCGAATTTTTGTGATTTAAATAAAGTTGAATGTTGGAATCTTGAAATTACAGTTATACCAGTAGAATGGGTAACCCTCTACAACTGGAATCTGATTAATATTGCCTCAGCCTGTTCAAAGCATTTTTATCATGACTTAAATAAAAACTGTTTTCAAAATGGAGAACTTCTTGATAGCTCAAATTCTTAAAATTACAGTTTTACCAGTAGAATGGGTACCTCTCTACAACTGGAATAGGATTATTATTGTCTCAGCGTGTCCAAAGAATTTCAGATTATACTTATTTATATAAAAATTGGCTTCAAAATCAAACAGTTCTTGTTGGGTCTTGGAATTTTAAAATTATAGATTTACCAGTAGAATGTGGACCCCTCCACAACTGGAATCTGGAATAGGATTACAATTCTGTCAGCGTGTCCAAATTTTTGTGATTTGAATAAAAATTGAATCCAAAATGTAAAGGCTTTTAAAAGCACAAATTCTCAGAATTACAGATTTACCAGTAAAATGGGTGTACCCTCTACAACTGGAATAGGATTATTATTGCCTCAGTGTTCCAAAAATTTCAAATTATATCGATTTAAACAAAACTTGAATTCAAAATGAAAGGTTTTTGTTGGGTCATGGAATTTTAAAATTACAGTTTTACCAGAAGAATGGGTGTCCCATCCACAACTGGTATAGGATTATAACTGTCTCAGCATGTCCAAGTCTTTTGTTGGGGCTCAAAATTTCAAAATTACAATTTCAAAATTCTCCATTGGACTGGGTCCCCACCCTTTACAACAAATGAAAATTAGACATATGGTAATCGCCACAGAAGAACCACATATTGAGTTTTAAGAAAATTACAATTTTTTCCAATAGTTGGGTTCTAACAGTCAGACCTAAAATGGTAATAAGTCACTACCCTAACTCAATAGTGAAATAGTACTGTACAGCTATAAAACCTAGATCCTAAGATGGCACCTGGTTCTTCAAGAAAAAAGTCCATTTCCAAATAATGTGATATAAGCTACTCTGGGCACCCATTGAAAACTAGACTAAATAAACAAAGGGGAACAATTGATAGGTACTTACGATGAATGTTTATGCTTGGCCAACAGAGTGTCGAATATAACATGAGCCAACCAAGTGATATTGACACTATTAACAATAAATTGGTTTTGAAAAGGGGAAAGCGCTAAACAAATATGGAGAGTTTGTATTGCAAGGGTTTGGCAACCTTTAACAACTCGCCAGTGTGAAATAAAATTAACTGTTGAAATTGAACTTTGGAAAAACATTGAACATTTTGGCTATAACTAGGGCTGGGCATTTCGAATACCTGATGATTTCAGAATCAATCAAATATTTTTTTCGAATAGAATCTAGAATAGTTGGGAGATTAGGTCTTCCAGACACATAAAATACAGCACTCAGGCAGATGAACGTCCACACACAATAAAAAACACATTTTCACCCATAACTCACTACAAAAAAGAGTCATATGTCTGAATTGCGTTGAAAAAATATGACTTCAATGAAAAAAATTGAGAAATTTACCTGGACCGTTGGAGAAAAAAAAAATGATGGCGATTCGATATATTGCTCTGAACTGATTAGTATAATTTACTATTTGATTCGAAATGCCCATCCCTAGCTATTATACTGGTGATGCGTGTGGGGATGGCCGAAAATAAAAAAAATGACTTTCGATCAGGAACTCACAGTACATGAAAAGGTTTTATTTGGAAGACACTGATATGCATTGATACAGTACGCTGGCTTGCACAGTTGTGGAAGTCTTATAACTTCGCTTTGAGCAGATTTATTGAAAAAACTGTCTTTGGTAAAAAGCCTCTGATCTGACATTGGGACAGTGTTGAATCTGTCGCATTACCATGAACATACCACTTTCAATCTTAAAGGACCTCAAAGCAAGTCCACAGGCTCAGACTTAAAAATATAGGAAACTCGCCTCTGAGCAAACTCGAAACAAACCACTTATTTCCTAGAAGCCACAAAAACCTGGATGCATTCCATACAAATTTTTAGAAGAATTGAAGCAAGATCACAGGCTCAGACTCAAAAATGAAGAAAACTTGCCTCCGAGTAAAATCACAAGGAACCTCTGATTTCTCAGAAGCTACAAAAATTTGCCTAAAGCAAAGTCACAGTCTCAAAATAAAGAAATTTATCTCTGAGCATGTCCAGGGCTACATGGATGCATTCCATATGTATTTTTTATCATATTTGTTCATAGCAAGGTCACAGGCAGAGACTCAAAATAAACGGAATTCACCTTTAAGCAATGTCACCAGCAACAAATACCCTGATATTTGACATATGTATATATTATTTTGCCATACTCGTATATATATATTTTTATAAGAATTTGCTTAAAGTAGGGTAAACTCGACTACGAGCAAAATCACAAACAACCAATGACTTAACAATTGCTACATAAACCCTTATGAATTCCCATATTTGTTTGTGTTTATTTATGATATGGCCCTTAACGGCCTGGTGTGATAAACAAATTAAATTAAAAAATTATATTAGCAAGGCATGAACTTGCATTTGAGCGAAGTCATAACCAACCAATGAGTTTCACCAAATCTTAGAAACCTACAGAAATATAGTGATGCAATATGAAATTGTAAGCAAGGTCAATGCCAGCCTATAAAGCAAATAGCTATTTAAAGCTAACTCCATATAACTGAAATTCTTTGAGAAAAATATTTTGAAAGTCCATAATATTAATCATTTTTTTAACAGTTGAATAAAACAACCATAGTCTGTGTTGAAGTAAAGTGAGGTACTCGATAATAAGCGGTCCATTAGCCAAGCAGAAGCCACATATTATGTGGAGTGCTTTACAAATCAGGAGTGTACAGTTGAATCTGACCTTGAAATTGAATTCAAGTTTTCGTATTCAAACTTTAAACGCACTAGAGTTAAAAATTTCACTTTGCTTAGAAATTAGTTTATCATTTCCAACTGATATAGAGTAAGGCTTTTTGTAGTCCAAGTCTTGAGTGATCTACACTCAATATTTTTATCCACCCAGCTCAAAACTATTAATGGGTTACTTGATCTTTTATCTGTTTCCACAGCCTTGCCAAGAGCCAAAGTTAACCTTTCCTTACTATAATGGCTCATTGATTTACTTTTCCGCGTTTTTGATTTTTATTTGGAGATAATGCTTGTGGAAGAGTCATAGGTGAAGTTAACGGTACAAAAGGGTCGTGACTTGCGCCTAACGATCTTCGTAGTCTAAAATCAGCAGCTGTTCTCGGCCTTGGTGCTCCAACTTTGGGCGGTGCTGGTACGTGGCGTGGGTTGAATTGGTTTGGTGATACTGGACTTCTTGGTTTAGGAGATCCTCTCTGAAAGTAGAAAAAAATGCAAAGCATCAAATGATATGACAAATGTTTTATCCACAAATATGGGGTGATTAACAGTTAGCTCAGCGGTTCCCAACCAGGGACCCATGGTTACCCAGGGGGGTCACAATGCTAGGCGCTAAACTGGTTTTACTTTTAACTTTACAAGAAAACCCCATTCCTCCTAGTTTTATTGCTTGACAAGGTCATTTCACAGGGTGTTTTCACTTTGTTAAGCACGAATTGTTTGAACATAATGGGATTTGGAATCTACTAATGAAAATAATACTATAAATACCACTGTAATGACAAACAGGGAGAATTGGGAGCTGAAAGCCACTGAAAGGGGGCCACAAGCTATAAAAGACGGGGAAGCACTGGGTTAACTATTCATTAACCTTAACAGGTTCGAATTCCATGCCCCCCCCCCCCCCCCCCTATCTCCCATGCGAGATCTCCCTTGTATGTGGACTTGTTCAAAGCGAGGGGCACAAATATGTGACATATAAAAAATAATGGCAGTTTATCAGAGGCTGTGGTTCTTCATTCGTGATTAGGCAATCTTATAGGGAAGAGCAATATTATACCCTTCTTAACTGGAACTTCAAACCTCAAGCACCCCAGAGGACTCAAACCTGCGAGCCCGCGCAGAGAAAGCATGTATTTAATAGCACAATTCTCCAATGTAATCACTTTTAATGCCTAACATTCTAAATTTCCAAATACCAGAGCAAAATATTTTCCATCCAATGTTTTATCAAATTTTATATCAATTTTTTCGTAAAATTTTCCTCATAAAAGTCATGCAAAGTGTAGTAAATCTGGTGAGCTAGCCAGAAAGTTTGGGAACCGCTGGCACTGTATTTTGTGGCAAAGTCAGGGTTCATATCGAACTGTTGTTAAGTAAAGTAGGTAAGTTAAGTAAAGTTGTTGCAAATTTTCCACAATGAAAATCTTTTAAAATCAATTTAATACTTATAATACTATATTATACAAGTTACAAGCTGCTACGGAAATGCCACAGGCCCGTGTAACTTCTAGAATTATTATGGTAGCACATACAAGCCAGCAAAATTAAAAAAATGTGACAAACATAAACTCACCAGAACAGGTACGGAAGCTGAATCAAACTGAGCAGAGGAAAATAGAGGACTCCTTGGACTGCGGGGAGAACTTTTTGGAGAAAGAGTAGATCCCATACTGGACGGACTGAGATTTTTTGGTGGTGGGGAGCGTAGTTGTCTTTGGTTTTGTCCGAAAGTACTAAAACTTGTGTTTGGAAATGAGTTTTCTGGTTTGAACTTTGTTTCTGAGTTGTTATTGTCATCATTTAGTCCGGGGATGGAATCTAAATCCAAAATCTCGTCTGTATCTGATTCTGTTCCATCGGAATCAATTGAAATATCGTCACTAGAGGTTGCATTGTCCAATTTTAAAACCTGAACATCAGATTTTATCGCTGTCATTCTCTCTTCATGTTTTGCTCGCCATTCTCTAAGTTCTGAGAAAATGTCACCCATTTGTTCATCAGGAAATTGATCTACGGATGGCCGTGAGCGAAATGTTGCAGCGGTTGCTGGGCGTGTCGGAAGTGGGCGTGTACTATTATCATTTTGTAGAATTGATAAAACCGGCATAGGGCTTGTTTTTCTTGCTCTTAATGCTTTGATTGGGTTTCCACACATGACGTCCCCAAATGTCAAAGTACTTGACTCATCTTGGAGATTTACATCCCCAGAGCCTGAAGATGTCGGTCGTTGAGCATTTGATGCTTTTTGTAGTATTGCTTCGGCCCGCAATGCCCCTGCGCTTTCACTTCGTCCCCCAGAAAAAGCAGTTTGTGGCCGTGTTGATGGACTATGTAAAGATCGACCCAAAGGACTTGCAGTCATAGGTCTATTCAAAGCTGAACCAGGTCGTCTCAATCTTGCCGAACCCGGCCTTGTATTGTTTCCATCCAGTCCGGGCCGGGAAAAATTATTTTCCACGGGAGCAAATATACTAGTTTCTTCCTCAGAAATAAGGCCTTCTTTTATTGCTGTATTTATAAGATCAATATCTTCTTGGGAATGGGACGAAGCGGCGAGAGATGCAGTTGAAGGTCGCTCAGATGAAGAAGGAGAATGCGTACCCGCATAAGTTTCGCACTTTTCATCGTCAAGATATTGTAATTGAGGAAGTTTTTTGATTATTACTTCTCGATATGACATGGTATCGATACTGCTTTGGAATGAATTATCTTCTAGAATTCTTAAAGCTTCTTTGTTTAATATTTGGCAAACTGGATTACCCGAGACGCTCAATGTTCTTAGCTTCATAAGCATAGCGAGATAATCAAACTGTTCTTTATCGGTAATCTGATTCCCTTCCATATCAAGAACCTCAATATTATCTAAAAAACTGAGCGGACTGATGTCTTCAATATCATTATAAGCAAGATATAGCTCCGTTAATGATATCATAGACGCGATGCCATCAACGTCGCGAAGGCCGCAGCAAGACATCCATAAAACACTCAAATGTGAGAGCGAAGTCCCAATGTCTCGTACTGAAGGAATAACACTGTTACTCAATTTTAAATGTTTCAATTTTGGTAGATATGATCCAAACGCTCCCATAGTAGTTTCTGTAGTATTTACAATCATTTCAACCATAGTAACATTTTCAAGATCACCATGTCCTGTTATTTCTTGTAATCTTCCATACGATAAAAAATCATTTACTAAAATTTCAGTGTCCTCTAAAATAATAGGGGTCGGGTTTGTGCCATTGCTTGCGGCATCAATGTCTAAACCTTCTTCTAGTAACATCGCACTTTGAGATGTGTTTGATAGTTTAGTATTCATTTCAGTTCTACATTAGTACTGATTTGCTTTATTATTCAATATCTATGTCAATGATTTATTTATTTAAATAATTATTAAAACAAATTAAAAAAATTTCTTATGCTGTTATTTTGCATATAATTTTCAATAGGATTTTCATATTTACCCTGGGGGAGCGGAGAGCCAATAAGACGGCTTAATCATACTTGATAAACATAATCTCTGGTAAAGGAGTTATTCATTTCAGTCAGTAGTTTATTTTTTCACCAAAATGAACGTACACTTGATGCAAACAAAAACTAGGAAAAAAAACATAAAAAAGGCATTTCATGGTGAAGAGTGACACGAAAAAAACATCAGATGCAATGTCGTAGCCTGACAGCTGTTACACAAATCACCATACAGCGGTAAGACAATCCTCTCGCACATAATTATCTCATACAAGACTCGAACCTGTTAACAAAAGATGGCAAGCCTATTCCTAACGCTTAGCACGATGCACCAACTGCTGAGCCTTATGCGCTGTATTTCAATGTTATAATTTTTTTGACATTTCGACATTTTAAAACACCACATGACATCTCAAAACCTCATTTGCCGTTATTAACTTTTTAAATGATTCTCATTCAATTACTGTTAAATTACCATATTTTCCAGCTAATAGGCGAATAAGACGAGGCCAATTTTAACACAAAAATGAAGGTTTTGACTGGTCACCACCTAATACAGCAATAAGTCGTGGTAGAAAAACTTCTCGCTACTGGGCGGGACACTTTTTTCTGTCTTTTGCCCAAACTGCAAACTTTCCAACTTAAATTCGGTATGTTTTAAACCTTACCCTGTTACCATACCTACTCAAGCCTTTGTTTGCTCTTCTGGTTCCATAACCAGTTTTTATTTATTTGTTTCTATCAATTACCGAATTTTGTAGTCTCTCATCCTGATTACGCAGTCGAAATAAAATTATACTAACCATAAAGGACTCATAGTCTCACTTCTGTACTTTTGTACCGGCACTGCTCTAACTACAGAAATAAGACTGTACAGACCAGGCTCTCGCCATCGGGCCACATTCAACATTTAAAATTAATGTTCAATTATTTAAAAAATAATTAATATACTTGGCTATCAGGCAACCATTCCTTACATTTTCAAATCACATTACTGGCCTACGTTGAACGTATTTCGGAAATTTCAAGCAGAAAACAGGAAAACGGCGGCTCGTAACCAATGGTATCGCAATGAATTTTGTGGAATTTCACGCTCCGGCAATTTTGCGAATATTGACGTCATTTCTGTGACTTAAGATAAATGTTTATTTTTTAGAATATATTACGCATCATAATGAAAAAAATATATTCATTCAATATAACACAAATTAGCCGCAAAGCGCTTCATCATATTCCTGTGATTAACATAAAACAAACGACGCGCTTCGCCATCTAGCGGTTGTGAATAAAACTTGTGCAGAAACAAGCTATATCTCTTCTGAAAATACTAAAATATCTCGATCTTTAAGAATGAGGCCATTAATATATTACAAAAAACATGGTTTTACATTAATTCTACATATTTCCAATATCTACGGAGTGTACAAATTTTAGGCGAAAATCATGACAGTGCATCCAATCATGTGATGCACAATTCACATGGGACATGAAAAGAGGAAGTAACACAAATACAGAAAAATACAGAAATACGCTAATGCCGCAAAGTAGCACATTGTGATATGTCTATATTATGAATCTGGGAAGATATTTTTGAAACACGTTTAAAAGCATAGATGTCCAAATCGTGGGATGACTTTAGAAAAGTTTATACAGATATATTTGCCTGATTTAAAACAGATCTGCAGATTATGAATTTCATGGCAGCACACATCTGTCGACTGACTGAAAGAATGTGTAATGGCGTTCATATGGCTGTATGGGTGTTTCATAGTTAAACATTTGGAATTTTGTAAGGTGGAAGAGTGATATGGAAGTTAATTTTTTAAAATATTTTGTGTATTAGAGCTAAATAACAGCTCTTAATTATAGACTACTTTTTTCACATCATAATATCAAGTTGTAAACATGTATGTCAATTTTTCTACTTTTCCTAGTAAAGAGATGGAAGTCAAAACTTGGCTCAATCATATAACTAACTGTGTCTCTGATCAAAAACCAATGTAGGTGTTGTATAAGGTGTACTAAGAAATCAAATGAACAAACTAAGTATCAAAATGCCCAGTAATGTAGCAGACTATGTGATAGTGTACTGGATAGTGTTCTCTGGCTCATGAGAATATTTCTATAGATCTATGTAACTAATCATTCAAGATGATGAATGCCAGTAAAAGTCATAATAGACTATTAACTATGTGAATTACCCTGCCAAGTCATGAGTGGTCATTTTATTCCTCATTTTCCTTCAATACTACTGCTATTTTAAGACCTTATTTCATTTTGCATTTTAAAATTTCCTAGATAAATATGTGATCTACTAATTTTCAATTATCAATTGTAGAAGAGGTTTAGTCCACTCAATTTCAACTGTAAGTTTAACTCACATTCTTACATTGTACCTTTTATGAGAGTAGAGAAACAATGTAATAAATTGGGTACCGGTACCTAATGCTAAGAATAGTGGCTCCTTGAATATCGATGAGTATCAGTGGCTGCCTGTACTTAGTCTCACTAGGATTGGGAGTTATTTACATCTTGCCCCTCAGCTCTTTTTATCACTTCTTATATCTGAAGACTGATCAGGTGCAGATCTTTTTACAATTTATGAATTACCACCATATTTGGATAATTATACCGCCCTTTCATGCGCCACAAGAATTATTTATTCATTTCCTGTAAATATTTATCATTCTTTTCATGGTTATGCTTTTGGTAAGTAATTCGTTTCCACAACTTTTTCACCTTTATGAAAGAATTTTTCTTTCTCACTGTGTGTTTAGTATTTGTTCTGATTAAGTGGGCTTAATGTTATGGTCGCCATACTCTCTTCCTTTACAGTATTTTCCAATAGTAGTTCTTTTCACTTTTTGGCAATTCACTTTCTGTATTCTTCACCAGCGATGTGATTACACATGATTTGTTTTTCTTTTTTTGATATACCCATTTGCCATTTTGTGGTAAAGATGTACATTGTTTTATGTTTTTCACAAGTTATTCGCCGGCTCGTTTTATCGAGCATTTCGAATTTCCTCCACCATCAAGTCCATGCATCTGGAACAAATTACTGGATGACTAATCCCATAATTGACATAAACTGGTATTCAGACGAGAGGCCATATGTTTAAGCTGTCTCATTGACTTTTTTCTCTGCCAGGATAAATATGTACCGTATTTTCTCGACTATACGCCTATCACGCGGATAAGCCGACTCCCTAATAACAGCTTCGAAATAGTGAATTTATAAAAATTCGCATATACGCCGTTTCCACAAATCGTAACACGGCGCATGCATCTATTACATTCAATGATGTTCAATTCAAATTTAATATTCAAATATCGCGATTTGCTACCTTCTTGTATATGGCACACACATTCTAGCGCCGCTGTCCACATTTTGATTAAAACAATTTTCGATTATTATATTTTCTGTTTTATCGTAATGGAAGACAGCACTTTGCGGCACAACTAAATTACTGCCAACATGAAAGGAATTAAATCAGCGCCGACTTGAAGTGCCAAACGTATAACATGAGGACATTTTTGATTGAAAATATTATACAATCATTATTTTAAATTAAGGTAGTCGAGATATCCTGAGCAGACATGGCAATAAATTTGGTTATTTTTCGCAAGTCTTCTCAAACATGATTTGTGTGAGCTTCATATATGGGCTGATATATTTTATAATGTATGCCAAAGTGTCTGCCGATTATTTAATTGACTTTGTATACCAGCTGTTATTTGTCTTCATCCTAAAAACAAAAACGTGGCCGGTGCAATGAAGCACTCCCTGCCCGATAACGGCACTTCAGAAAGAAAACAGCTACCACGAAATAAAGTGATTGATTTATGACCCTTCCGTTTTGCTGATTCAGGAAAAAACGGAAAACACAGCTGTTGCCTAACCCATGGACGTACAGCACAGTATTTATCACATCATATTCATATGTTATTTCAACCTTTCAGTTTCCGGAAATGGTTGTTCAAAATGATTGAAGTTACAGTTTTATTGTTAAGAATTAATGCTGTGAGTATTATTCTACCTGAAACTTCTATCTGATTTTTACTTGTGCACAAATGATAACGTTTTGACCACGAGACGGCTGGTAGATCAATGCTGTTGCTCTTATGCAAAAGATACAATTAAATTTAATCAAATACAAGCGGTCACGTTTATGATCAGACAATCACACCTAGACAAGCGATCGCGCGTGTGTGGTGTGTGTGTGCACGCTCTTTATCGTGAGAATTAAGCATGGTTTGTAGCTGTTGCAATTACTGGCAAGTCAGCATTATATCATTTCGTTGCGTGATCAAAGTCTCGATGCGCGAAGGAGCCGATTTTTTGGTGCTATCTGAGTTATGCGCGCATAAGACGGTCACTTAGTTGGGCCACTTTTTTTTTGAGTTTTAAACTCAGCGTATTTGCGAATAAATACGGTAAATCCTAATCCAACCTTAGACTGATTTATAAACTAGGCTCTTGAAAACATTAGTTATTCAGCATAGTCATGTTCCTCATAAAGATTGGTGTTGCATATATGAATCAAAATCATGTTTCCTAGAAATTATTGTGCCTTTGTTAAACAAACTTTACCTGTTGAAGTTTAGTCTATCTCATTCATTGCCGAGTATAATTTTATTTAACTTCGGAAATGGTGAACTCAACTCTGTTCTTAATTTAAAAAAGTTTGGGCTCATCTAATCAGTTGGTATATTCCAATATCAATGTTTAATCTCATGCCAGCTGTTAGTTGGGTTTATCCCATCTTTTTCCTATATGGGCCTAGCAGTTGTAGTGTTATGTAACGTAGGTTACACCTTTTTAATTGTTTAAGCGAAAATAGCTCCCTGGATAAAGGGTTGTCCAAAACGAATCGAATATTCCATTGTATTCGAACATCAAAGTATTCGAATACCTTTCCGGCTGATTTTTGAATTATTATGAATAATTGCCACTTTTCCCATCAGCGAGGTGTTTCGTTTTAGAGGGAACTCTTCAAACGCTTTTCCGTGCCTTGTCACGTATTGCAATGACGGTGAAAAAGTATCGGTACTTTGATTGTTCGTTATCTTTTGTGAGAGTGTGCGCCTCATACTGTTGCGACACATTTGTATGGTTGCGTGATTGGCACTGTCGCCATTCCCTTGCAAGTCTTCTCATTTACAGATTCATTTGCATTAAGTCATGCATCTCCCATAGATCGAACCATAGTCAGATATTGTATACGTTAAATAAAGTTGTGCGCTTTTTACAAATTACAACACGCAATAAATTGTTGCAAGTCGAAAAAAAAAACAAGTTGATTTATTAGGAAATATAATTTACACTTTTTCCTACTTTTTGGCAAATAATTTTGAAAATGATAGTTAACCCTTTCCATGCAATTTTTATTTTTTATTAAATAATCGTATTTGCTACGCCGATTTTATGCATTTGTACCCCCACAACTAATCGATCGACTAACGAAAAACTAATGATCCTCTGCTGCCCACTTACGGCTCGTTGTAAAGCTTATTTAAAGAGCTTGCAATTGGCGATTAAAAAAAAAGTTTTTTTAAAAGTGGTGGTCTGAGTCACAAACCGGATAGAAAAAAGGCATTTTTTTTTCTTGGGAGTTGAAACTTCAAACCGTGATAAAAAATAGAAATATTTGCTAAATCCTTTACTGTTACCGCTTTGTGGTTGGCAAACAATAGCATAATATTGCTGTAGCAATTTCGTGATCTAACTCAAAATACTTAGATGGAAGGGATAATATGTCTTCTATTACCACCCAAAAACACCGAAATTTGCATAAATTTTAAAAACACTCCCTCGTTCCGCCGCAAATAAAATTCCCGTCGTGAACGAAAGCGAGGTTTACCGTCGCTTATGTTAATCTCGAATAAGACTTCATATCAATAAACTAAAACCCGGAAAAACTAGACCAACAGTTTGCGACCGATTGCTAAATAAAACAGTGGAGTACATCAACGTACCCGCCGCAATCTAGCGAGTTTTGTCGTTGGTACGTATACGTGCCCACCGCACGGAAAGGGTTAAAGTATCGAACCTTTACCGGGAATTTTCTGTTGCGCAAAGTTTTCAAATCCATGAACAATACGAGCATTTTAAATGCGTTACCGTATTAATTTAATTTTGTTTAATTAACGTAACTCATGGTTAGGTCGACCTACGAAAAAATAAAAGAATTACTGCTACTATAAAATACCGCGGCAATCTGCAGATATAAATTTGTGGTAAACTGCCCGATTAAGTTAATTTTTTATTTCCTATTTTCGAAAAACAAAAGCATTACAACTCTAAAATACAATCTGTGGAAATACAATGTGTGGTAAACTGCCCAATTACAATTATCGTAATTTTTGGATTGTATTTTCCACTTTTAACTAGGATGATTATCTGCTGCGACAAAATATTCAATTTCGTGAACGATACCAGCATTTGAAATGCCTTACCATATTAATTTAATTTTCTCTAACGTAACTCACAGGTGCATCGAAAGAGTATAAGTTGGTTGGTTGGACTAGTATAAAGGGTTCTGCTATCTAATTAAGATTTAAAAGATCAATATATCATTATTAATTAGTAATGTTTTGGTAATGTAAATATAAGATTCACATCGTCACCATCTCATCCAGTTTATATTTGGTTGACAATGTGAAACCAAGAAAATTCTTGCTGTTCTGAATGATATCTGCTTCCAGTGACTGCCTGTACATAGCTGTGTTGAAATGCGGATTTACATACGGTAATTATCCCAGAGAGAGGAAAGTCGATAAGTCAATCATATGGCGAGATGTGGCCTCTCACCCGGTTACGTGTCCATGTCCGGTGTGGAATTAGTCAGTAAGTTATTTGTTTCAGGTGCATTGACTTGATGGAGGTGCGGTTACATGAACCACCTAATGAAAATTAATGAAAAAGTTTGCTTAATCACATATCTAATTGCGTAATCTCTAAACGTATATCTATATTTTCCTACATGGCAGGGGTGAGCAACCCCATTTATTCTTCCTACATGGGCCTATCCGTTGTGGTGTTAGCTAACACATGTTACATCTCTAGTAATCAAATTGGGTACGCAAAAATAGTAGCTGCTCGCATATCTTCAATTATCAGTGACTGTTTGTACAGTGCCTTGTTTAGGTCGAAAACCGCAACTAAGCAACGAATAAATATTCTCGCTATTTGGGGCTTTTCTTTCACTTTTGTACTTGGAGTTTGATATTGTGCAGATCTTTTCACAATTTATCTGTTGTTATTTTTGAAGAATTGAATTGATTTACAAACTTGACTATCGGCAGTTTCAATTCTTCAGCATAATTAGATTGCTTAGTTGGTAATTCTCACTGATATTTTCCTGGAAGATATACAAGATGGAGCATAAAATCAACATTGATAAGAACAATTGCATGTCAGTAGTTTTCCAAGAACTCAATAAAATGAGAGAAGATCCTGAACGATGTGACTTTAAAATACTAGTTGGTTCTGAAAAAATTCTTGCTCACCGTAATATTTTATCTGCAAATTCAAAATATTTCGAAGCAATGTTTACACACAACACAAAGGAAAAGCAATCGGGTGAAGTTACATTGGTACAAGTTGACCAAGTTTGTGTGAAAAAGTGTGTCGATTACATGTACAGTTGTGAAATTTCATCTCCATATGAAAAGCTTGGTGATTTATTACATGCCGCCACTATGATGCAACTGCAGGAAGTTTGTGATGGCATAATTGACCTCCTTGAAGAAAACCTGGATCCAGAATCATATTTTGTTACCAAGAAACTATCAAGCATGTATAACCTAAAGTTACTTGAAGAAAAATGTGATGAATTTGCTTTGAAAAACTTTGAAGAAATCTCCAAACTAGGAGATTTTAATGATCTTAGTCAAATGGAAGTTGCAAAAATGATCGAATCCAAGAAGTTGAAAGCTTCTGAAGAAGTAAAACTTAATGCTGTACTAATTTGGATCAAGTTTGACTCTGAAGATCGCAGTAAATATGCAAATGATTTGATCGGCCTTGTTGAGTTATCCAAAGTATCTCTTGGATGTCGGAGACATCTTATTGAAAATGAACTCATAATAAATAAAAGCTTTGATTTGCTGTCTCGATTCAGTATTTCTGTAATGGATTCAGTAAAAATCAAGCCAACCAGTATGGTTGAACAAATCGCAAATACTGAAGCCATAGTTGTTTTTGATGAGATTTCTGGTCATCTTCAGTGTTTTAACCCAACCGATAAATCTTGGACACAAATGCAGGAGTTGAATGAGAAAATCAAGAAAGACTTCTTCTCTGCTGTTACTGCGGCTGATTTCATATATGTTTTAATGAAAGACAAATCAGTTTACAGAATTAAATATTCTGATAATGATGCCAACTGGGAGAAAATGGCTGATATGCTTGAAAGTCATGGGTCGAGTCCACCAGCTGTTGTTTACCAGAACTGGATTTATGTAATTGGAGGTCATGCCGTCTGTGAAACAGAAACTGTCGAAAAATATGACTTGAATTTGAATGTGTGGACAAAATGTTGTGATAAACTACAGGCTACAAGATTCTCTGAAGTAATAGCTTTCCAAGATAAAATTTATAGTTTTGGTGGATATTCGTCTGGTCAATGGATGGATGAAGTTGATCAACTTGATCCAGAAACAGGTAATTGGACAACTAATGGTCACATGACTAATGCAAGAGGGTATGTATCTGCTGTGATATTAGGTGAAAAGATTTATGTTTTAGGTGGATATACTGACAAACACCAAGACTTCGATACTGTCAAAATATACAATCCACAGCAGAATAAATGGAAATCACTCAATAAAATGCTTGTACCTAGAGGTTTGTTTCGTACATTTGCTATCCAAAGTGAGATTTATGCTGTTGGTGGTTGGCCAGATAACCTTGATAGTATGGAAATATACAACATGGATAAAGACAAATGGGAGATGACTGAAATTCCTGTGGGGGTAAAACTGAAAATAACAGAATCGGTGAAAATTCAGCTCAAAATTTAAGAACATCGCTGGGGTCTCTTTGATGAGTATTTTTTCATGCCGTGTGTTTTTGTATTCATTATGTGATCATTCTTATTAATGTTCTGTTATTATTCAAATGACTTGACTTTAAAATTTTACTTTTATTTGATAAAATTTCTGTATATGTCTTTTGTCATAGAAAGCAAGTAAACCACCAACAAATCAAAAAGAATCTGTGAAAATTCAACTTTAAATATGAAAACATTGTTTGAATGTCTTTGGGGAAAAAATTTTCCTGTCATTTGTATTCATGATTTGATCATATTAATTTTTGTTATTAATGAAATGCCTAGACTTCAAAAATTAATTAATTTCAATTTGATTTGATAAAAATTCCTTTAAATGTCTTTTGTCATAGCAAGCAACTAAACCACATACAGATCTTGATAAAATCTTTCCTGTTTTGTTAATTTGTTTGTAATTTATCATGTTCACAACGTTTTAATTTGAGACAAAATTCTCAATTCAATACAAATGAAATTTTACTTTCCAGCACCAAAACATGACGGTTGCTTTTCAAATATTTAATGGTAGTTGATGATATATAATAATGCTCATATCTATATTATTCTACTATTCAAATGGAAATTCCATCAATATTTTCATTTCAAATGTATTGCTCTATTTTTTAATAATTTTGTGAAGTTCCATGAAATAATATCCAATAAATGGAGACTTTCTTGATTCTAAAATGTATAAACTATGCAATTAAATGTGTTCAATCATTTATTTTGTTCAAATTTCAGATTTCTAGCAGGTATTTATTTAGAAATAGATAAGTATTTTAGTCAAATGATGGATTCATACTTTATATACGAAATGGGAACTGATACCCTAAAGACCTTGGAATACTTGCCTTATTGATAAGCAATGGTAAGTTTTGACTTTTGCAAATGTGACATTTAAAAAAACTATTTGAATGGTAAATCAAATTTGTGAGTTCATAACATGGGTGACTAACACGGCATCAGAATGGCTAATTTATTCTAATTCTAAGCGAGCGAAAAATCGGACATTGAGGAAATTATAAATTAGATACCAATGTTTGAACAGTCAAATACCATTTATGGTTTGGAAATATTTGTTTTTCGATGTTTATATAATACATGATTACTTGGCAAGGTGTTTTGAGGAATTTTCAACACTCACAATTAAAAATTAAGCAGGCCTCAGATCTGAATTGTTTAATTTGAATAAATGTTAAATAAATGATGAAACATTTACTCCGGATACAACTACATAATCAATTTAACAAATTAATTGGATCATAAGAAATACAAATTTTATGGTGATTGCATTAAAAATGCCAAGCTGATTAGCTGCGGTGAAATTTTTTGTGTGCATGTGTGCAGTTAGTTACCTGTACATTCAGATTTCAGTTGATCGCGTCGAAAGCAGGTTGCCCACACCTGATTTATAAGAACTGATAGTTAATAATTGCTCATTAAGTATGTACAAAAATTGGTCGCTAAAGGCAAGCGTAATTTATGTTTAGAAGAAGGAATCTTGCGTGTAGAAAATTGGATTTAACTGCAATGTGAACTTTACAAGTAATAAGCAGTTAGTAGTCAATGGCCAGTAGTGGGTATTACTGCAGCCCACGCCCTCTACTAACCAACTCATTATGAGGGTTTTTAAATTGTAAATTTACTCTGCTTGTGGGTTTTGACGCTACAGAGAGCATACTTACAATTTTCTGTACAAATAGCTCCATATGTTTGCAACTATTGATTGTTCATGACAAAAGTTTTTTATCACTTTGGATAATTGAAATTTTGAGAATTGTTGATAACCGGAGAACAAGGCAAATATTTGTTTTATTATTGAAAAATGTAAGGTGTGCTATATGGCAAAGCAAAGCCTTACATTTTTCTTCTTTTTTTTTTTTTTCAAAACATTTAAAAATTAATACACATAGTACTCTACTCGGATATGCACCCAAATGACATTGCCCCAATGCATGTAAATACCTACATCGGAACAGACACATCTACCTGCATGTCTGAGCTTTCAATAATCACAGTTATGGGGTTTTGCACTATTAAATTGGTCTAATTTCACAGCATAACAGATTTATGAATCAGACCATCCATGTGCTAAAAGAGAAGCAATTCTTCCCTCCGAGCACTGGTCATCTGGTTCAAAATCCCAATCAATTTGCACTTGAATAATATTCTCATGCTACTTTTAGATATATCAATTTCATCATATTTCACTGAATTTCTGAATGTCCAAATGGCGTATTTACCGCATAATGCAGTTATCAATTTTGACTTTTGATACCGTTAGCTACTATTTGATCTGGATTAAATGATTCCAGCTCACACCATTCCCAAATATCCTGGCCCATTCACATGTGAAAAATAAATGAAAACTTGTTTCTTCAATGCCGTAATTACATAAAACACACGTCCCTGGTTCGTCTTCAAACCATTTTTCTTCTCCCAACTATTGAACCAAATTCAGCAATTGAAAATCTACTGGAGCAGTGGTTCCCAGCCTGGGGGTCGCGACCCACAAAGGTGTCGCAGTACAAAATAGTTTTACAAACGACTTTTTTCTACAAAAATATCCTAATCGGTGTTGGAAAAAAAAAAGTTGTTAATAGACTGAAAAATAAAAAAGGGAGACATTGGAAACCAATATTTAGGGCTTTGGATGGACCAATCCCAGAATCAAACTACTCTTACTACAATGACATTTTACCCTTTGACAGCATGTATTTTAATTTGAATATAAGTCTGTGGTTTCCAAATTTTTTTTTATTGAATTCACTCCTCTACCTATTTTGAAACTCATCCCAACCTCACTATGCATAATACTATTTTATTTATCCAATCTTTATTGGACCGCTTGCTAATGTAATGCGCGAATCGAATTTCCGTTTTTGTACAGTTTAAGAGGTTTATTATAAAAATCTAAATTATTATTTGTGCTGCACAAGATGTATTCCTCCAAAGTGCCAATGATATATATATAAAAAAAAGCAAAATTCCTTTCTTAAAACAGCAAAATCCTCGATTTAGAGACATAGCCATAAGTGCCTAATGTTACCACTTGTGTGTTGATCTATTTATTATTTGATGAGAAATGACGACGCTGTCACAGCAAAACTTTTTTGTAGCAGTGACAGCTCATTTAAGGGAGCTCCAGAAGTATTGCACCAAAATGGCGCACAACCTGAACATAGTATGTGTACTGGGTTAGGGTTCAGGTTGTGCGACATCTTTGTGCACATACTTTGGGAGCGCTTGCGCCACTGTGAGGGCCCTCGTGTTCATATATACCCAAATAATCAGACCCAGTATATCAAGTTGAAACATCAGGTCTTGAAAAAACTACTCGAGTATCTACATGATGAATTAGCTCACTATTTTGCTGCTGGTTTGCAGCCCTGTTAGTTCATACAACTTAATTACTTGATGATATTTAATTATTGGTATTGCTGGCCATGTGTATTGAACGCATGTCAAAGAAGAGTCTCTCAGAATCTCTACAACATGAGTTTTCTCTATGTTAGTTGGGAATGGCCTTATACAATTATCATCCACTTACATATAAAATGACAGCTTATAGCTTATCTTCTCTAGAACATTTTAATTTGGACGAAATCATTTTGTTTAAACAACCGTATTGTTAGTGTTTTCTTTTAAATAATATGTATCAGGTAATAGACAAACAACAGTAAACAGTCAGGTAAATATTCACCAACCAAAGTAAATATACTGTGGGAACCAATGAGGTGTAGCAGAGGCTGCCTTTTTGCACTTTTGTTGGTATAGGAGGGTGTTACAGTAGTAGGCAGTTTATAAAGTTATGCCAGTCCGCTTCTGATTGTTGTTTTACGCTTATATATTGAAAGTTAGATAGATAGCATTACGTAAGTAGATCCTTAGCCTTTAACATACAGTAACGGTAGACCTATATTTTTACGTTTTCAGATCTGTAATATTTATTTCAAGATGCCTCCTCACGAGAAATTGAGATACGACGAAATTGAGATTGTGATAAACGCAGGTGGAGAACAGATGTTTTTTCATTATACCGTACAAATCATTGTTTTTTTTCTTGGGATTTTTTATGATTTTTTTCAGTGCCCAAGGCGGGAATCATTAAACAAAGTGCAAGGGATTCGTCATGAATTTTTTTTAAAAAGTTTGGGAACCACCCACCTATAACAAATGCGTTTGCCACCAAGCTGATTATCAATACATATCAAAGTTGATGCTTTTTAGACTTTTTACTCGTTATTTTTTCAATATATTATTAGTATTTTATGGATTTTCATAATTGTGTGATAAGGATGCCCATATGGGTATGAATAATATGATTTTCTACGTTATGCTTTATACTTAATTTTTTTAATTTTTAATATTTTTAATCGACAAAATTTATGGAAAACTCATATATTTTTTGTGAAAATTCCATATTTTGAATAAAGTCATCAATTAAAATCAAATTCAAGTAATTGTTCAAGTATCCCCACTCAAGGATGTTGTATTTCCAGCCACAGTTTTATTTTATTAATTACTGCAGTTTAATTTTAGTCCATGTAGTTCTCATCTTATATTTAAAGGAACAGGTAGCATTGTCCTTCTAAGAAAAATTGCTTCATTTATTAGTGTTGGATTGTAGAACTATTGGAGTGTCTTGCCATAATCTTATAATGAATCATGAGAAATCACCTTATTGGGTCATAAACAAGCTATATTTCACAATATCTGGTAATATGTGTTTGTGATTTTGTAAGATTCTCTGGTTAGACACGGGAATATCAATGCAAATGTTTATTACAAATGCATGGACTTGGATGTCACAGAAAGCCATAATCTACTATTGGATATTTGAATAACTGGGCCAACATATCATTTTTTAGACTTTCATACTTGAGATCTTATATCATTTTGCATTCCAAACTTGCTTTGATAAATATGTGAGCAATTCAATTCTGATCTTTGCAAAGTGCAGTATTGTAGAAGAGGTTTAGTCCATCTCAATTTCAATTGTAAATTCAACTCGCATTATATATCTTTCATATTGTGCTCTTTGTGAGAGTATGGCAACAAAAATGCCCTCTTAGGAAGTAAAAGAAAAGCATGTCTGCGTTATCGAAGAGAGTCACCAGACAGGTATTGCGGCAAAACTAGGGGATTCTGAACATATTTTGTGACATCACAAAGTGATAGGGTCGCGGAGCAATAGAATAAAGCTTTTCGTCCGTTTGTACATACTAGTTACAGTATTTGACATATTTGAATCGGCTAGCAAAGCTACTTTTTAAAATACTATGGAGATGCCTAAACGAAAGAAGAGTGATGAATATCGTAGATTTCAACTTGTGCTGCATGTGAGCAACCGTTCAAGGCCCTCAGCAACAACATGCAGCATCAGAAGTCACATTAAATGTATATTGATTGACATTGTATGATTTGATTTTTGAGTGAAAATTTCAGGCCTGATTAGGTGAAGAAATAAATGCTTTATGGCTCGCATAGAAATGCAGTTGAAAATATGTAGGTGAAAGTGGAGAGGTATGGGCCATCTTGAGGTGTGGGCCATTGCAAGTTCAACAGCTTTATAATATCCCAATCACCTGTAACTTGGTGTGATTATTGCATAAGTCCCACCAAATTACACATGTTATTTACAGGTCAGCAGCTTACAAGGTGTCTCAGCTATGAGGTACTAAGTGATTTCTTGTAGTAAAAGCTTATTTTTTGAAAAATTAGAATTTTTGGGATCGCACAATCAGTTGTGGTTCTTTAATAAAATCTGTCAAAGGCCTAGGAACCTGTGTCTTGGTCCTGTTAAAGAGAGTATTGAATGAAACAGCTCATCTTTTTTGTAATCAAATTTTGTCTGAAAACATGGCGGGTAGGATGTCTGAGGTATGGGCCATTTTGGATGCTGAGGTATGGGCCTGCCCATACCATGTCGGTAGTCGTGTTAATCAATATAAACGGGGATAGTGACCTAGGGAAATGTAGTGTATAATAAGAATGTCTTTATTTTTCGCCATTCTTCCATGTTTCTGCAATGTAATGTATATCTCCTGCCAAATCAGATGACCTGCCCGGATCATCACGGATGGTCTTTTCCGCAGAAATTATACGGCATTGCCAAAAGCCCCCGTCCAAAAGTACAACTCTTGCAAAGGTAGATAGAAAAGAATTCAATTAAGAAGAAACATTTAAGAAAAAAAGTAAAGCAAGGTAAAAAAGCGGGAAAACAGGAATAATCATATATTTCGTCAACAGTGATTTAGCAGTAGCATTGTTAGACAGCTCGGAAAGTGACTTCTTTGAAGTAGATTTGGATAATCTTGTTTGCTGTTTAAAAGATCCAGCACTCACTAGAGACAGAGCAGTGACATACAAATTTATGCAAATGAGACAAAGCTGTGCTGCAAATTTTCAGGATATATATGAATACTGGCTATTCTATGATTGATGATAATTTCGTTACATATTACCTATGCCTTATTTAAAAAACAGCTTTATTGATTGTAGAAACTGTGTTAACTCATGGGGTTTGGGATTGAGTAAAATTGTATTTCACAATAAGCACTGGGTTCTAGTTTTTTGATGGTGAGCCATGCTTGACACTGCCTGGCCCATACCTCAGATGATAATTTTTTTTTGTGTAAATTACATTTTTGTGGAAAAATACATTTTTTCCCAAAACTCCTTCTAAAAACTCCAAAACAATGCTGGGAATAGTTAGCTGTTTTGTTAAACATTCAGTGGGTAAAAAAGTGAATATTTAATTCAAAGGGCCAAAGCGGTGTGGCCCTCCAAAGTTTGGTGACCCATACCTCTCCACTTTCCCCTACCTTTTATGGCTCTCTTTACCAAAAAGGTGTCAGACCCCTGCACTTGAGCATCTTTAACATAATTTCAACCAGTTTGGCCTGGTCATGCCTCCAACATTTATTTATTCTAGGCTCGATGGCCAAGCGGTTGAATCGATAAACCTAACTGTGTTGGCATCGCAGGTTACACATATCAGGTTCAAAGTCCTGCCAACCACTTCACCCAGGTTGCAATAAAGTGGAAAGTGGGTGCTGAACCAAGAACATTCCTGCCTTTCCGAAAATAGTATCTCCTTACGTTCTGTTAGATATTAATGGCTTGTTTGAATACCGTAATTGAATTTATTTACAAACTTGACTACCAAAACACTTCATTTCTTAGCATAATTAGGTTGCTTAGTTGGTAAATTCTTACTGATATTTTCCTGCAAATGATACAAGATGGAGCATAAAATCAATGTTGATAAGAACAATCGCATGTCAGTAGTTTTTCAAGAACTCAATAAAATGAGAGAAGATCCTGAACGATGTGACTTCAGAATCCTAGTTGGTTCTGAAAAAATTCTGGCTCACAGAAATATTTTGTCTGCAAATTCAAAATATTTCGAAGCAATGTTTACACACAACACAAAGGAAAAGCAATCAGGTGAAGTTACATTGAAAGAAGTTGACCAAGTTTGTGTGAAAAAGTGTGTTGATTACATGTACAGTTTTGAAATTTCCTCTTCATATGAAAAACTTGGTGATTTACTACATGTCGCCACTATGATGCAACTGCATGAAGTTTGTGATGGCATAATAGAACTTCTTGAGGAAAACTTGGACTCAGAATCATATTGTGTTACCAAAAAACTATCAAGCATGTTTAGCCTAAAGTCACTTGAAGAAAAATGTGATGAATTTGTTTTGGAAAACTTTGAAGAAATTTCCAAACTGGATGATTTCAATGGTCTTGGTCAAATGGAAGTTGCAAAAATGATAGAATCCATGAAGTTGAAAGCCTCCGAAGAAGTAAAACTTACGGCTTTACTAAGTTGGATCAAGTTTGACTCTGATGATCGTAGCAAATATGCAAATAATTTGATCGGTCTTGTTGAGTTATCCAAAGTATCTCTTGGATATCGGAGACATCTTATTGAAAACGAACCAATGATAAGAGAAAACAACAAATGCTTAGCCTGGTTCAGCATTTCTGTGATGGATTCAGTAAAAATTAAACCAACCAAAGTCGTTGAACAAACTGCAAATACCGAAGCCATTGTTGTTTTTGATAGAAACTCTGATCATCTTCAGTGTTTTAACCCAACCGACAAATCTTGGACACAAATGCAGGAGATGAATCAGGAAATAAAGAGGTACTTCTTCTCTGCTGTTACTGCTGGTGATTTCATTTATGTTTTAATGAAAGACAAAAAAGTTTACAAAATCCAATATTTAGATAAAGATGCCAACTGGGAGAAAATGACCGATATGCTTGAAGATCATGGACGTTGTCCACCAGCTGTTGTTTACAAGAACTGGATTTATGTGATTGGAGGACATGCTTGGCGTGAAACAGCTACTGTTGAAAAATATGACTTGGATTTGAATGTGTGGACCAAATGTCATGACAAACTGCAACCTACAAAATGGTCTGAAGTAGTATCTTTTCAAGATAAAATTTATAGTTTTGGTGGATTCTCAACTGGTCAATGGATAGATGCAGTTGATCAACTTGATCCAGAAACAGGTAATTGGACAACTATTGGCCACATGAATAATGCAAGAGGTTATGTATCTGCTGTGGAATTGGGTGAAGAGATTTATGTTCTAGGTGGATTTACCGACAAACATCAACACTTCCACACAGCCGAGCAATATACTACACATGAGGATAAATGGAAATCACTGCAATCAATGCTCATCCCTAGAAGTTGGTTCCGTACATTTGCAATTCAAGGTGATATTTTTGCAGTTGGTGGTTATAACAGTTCCCCTGGTAGTTTGGAAAAATACAACATTGATGAGAGTAAATGGGAGATGATAAAGATACCTAAAGGAGTAAAACTGAAAATAAAAGAATCTGTGAAAATTCAGCTTAAAATATGAAAATACTGTTGGAATCTCATTGATGAATATTTTCTCATGCCATGTGTTTTGTATTCATTATGAAGTGATCGTTATTAATGTTCTGTTATTGATGAAATGCCTCGACTTCAAAAATTAGTTAATTTTAATTTGATTTGATAAGAAATTCTGTAAATGTCTTATGTCATAGGAAGGAAGTAAACCACCAGCAGATCTTGATGGAATCTCTCTTATCTTGGTAATTGGTTTCATTTAATTTATCATGGTCACATGGTAATATGACGGTTGCTATTAAAATATTTCATGTTGCTCGCTTTCATGCTGCTATATAATATGCTCATACCTATATTATTCTACTATGCAATGAAAATTCAATCAGTATTTTATTTTGAATTTATCGCTTTATTTTCTAACAATTTTTTAAAAAATCATAAAATAATATTCAATAAATGAAGGCTTTTTAGATTCTAAAATGTATAAACTATGTAATATGTCCAATAATGTACCTTGTTTTAATTTCAGATTTCTAGAATTTATTTTATTAGAAATAGAAAAGTATTTTAGTAAAATGATGGATTGACACTTTATATACAAAATGGGAATTAAGGCCTCAAAGACCTTGGAATACTTGAATTATTAGTTATCATTGGTAAGTTTTGATCTTTGCAAATATTACATGTTGAAAAACTATTTGAATGGTAAATCAAGTTGGTTAGTTTATGAGGGCTGATTGTTCATAATTGCCCATTAAGTATGTTAGAATTGATTTAAATAAATTGGTCAATAAAGGCAAGCATACTTCATATCTGGAAAAAAGTATTCTTGCAAATAGGACAGTGTATTTAACTGTAATGTTAACATTACAAGTAATAAACAGTTAGTAGTCAATGGCCAGGAATGCTGATTGGGGAAAAATTGGGCAGCTCACTCTGTTTCTAAATCTTTAATTTCAAAATTTACAGATAAATTTTTTCTGCTTGTGGGTTGTGACAGAAAGCAGACTTACAATTTTTGAGCACTAGCTCCATATGTTTGCAACTATGGAATGTTTATGTCAAAAGTTTTGTATCGCTTCGGATAATTAAAATTTTAAGAATTGTTGATAACTGAAGATCGAGGCAAATATTTGTTTTGGGCTTGGAAAAATATATGGTGTTCTACTTCTCCCATCTATTAAATCATATCAAATAATTTAAAAAAATACCCAAGTATCTCCACAATGAATAAGCTTACTAGTTCACTGCTTGTTTCCAGCCCTCTCAAGGCTAGTTCACCCTTAATTTTATTAATAAAAATCACTTGTTGTAATTGCTGGCCATGCATATTGAACAAATGTCAAAGAAGAGTCTCTTAGAATCTCCTACAACAACATGGGTTTTGTCGTTGTTCGTTGGAAATACCTTGTAGCTTATCTTCCATAGCATTTTAATTTCGGCGAAATCTTTTTGTTTAAACAACCGTACTGCTGGTCCTTTCTTAGACAAACAACAGTAGACAGTCGGGTAAATATTCACAAACCAAAGTAAATAAACTATGGGAACCTATGAGGTGTAGTTGACGCTGCATTTTTGCACGTTTGTTGGTATAGGAGGGAGTTACAGTAGGCACTAGGCAGTATATGAAGTTATGCCAGTCCTCTTCTAAATGCTGTTTTACACTCATATATTACAAGTTAGGTAAACTGCATTAGGTAATTAGAGCGTTAGCCTTTATCATATGGTAACGGTAGGCCTATATTTGTATGTTTTCAGATCTGTAATATTAATTTCAAGATGTTATGGCTCATGATGATAAACGCAAGTGGAGAAGAGATGTTTTTCACTATACTGTACGAAGCATTGACTTTTTGTCGTATGATTTTTTATTGTTTTATTTTAGTGCCCAAGGCCGGGAATCATTAAAAAAAGTTCAAGGGGTTCGTCATGGAATTTTTTTTAAAAGTTTGGGAACCACCTGCCCAAAACAATGCGTTCGTCACCAAGCTGATTATCAATATATATCAAAGTTGAGACCAGTCATACAAAATAAATAGATATTTTACTTGTCACTTTTTTGGTATTTTATTAATTTTTATTATTGTGTGATAAGGATGCCCATATAGGTATGAATAAAATGATTTTCGTTGTTATGCTTTTTACTTAATGTTAATTTTTAATATACCGTACTAAATTGACAAATTTATGGGAAACTCATTATATATTTCTTGTGAAAATTCCATATTTTGAATAAAGTGATCAATTACAATTAAATTAAAGTAATTGTTCAAGAATCCCCACTCAAGGGTATAGTAATTACAGCCACAGTTTTAATTTATTAATTTTTAATAAATAAATAATTTTAATTTTAGTTCATGTAGTTCTCGCCTTAGATTCAAAGTAACAGGTAGCATTTTTTGATTAGCAAGAGATATCCAACCACTATGAACGTGCTTAGCAAGGCTTTGCTTATCAGTGTTCGACTGAGGAATCTGCCAGAGTGTCTTGCCCTAATCTCCCAATGAACTATAAGACATCACCATGTGTGGTCGGAAACATAACCACATTTACTGTTTCAAGCATTTTGCATAGGGCCTTATTTCCATACAAACTAAATTTGTAACTGGATGAGAGGCTGCTGTTTTATGTATGGTGGAGATTTCTCACCAGCTTTCCTCAAAATCGAAGACCTATCTTATATTAAGAATCAGAGCATCAGGAGAAATTTTGACCTGGCCATGCATAAATGGGATTAACGGATGTGAATGCTTGGTGAATAAGACTCAAGTTTTGGAATACAAATTTATCAGTTTTCACAACATAAGGGCATGTTAAAATCAGGAAGAAAATTCAAGTTTGCCCAAGGTTATAGTCAAATGAAATCTCTCTTAATGAGTTACCAATGTAGGTGCTGTAGGGCAGGGGGCGGCAAACTTCGACCCGCTGGCCAAATGCGGCCCGCAAATTTTGGCGGCAGTGCAGAACGTGTATTGTGCACATTCGAAAGCATATAGAGTATTGCTAGGAGTAGCTTTATCTAAAATGTATTACACTAAGAATAGGTTTCATACTCGCTTGTCAGATCGTCATTTGGAAGACGTACCGCTTTGGCCATGACACAGAAACAACATTATTCCACACATAATAATAAGTAAATGAAAATAATGCATTGTTTGATTATATATTAAAAAGGATATACACACGTCTCATTGCGACATGCTGTATTTAACACAGCATTAGAGATTGAAAGTGTGCCATATTTTGAAGTTTAGTGTGGCGGTTGTTCGCAGGCGAAAATAATGCGGCCTGCACGCTACCGGAAATGTGTATATTTGGCCCGCAAGTACATGAAGTTTGCCGACCACTGCTGTAGAGGAATGAAAAATCAGATAAATATTCTAAAAATGCCTAATATTGTTTCAGGATATGTGCTCCTATATTGGCTGGGCATAGGAATATCAATGCAAATAATCATTTCAGGTGTACGTGCTTGGATGTGAAACATAAAGTTGACTATTAGATATGTGAATCATTCTGCCAAGTATTGAGTGGTAATTTTATTCATCATATTCCATACTAATACTATTTTAAGACTTCATTCCAGTTTGCATTCCAACCTTGCTAAGATGAATATATGGGCTAATAATTTCTATTCTTTGCAGAGTGAACTATTGTCCACCTCAACGTTCAACTCACATTATCTATCTCATTGTGCTCTTTGTGAGTGTATAGAAACAGAAGAATGCATATTTAGAAAGAAAAAGTGAAAAAAACTAGAATCGGTTATCCATAATTTGTGTCCATCTTATCACATTGTATAAAACCATGTCGACGTGTAATCTTTCATTAAATGCGAGTTGGGTTCATCATATCTTCTTCTTATATGGGCGGGATGGCCAAGCAGTTGAAGTGTTAGACTTAAACATATATGCATCTCCGGTTACACATCTGGTTTTCAAATACATTATCTTATCATATCTTCTTACATTATATTATCTTCTTTTAAATACGTCATCTATTTATGTATAAATAAATGGCTGCTTATATATGACTTTGTTTTAAGTGACAAGTGGGTAAAATGTTGTTACGCATTGTGCTTCATCTCACCCAGGCTGTAGTAAATTGGGTATACTAATCGAACCTGAAATATTCCGATTCTTCCAAAAATAGTAGCCCTCTACATATCGTTGAATATCAGCGGATGCTGGAGCAAAAGGGGCAAATAACTGTTATGAAAAAGTATCTCCAAAACAAAATGCTTACTATATTTCATTCCCTCATCAACTGTAAACTATCAACTAGTTTATTTGCTCATATTTATGCTTTATTTTTATAAATTAAATTTCAACTGTAAGTTTTAGGCCCCCTATCATTTATTCCTCAAATAAATATTCACCCATAGTAATGATAGAGTGAAAAAACAGAAAAATGCCAATTTAGCAAAAATAAAAAATAAAAGTGCGAATAACTAGAATTGGTTATTTAAAGTAAAAATTTTACTCACCCTTCCTTAACATTCTATGGAAGCATGCACACCCTAAAGTTTTCGGTATCAAATTTTGATTCTTCCAGATCATGAGTTTTTTCTACCCAATGAGTTGTGCCAATTTTTTAACCCAGAGTTGGAGTTGATTTTTTTGTATCAAGTCAAACAAATTTCTGGACCACGTCTCCCACTAATCCAACTTTTATTTATGCTAGATATTATTTTAAAATAAATTGGGTATCCAATGCTGAACTGGAGTAGACCGTTACTTATTACTTGGTGTCAGTGGCTGATTGTACAGGGACTCATTTGGAGCACTAGACATGAATAAGTGCCATATAAATAATCTTCAATCTTCATCTCATTTTTCTCCCTTTTTTCGATATTGTGTGGAATTTATCTGTTGCTATCAATTATTCGAAAAATAGAATTGATTTACAATTGACTATCGAAATCTTCAATTCTTTAGAATAATTAAGTTGCTTTGTTGGTAAATTTTCACTGATATTATTCTATAAGTTATACAAGATGGAGCATAAAATCAACATTGATAAGAACAATCGCATGTCAGTAGTGTTTCAAGAACTCAATAAAATGAGAAAAGATCCTGAACGATGTGACTTCAAAATCCTAGTTGGTTCTGAAAAAATTCTGGCTCACAGAAATATTTTGTCTGCAAATTCAAAATATTTTGAAGCTATGTTAACACACAACACAAAGGAAAAGCAATCAGGTGAAGTTACATTGGTAGAAGTTGACCAAGTTTGTGTGAAAAAGTGTGTCGATTACATGTACAGTTTTGAAATTTCATCTTCATATGAAAAGCTTGGTGATTTATTGCATGTCGCCACTATGATGCAACTGCATGAAATTTGTGATGGCATAATAGAACTTCTTGAGGAAAACTTGGATCCAAAATCGTATTTTGTTACCAAGAAACTATCGATCATGTATAACCTAAAGTCACTCGAGGAAAAATCCGATGAATTTGCTATTGAAAACTTTGAAGAAATCTCCAAACTGAAAGATTTCAATGATCTTGGTCAAATGGAAGTTGCAAAAATGATCGAATCCGAGAAGTTGAAAGCTTCTGAAGAAGTTAAACTTCGTTCTGTACTAAGTTGGATCAAGTTTGACTCTGATGATCGCAGTAAATATGCAAATGATTTGATTCGTCTTGTTGAGTTATTTAAAGTATCTCTTGGATGTCGGAGACATCTTATTGAAAATGAACCAATAATAAATAAAAGCTTTGATTTGCTGTCTCGGTTCAGTATTTCTGTGATGGATTCATTGAATGTCAAACCAATCAAATTAATGGAAACTGCTACAAATGCTGAAGCCATTGTTGTTTTTGATAGGAACACTGGTCATCTTCAGTGTCTTAACCCAACCGATAAATGTTGGACACAAATGCAAGAGATGAATCAGGAAATGAAGAATGGCTTCTTCTCTGCCGTTACTTCTGGTGATTTTATTTATGTTTTAATGGAAGACAAATCAGTTTACAGAATGAATTATTCTGATAAAGATGCCAACTGGGAGAAAATGACTGATATGCTTGAAAGTCATGGGTCGAATCCACCAGCTGTCATCTACAAGAACTGGATTTATGTGATTGGAGGTTATAATGGCTGTGAAACAGCAACGGTTGAAAAATATAACTTGAATTTGAATGTGTGGGTAAAATGTCATGACAAACTACAACCTACAAAATGGTCTGAAGTTATAGCTTATCAAAATAAAATTTATAGTTTTGGTGGATGCTCGTCTGATCGATACATAGATGCAGTTGATCAACTTGACCTGGAAACAGGTAATTGGACAACTATTGGTCACATGACTAATGCAAGAGGATATGTATCTCCTGTGGCATTAGGTGAGAAGATTTATGCTTTGGGTGGATTTACTGACAAACATCAATACTTCAACACAGCTGAGCAATATAATCCAAATGAGAATAAATGGAAATCACTTCAATCAATGCTCATTCCTAGGAGTCGGTTTCGTACCTTTGCAATCCAAGGTGAGGTTTATGCAGTTGGTGGTTACAGCAGTTCCCCTGGTAGTTTGGAAACATACGACATTGCTGAGAATAAATGGGAGATGATTGAAATACCTGAAGGAGTAAAACTAAATATAAAAGAAGCTGTTAAAATTCAGCTCAAAAATTAGGAATGCTATTACTATGATGGGGATAATTGATGACATAAACATTTACATTAATGTGTGAATGCCTGTCTTTTATTTCATTTAGTTTTTCAAATTTTATCCAAGAAGTGGCGTCTTATTATCACTTTAAAATGATATGATTTACGGTACATATCTTCAATGCTTTCTTTTTATTCAACTGTTTAATAATGGAAGAATTGTAAAAAATGGGTACTCCTGTAGTATGTGCACCAAGATGGGAGTCGCTTGGCTAGTCCCCGAACTCGTAATAGAACTAAAATAAGGAGAATTGGAATAAAATTAACGCCTAAGCCTAACCTGATACACATACTACATTCCGGTGTCCGCCACCTTGGTTCACGTACTACGGGAGCGCCAAAAAAAGTTATGAGTGTTACTGATATCTTGAAATATGTCAGTCGCCTAACAATGCCCATTTTTAGATAAGAAATTCATACCATTCCCAGCCTGGTTGATATTTATGCAGTTGATTATTGTTACAGTTTTCGTGATAGTTTGCAATTTTTGTTGATGAGTCAATTTAATAAATTGGCTGGGTTGATATGTTGGAATTTGGCAATGTTGCTGCAATCGGGGTCAGTGTCACAGTTTTGTATTTGACAAGTCGAATTTGAAATTTTTTAAATCCCAGAGTCCGATTTCTAAATATTGTATAAATTAGCATGGTCATGCTGATTGGGGGATATTCTGTTCTTTCACAGATTGGAGCATGTTTTGTTCAACCCTGCTTGGGAAGTTTTGAAATTAAAATTTATTCCAATCAGTATCAAATGATTCTAAACTATTTTTATAGGGGTATTGGTGGTAGTTCATAGTGATGAATTCGTTATTTGTTGTCAGTGTGTGTAACAGACGGCCCACGAGCCTCCACCCGCCAAGCTATTTAGTGTGGTTCTTAGCAACACTAAAATTTTCCCCATCAAGCATAAAAACTTAATCCGATAGGCTTATGTTTAAAAAGGCACTCACAAGGACAAAAATACATAATGTAGTAATAAAAATAATAATAAAATAATAACTTTTGGGGTTTTATTGAAAAAAGCAAGCTACCCAAGAGAGTTTTCTGGCGACCCAGTTTTGCGTCGTGACCCATAGGTTGAGAAACATTGGATTATATCTTATATGATCCACCGGCAAAAAATGATGCCCACCCCTGCTATCATTTCGGTTTCATTTTTATTTTGAACTAATGAATAATTTTTTATTAACTTTTTTCAATATTGTACTTCTAGTGCGCTTATATATTCATGTATGATTTCTTATATATTTCTCATAGAATATTTCCATAACTTTCTATTTAATGAAAACTTGCATAATCAAGGCCTATGCTTTGAAGGCTGTAGGCAAGTAGTCATCGATGTCATAAATTTTACAATTAGATCATAGATACTTGCAATATTTACTCAATGAATAACTACCGATATGTGATAACTGTTTTTGTATGGAACTAATATTTGTTATGATTTGTGTATCTTGTATTTTACCGAAAATTTTGTTTTAAGTATATAAGTTTTGATGTTTATGAAATAACAAGTATATCAAAGTGGGATACCCTGTATCAAAGTGTTCAAGGACATTGGATTATGACAAATTGGCTTCAATTGAACCTTAGGTAAGTTGAAAATTATAAAAATATTACTTACCGTAGTTCTATTACTCAACTGATATCAAAACTGTGCAAGGTTGGATAAGGCTTTTTTCATAAACATTTTAGTACAGTGGTTCTCAAGCAGCCATCCACATATTTTCAACTTGTTCTCCGAATCTAACATACCGGTACTTACAATTTGCTATTGGTAGCTCATTGTTATTTAATTATTTTTTGAGGTAGGGTGCGAGACTTGACAATTCTAAAAAGGGTGTGCGGTTCAAATTATGCTACCGTATTTCCCGGCTATTAAGTCGCTTTTCTAGACCCAATTTTTCTCCCTGATTTTGCGGGGGGTGGTGTCTTATTAGGCAGGTAGGCTTATTTTTTGCACTAGCGTTCTCAAACATGATTTGTATATCTGGGTTGATATATTCTATAATGTATTCGCCGCCTTCAAAGTGTCTGCCAATCAAAATTATTTAATTGACTCTGTACTGCCAGCTGTTATTTTCCTTTTATTAAAAAGTGGCCGGTGCAATGAAGCACTCCTCCCTGCTTATGCCTGATATCGGCACTTCGAAATAAAAACAGCTACCACAAGATAAAGTGATTGATTTATGACCCTTCGGTTATATCGAAAAACCCTCTTTTTCAGTGATGAAAATAGACTTTGTCTTATAAGCTGATAGTCCAGTCAAGAATTTGTGCTACAAAATTGGCTATTACTATCACAGTGTTATAGTATTATTCGAATTTGCGCTCATTTATGTTTTTAGAAATGAAAATTGATAACATTTGTAATATTTAATTTTTTTTAATTTAATTTATTTAATGGAGAAGAATATTGTATTGGAATATTTCCGGTTGTATCTATTTTGTTCAGTCGCAACTACTCTCGCAATTAACCATTTGTTTTCCTATAAGAATGTTTTCGTGCAAAGCCTCGCGCAAAACATGCTGAAAATTGGCATCACGTAAACATAATTAGCAAGGGAAAGGCAACAGATATTCTCATATTCTATTATTAGTACTACATTTGGTGAAACCGCATTTCCCAATAATGAGACCTAGCCTGAATTTTGAAAATGATACAAAAATAGGCCCGGCCATTAAAATAAGACCTAGTCGATAATGCGAAATGTAATTAAACAAAAAATGTGTTATTTATAAGTAAATATACATATTTTGTATATTCGAAAATCTTGTAATTCTCTACTTTGTCTCTACAGAAGTGTGTGTACCAATATAGAGGTAACTAATTTTGTTTGCCTACATCAAGCTGTGTAAAGGGGCTGAAACCTGGGTACTCCCGAAGTATGTGACAAAGGAGGTAGACACCGGAACGTAGTATGTGTACCATGTTAGGGTTAGGCCATAATTCCAGATACAAATACTATGTGAGTCACTTGGCTAGTCTTCGAACTCGTAATAGAACTAAAATAGGAAAAATTGGAATATAATTATGGCCTAACCCTAACCAGGTACACATACTATGTTCTGGTGTCCACCATCTAGGTTCACATACTTCGGGAGTATCAAAACCAGGGTATATTTACTTGGCCAACACAGACAGTCTCCGAACTCATAATAGAACTAAAATAAGGAAAATCGGATTAAAATTATGGCCTAACCCTAACCTGGTACACATACTACGGGAGTACCTAAATTTGTGCAGTTCAAAACATATAATAAATATGCCCAGTGACTGACACCCTGGTGGTTTCTTTGCGAATGAATCGAAATAAAATCTTATCTTATCTTATCTTCTTATTCAGTTTGTTCAAGCTTGTTCTGCAGATATGCTACCAGTAGTTCACAGGTGGCTAAGAATAAAATGGATCAATACACTTTGCTAGTTCCACAATTAGTGGATCTGAATTTTTATTACTCCATACTTGGCATAGCATTATAATTCTTTCTAGCCGTGCTTGGTCTTTTATGTTTCTCAGTATATCGCAGACGCTTTTCATGTCCTTTGTTGCTTGACTTCTCTTGAATAGTAATACTGAAGTGACAACAAAGAGTCAGAGATAAAGTTTTGTACTTTAGTCATCAGATTACGTTGTCAAATGATAATACAATTAAATTGTAAACAGTGGAGACACCTGGCTTCATTATATTCGCAAATAACTGTATAATAAAATCTATGGACAATATAATACCCTTGTAGAAAATCCTATTCATATTGACTGTCAGAAGGCTAAGCGATACAATTCAAGGGTATATTTTATTACTTGTAGCTTCGAAGAAGATGTTCTTGTTGAAACTCAAATTAAAGTGACTTTCTTTGTTATGAAAGACAGATATAGAAATGCAGGCATCTTTATTTACAGATATTGTACTAATATGAAAAGTTAACATGTTTTGTTAAATTTAATTAAAAAAACTGTATTGTTTATATTTATTGTATATATTATTATATGAGGCAAATAAAATAGTAAAAAGATAATTAAATGCTTTTATTGTTATATTGAACCAACAGAAAATCATAGTTCAACTTCTGTTTTAAACATATTTAATTAAATTTGGATATCAGATTTTAAAATTTTTATACTTTTTATTACTTTTACTAAATACTAAAAGGCTTCATAACCAATATAGAAGCGTGGTTCAGTTTGGTTTTAATGGCTATCTCAGTGGGGCCCAAACCTGCAATTCCTGTCTGACTGTAGAGATGTGATGCAAATTTAAGTCTGATGCTTAATAACTAGTTACACCACTGTCCAGCCAAATTAATGGGATATAAGGAAAATTAAAAAATAATTGGAGAATTATGACAGACTTTTACACTAGGAAAGTTGCGAATTTGAAACTTTAATAAGGAGGTGGCTATTTATTAGAAACAAAATTTGCATCACGTTAGGTAAAAAACATCAGGGTGATATTTCAAACTATGGATGAAACGAATGGAAAATGCTAGTCTTCTGCTGTTTTTAATATGATGGATATCACACCAATTTGTCTGAACAAAGATAAGCATCCGCTACATCTAAGATGTAAAGAAATACCCAAGGTTTAGATCAGGGGTGGCCAACCTTTCACATACCATGCGCCACGTTTTAAACATAATGTTTTAGATGCGCCGTAAATATCTTGTATTCCCACGCCTAATGTCCGCTTTTTGTTGAAATTATATAAATTTATAATACACACACATATATACACACGTATATGTAGTTTTTACAATTTACAACTGCACATGAATAGAAATTAAGCAAGGAAGTATAATAAATAAAACTGATCAATTTCATTTAAGTACCGCCTTTATGAGACTTTTGCTGCTGTTTTACTTTCGCCAGTTTTTTTATTCTTGGAGTTCTATTTTTGAAAGAGTTTTTTCACGAACAATGCACACCGGTTTCCTTGACGGACCTGCAATAAATAACAACTCATTTTCCCATTGTTCATTAAATTCACGCTTACTATCAGTTTCCGCCTTTCTTTTGTTCATTTTCTTTCGCACTGTGTTGGGTAACAAAATATATAAAAGCAAAGCTTAAGTCTTGAAAAGTACACAACTGCAAATGTTTACAAACAAAAATCAACCTTTAATAGACGCCTTTACACACACAAGAAGAAACTTTACCATTTAAGTTTACAGAAAACCACTCATTTAGAGAATTACCGAATCACTGAATTAAACACTGAATGAATAAATTTCAATGACAGCCTCATATATATAGTTAGCTCAACGAAAATTCTCGTATCCACGCAAAAATTCGAGCAATTTACGATAAACAGATTACGATTGATTACGAAACAGGGAATCATTGTGGACCATGCTTCAAATAAAAACTATAGCCCTCCTGAAAGTAGGAAAAAAACACATTCTGTCTTATGAGCATTACGCAATAAAGCTGTTTTTAACAACGAAGAGAAAAAGGTACGATTAAGAAGTAAAGTTAGGCGTAATATTGTGACAACATGCCTTTAGTATCAATATTTGAACTTCATTTATTTTCCTGTTAAAGATGCAATGCGCCACTTCCAATCATGCAATGCGCCACGTTTGGCGCATGCGCCATAGGTTGGCCACCCCTGGTTTAGATAATAAAGTACGATAATTCAAGTTTGTTCCCCCAACACATTTACACATGACATTTGTAAAAGATAGAATACAAATTTGATTGCATAGTTTCATAGTTCGGATTGATATAGTTTCCAAATTTATTTAGTATTAATTCTATACATTATATGGGTGTCATCAATTGTGTACTCTTTTCAATTTCTCTTACATAAAACTTAGTTCTCAAAGCATTGATTTTGTATATATACCAGGATAAAATTGGAGTAGGGTTTTTATACCCTGAAAAAAAAAGATGATATGATGACCTAATCATATGATGAACCACTGCCTTTGTTTAGTTTAGTTAGTGGGAATAGTTAGCCAGTTACAATGACACAGAGCCAAGCACTTCTTTCACACATAATTATCCTCCGCAGAATCCAAACCTGTGAGTCCTTGTAGGCAATGTAGGGTAATCAGAGGTGCAATGCCAAGCAAATACATAACACTTAGATGGATACGCCCAACGCTGCTACATGTCATTGACTTATAATGAGGTCTTTGATAACTTAAAGTATTGGATTTCAAATTAGCTAGATAGGTAAGAGAGGATTCTTTTCCTTGTATCTTGAATATTTTGCATAATTAGGTTTTATTAAAATAATCCCATTTGGAGTCCCTGTTTTTGTCGCACTTCTGATTTCCCTGTGTGGGTTAGCAGGTTTGAATCATGTGATGGATTATTATGACTGTTGAACTCTTTGTGGTAGAGTAGTTCACTATCAAGTTCATGCTTCTCAAAATAAATAACTAGCTAAATAATATTATACCCGACATGAACCTGTAACGGGACGAGAGTCTGTTGTATGTCATAGGATTGAGGGGTCATATATTGGCTTGTCTCTCCCTCCCAGGATAAATATGAAAATTTATGTCAATATAAAAATGAGATTCCTAGGAATAGAAATTGTATTTTCTTCATGCATGTTAATTTGAAAATATCATTAAAAATGCTTATATTCACATTTCATGACAATTTTGTTTTCTTTTGTTTCATTTAGAAATATAAAACTATATGGCCATGGTCAATAAAAGTAATGTAGAGGTAATATCCAATGGCGCAGATCTGATTAGTCTTCATGAAAAATTGAATGGAAAAAAAAAAAGAAAGCTAGCTGTAAATATATATTTGAACCAGCTGGATGAGAAGGTGAACTACAAAGCTTTGAATTTTGTCTCAGAAAATTGTACTGAGCTCAAGAAGGTGACTGTGAAAAGTTGCTTTTCCAATGGAGAAGACTTGTGCAATTTCCTCGAGGCCTTGTCAAAAAATCCTGACAAAAAAGTGAGTCAGATTGAAAATGCTATTGCAGTTTGGAAATTCTTCCATCTATTTTTGTTTCATTTTGTTTTCATTCAATAGTTTTAAAATATCCGCACATGTAAGCCAACCCTGCATATAAGCCGACCCCCTGAAGACAGCCGTGAAGTGGTGAATTTAGAAAAATTTGGGTACTCCCCTAGTATGTGTACAAGGTTAGGGTTAGGCCATAATTATATTCGGATTTTTCTTACTTTAGTTCTATTACGAGTTCAGGACTGTCTCTGTTAGCCAAGTGAATATGCCCCCTGCCCATAGGTTTCAGTCCCTTTACACAACTTATAAAATAGTAATGTAAAATAGGCGATGTAGAATAGGCGAACAAAATTAGTTACCTCATAGTCATATTGGTACACATACTTCTGAAGCGTCTAAATTTGCATATAATCCGACCCTAAAATACAGACCAATCACAGACTGTTTGTGATGTCATTCCCTAAAACTTAGCATGGTTTGAGTTGTAGCTGTTGGAATTTGGCATGATGTCATTTCGTTTGAGTGCGATCAGAGTTATGCACGTATAAGCTGACCCCTTAGTTCGGTAACTTTTTTAGATATTCAATTTTAAACTCGGCTTTTATGAGAGGATATACGGTAATATATTATCCAGCTTTACAAAACCTATCATTCGATGAGTGATTATTCGAAAAAATCAAGTCCAGAGTACCGATTCCTTAAGCATATTTTTCATCTGAGCTAAAATATTTTTTTGCTAATTTTGATTTTTGCCCAAGATCCCCATTCAAATTGAACGCTGTGCTTTTGTGTCACAATGTTGGTTACTTTTTTATTACATGTTTGCTTTCTCATTCACAGTCAACTCAACTTGACATTACCGAAAATGGACACACTGAGGGTTGCACAGAGGCTTTAGTGAAGTTGATAAAGCAACGGTCTCTTTCTTCTTTGAAAGTATCTCATGAAATTCCAGAAGACAATCTAGGAAGGATATTGACACAAATCCAAGAAAGTTCTAAAAAGGTATAGCTAAAATTTGTTAAAACGTGAACTGCCTAAATTGTTGTAAAAACTGACTTATGATCTTTAGATTTAGTTTGGGTAAACCATGAATTTTTCTACTTATTTGACTTCCTTGCTTTTGGCCGGTGTTCAATATGGGGTGTACTTATCATGTAACATTTTGTACCCCTTCAAAATCAGAAACCTAATCTCTCACACCAATATGGAAAATTTGGAAAAAATAATTGACTTAGTATTAGATTAGCAAATAAGAAGTAGCAATACATAAATATTTGCAATCTCAGTTGAAGCAGAGTGCCCAGTTACTTTTTTTCTGTTGTTTCCACTGTGCTGTATCGTTAATGGCTGTGCGTTTTTTACCTCATGTAAACATTACACTGACTTAGTAGAAGGTTGTTGGTTCCCTCTTTATTCTAGGGGAGTGGAGGGCAATAAGATAATTTAATTGAATTTTTGGCGCATGTTCACTAAGCGCCGTAAGTACTTCTAGTTGGCACAAACATTTTTGAATACGTTATTCCTAACCCTCACCTGACTACGTCATTCAAAAATTACATCACTACGACATCACAATCAGGTCATAGAGCTTGCCAAGATAAGCCACAATCGCTCGGAATGGCATCTCTGCCGACGATAACGAACTCGCTAACGCCAGCGATCTCTCTCATATCGGGACGTTACGACGACAAAAACGTTGACGTTGTAGTGACATAATTTTTGGATGGCGTATGACATATGCGAAAATGGTTATGCCACGCCAGCTAGAACTACTTGACGGCGATTTGTGAACTAGCCCCGAATTTTTCATGTGATATATTTATACACCTTTCACTCTAAATAAACCGTAACTATTCACTGTAGCTTAGAATCTTTCCTGAATCTGAAGTGGTGAGCATGGGATTTGAACCCAAGACTTTAATATGCAATAGCTAAGTCTAATACTTTTAACTACAATGACTTTGAGAAGTGGGGGAAGCTGTGACTAGCCAGAACTTACAGGATCAGCAATTCTTTTGCTCGTACCCATTTTTTAATACTTTAACTAATTAAATAAGAATTTAACCATGTGAACCAACACAGTGCAGTAAGTCCAATGTGTTGTTATGATTAGCAAGAAACGACAATTGCTAAGCCATGAATAAATATGATTTAATGATAAATTTTACATTTTCAGTTCAAACACTTGAGCATCATCAATTACGATCTTTCTGATACATTGTTCGAAAAACTTCTTAGTTTACTGAAGCATAAGAAAATCCGAAAAAAACTAGATCTGTCTGGTTGCACAATTTCGGAAGAGCAAAAAAAGTCACTGCGTGACACAGCAAGTAGCAAATTATTTCAAATAACGGTATGTGTGTATTTTCGATTTCAATATTTCTACTAGTTTAGCATTGATTTTATGCCACAAAATTGAAGATTTGAATAAGATTGAATAATTATCGCATAAGGGAAAATTTTCAACTCCTCCTCCTACTCAATGTTGCATTTGCGTTGATGTTTTGGGGTAAGTTCCCATCTAGGGCTCAGTCAGTTTGCGGGGGGCCAATGGAGGGGAGCCACAATGCCACATGCAAATTTGATTTTACTTTTCATTTTACAAGAAAACTCCCCATTCTTTATAGTTCTATTGCTTAGTAATATTATTTCACAAATCACAGTGTTTTCACTTTGTTGAGTATGAATTGTTTGAAAATAATAGGACTTAGAATCTACCAATCAAAATGACACTATACATACCACTGGAATGATAAATAGTGGCTTGTGAGTGCTGATAACCTCTAGAAGGGGGTCACTGGCCATAAAACACAGGTAACCACCGGGTTAAGTAAAACAATTTTCAAACACTAAAAAATGTATTACATAGATTGCATGAAGTTAGGAGCCGATAGAATGAAATTATATTTTTCCCATGCTGTAGTACTATGGAAAGGATAGAATTTACGTAATATTCTATGGGAGACGAAAGCCGGTAAGAGGGCTTAACCATATGCCGAATCACGACCTCACGACGAGCGCTTGCGTGAACTGCCCTACACCAACAAGGAGTCCAATGCTCAGTCACATTCGAGCTTCACTCTCTTGTTTTATAATCCATGAACCATGGGTACACTTTCATATGCCATTCTGTGTAATTTTTAACCTTTGTGCCAATACAAGCTACCTTGTTATTGGAAGTCATGATGAGCCAATAACAGTCCTCAAACTTCACACAAGTTTAAACAGAAATAAATCCAATGCAATTGTACATAGAATACCTATCTGAAATACCCATACTCTACCTGGCCTAGTAATATGGCATGGTACTGTATTTTGTCACATATTATTAAGCTATGTAATCATATTACTGTATTTCTTTTTTTTCTTACAAAAAAATTAAATACCGAAACCTTTATGAACTAAACTGAAATTGAATGTGCAATTTTCATGCATGGTAAGTACAAAGTACAATTTTTTTACAGACACAGGCCAAGATAGTTTTTGATCCTGAATCACAATTTTCAGGAGTTACGAAGAATTATGAAGATAACACTGAGCAGTCTGGTATGCCTGAAATCTCTTTTATGCTCGATTATTTTGTTTGGCCTTGTGGTTGAAACTACTATCTTGTGCAGGATGTAATAAATAGAATAAGCAATGCCAGATCTGAAAGTTTCTAGTCCTGCCTGTGTATAGTCTTGTCCATGGTCCAACCTAAAAACAATTTAAAACATTTTTCTAAAAAGTGCAATGCTTTTCTGTGGTAATACACTTAGTGAGGCTTAATGCAAGCTGTTAGTGCGTACAGAGCTATCATATTTTTTGAACCAGTGCTTTTTTTCTTTAGCCTTCCGGGCTGACCTCATACCTCGTTTGGTCGGCATGGAGGCAGCGGGCAAGAGACTTTCTGTATACTTGCGTCGTTGCATGCGACATGCTAATCTCTAGGTCGTAGCACTAAATTCAATGACATCTTCAACCTTTTTTTAATATGGAGGCAATTTAAAGATTTTGTAATCTAATGTAAGGAAAAACAAAAATTAAATATTAACATTTTTGTCAATAAATTATCTATAATTTAAATTATTATTGGTCATTTTTTTGATAGTTAATTTTTAAGGTGAATATACTTCAATAATTCATATTTAGTAAGTGCACAAGCATCTTCTGATAAGCCATCAACATCTGAAACTAGGGAGGAGTTTCCTGTGAAGAGGATAGAGACTGAGCCATGTTAGTACCGGTATACTATTTTCGCCAATTTGCAATTTTTTTTATTAGGATGTGATTTCCATATTTATCCCAGCGGAGAGGCCTTTTATGGCCAAGTGCATGGTGGGGTATAGGATTAGTTTGCCAGTTATTTTTTGTTTGGTATTCAGATGGTCTTTATGGTGGAGGAAGTCATAACCGACCAGTAGTTATGTGAACCACTCTATGGCAGTGAGGAGTCCAGCAATCCCCTCACACATAATTATATGCCTTGGACTTCGAACTTGTGAACCCACCCAGGGTTACCAGAGGTGCGATAGGGCAAGCATATTCCTAATGCTTATCAAGAAGCGCAACACCACATTCAGATTTTCTTATAACACCTCATGTCAAAATTTTCCACATAGTCATTTTTCAGTTGTATTCAGATTAAGCTTTCCTCACATTTAAAGGGTTGCGGAGTCAAGTAGTATACTGATATTAATTTCTAAACTCATCAAAGTCAGGGATCGCAGACTTTCAAAACATTCTTACGGTAGTTAATTTAATTTAAACAGTAGCTTGAGTCTTTGTTTACAGAGTTCAGTAATCTTGCATTTGAGAGCTGGAGTTGAATTTGATTTTTTTTTTAGTCAAGAAAACCAAAATTTTCGTATCAATATCTCATTATATGTTCTAATCTGATTAATCAAATTTTCAGCTTTGGGAACTTTTCTTGAAGAAGAGCCCTTGTCAATCGAAAAAATTGATAATGTGTTAGAAGAGACTGGACAAAGAGAACCACAACATAATCTGCTGCGTTAGTTACATTACTTTTTCCATACCATGTGTTGCTTTTATTGTTTCGTAATGATTTTTGCAACCCAAGGCATTTTTTAATTATTGATGGGTATTTTAGCATTCATAAAAAAAATTTTTTTTGTAAAAAAGCTGTCTAGGTCAGTGATTCTCAAGCTTACATGATACATAAACTCTGAACACTCTTCTATGAAAATACCCCTCGTAAATTCTCGCAAATAGTCGAGTTTAAGACTCAAAAAAAATAGCCAAACCAAGTTATATGCACGTAACTAAAGCAACCATCTGCTGTGATAGATGCGTACGACGTATTCTGATTTGTAGAGTGGGCTTGTATGTGAATTTTTATAAATTCACCGTTTTAGGGCCATTTTTGGGGGGTTTTGTTTTATTGTTCTAGTTAACGAATTAAACAAATTGCAGTTAATTTAATTCAATGAAGTTGATCATAAGGAACAGTACCTAGTGAAGGACTCTATTATCCCAATATTTTTCAGATATGCTTTATTGCAATCTTCACTGGGCGCTCTGGAAGTATTCTTACCAAGATGACGCATAACCTGAACCTTAACCTGGTACACATGCTATGTTCAGGCTGTGCGCCATCTTGGTACACATACTTCGGGAGCACCCTTTACTGTACTATTTATGATGTACTATAACGATAGACAACACCATTATAATACCTAAATTATTTTCCAGCATTCAGAGCAACTTCTACAACATCCTTACCCCTGTCTACTGGAAACACCAAACCTGAAAGAAGTTTTGTTCCAATCAATAAAGGTAAAGCACAGAGTAGGAGTTACCGCAATTATCAAGTGGTTAGCGTGTTCGAAATAATTATGTTAACATCGCAAAAATACCCATTAGTACCAGTTAGTGCTATGACTCAGATTATGTATAAATTGTATGTTTCATAGCGTATAGGGCAGGGATGGCGAACCGCTGACCGTGACCCGCCAAGGCACGAATAAAATAAACTGCTAATATAACAGTGATAAAAATTGATCAAACCAGCCTTAAATTAATCTAACAATAACTGAACTATTATCAGTTTGGTAGCCAGGGCTGCGATCGCTCATACTCAAATTGTTAATTTCCGGGCCGGTATGGTAATTTTCAAAACTCCTAATCTGGATGCCGTGTCTGCACTCTGCATCGCTGTGTAACATTATTCAGCTATTGGCTCTGAGATCATTTATGACATAACAATGCAATCGATCTGTTTATTTCTCGCAACAACTCGTCTCTTTCGGAGGTCCATTTGCAGACTGTTTTAGGGGTTATACGAGAACCAGATGCTACTTTGCAGTTTATTAGTTTCTCGCCTACAATGCAGTTGAGAAAACAAAATTTTTCAGACTTGAAATAAAAACCTAGAAATCTGTAATAACAATGGGGGGGTACAAAATGACCTAATGTGGTTGAAAGCTGATCGAAAAATATAACACTATCAGAATGGAATTTCCTCCAAACCCTTTGGAACCGTAAAATAATTTTCCGCATCATCCTAAACGTTTTCGTTAACTCATATGCGTGTTTTCGTACTCTAATTTCATAAAATCGAGAGCCATAAAAAGTCCCTGATAGAAGTGCTGCATAAATAAAGCCCAAAACTACACCAAGAGAAGATAAGATTTGTTTCAGAAGTTTCCTATAGATATAAACATTGATTATATATCTGTGACCCACTCTATTCTGTTCCGCGATAAAAATATATTTTTTGACCCATTCATTGAAAAAGGTTCGCCATCCCTGGTATAGGGATTCCGGTTGAAACTCTGCGCTTATCTCTTCAACTAAAGTGTAATAAATTAGGTAATGTGTGGTGACTATAAGAATCTTAGTGGATCAAAACCATACGAACTATGTTCATGTCAGTGAGTTGGTTATTCCTTGTTCAGAGTCCTAAAGCGATCATATAAAATTCTTTCTTTTGATAATTATGCATGTCAAAGTTTCATACTCTAAATATATTTCACTTGAGTTGAATAGATTCGATAAGATATAAACTGGAATTTTTCCGGTGGCCAAATCACCAGAACGACTTGCTAATCCTTAAGTTGGACCTCCACTATGAATTCCATACATTTGAAATAAATAACTAACAAGGTTACCCATTTCCTGGGATAAATATCTTAATCTAATCAATAAATTTCTGACGAAATTTTTTCAAACTTTTTTTCAGATTTGAGAGCTAATTACAATCTATCAAAAGCAGATAGCAGAGATTCAGGCGTTGGTGAATCTTTCATTTCCCTTGACTCAGGTGAGCAATTTTATGAGATTATACCTTCACCCAAGCTAACTGTTAGGGCATTGTAACGTCATGGGCATAGATAATAAATTGGACTAGGGCAGGGGTCGGCAACCTTTTGTCGCTCGCGGGCCAAAATCAAGGTTGCAAGTCATTGGCGGGCCGCACATATTTTTAGAAAGTTGAAAAACCGAACGGGTGGTACTTTTTATAATGAAAATCAAGCAGTGATACATCTCTCGAGTAGAGTATAGATTCATTTCCTCATTGCATCTCATAAAATTCCATTTGAATATTTTGAGCGCCATTGAACCCTTTGCACTTAGCATCAACTTTTCTGCGTTTTGTTGCCATTTGCTTAATTATAATTAAATTATATGCTCAATAAACGAGTAATTGTGAATTATATAATTGTTAAGTTATAATATAATTTAGTCTAAAAAATATATTTGTCAAAACGGATGTTTTGTTACTATAATTTAGTGAAGCGTCGCGGGCCGGAGTATAATGCTCCGCGGGCCGGATCCGGCCCGCGGGTTGCAGACCCCCTGGACTAGGGTATTGGCTCGAACTTACTCAATCACACGTACCAGATTGGACAAAATTAAAAACTCGAACGTGTGCTGGCACACCCCATGAATTAGAGCATCAGATATTTTTCTTCATCACTGAACTTCTCAACGATAATTACCTGCTGTGAAATTGTGTTGGCAACTCTTAACACAAACGAATAATTTTTCGAGTTTTCAATAAATATAAATTTCATTCAGATTCTATGACAGCATCCACTGAAACGCTGGTTTCAAAAGAAGAATTTGAAATGAAAAATGGTGAGATTTTACTACTTCTGATTTCCTTTTGTTTCAGAGTGAAACTCAAATTTGTAATAAATAACTACAAATGACTTGGTCGTCTGACTCACTGAAATTGCCACTAGGACAATCGACTTTCGAAAATAATTGGTATTAGTATTTCTCGTGTAATTGTCATTGTAAATAGCGCCAAAAGTTGACAACACGACGTTCAATCAAGTTTGATATTCTGTTTTGGCAAATGAAAAACTCTAGACAATAGGTCAAGATATTTATCCTGAGAAGAGGGAAGCGGATAGGACAGCTTATTCATATAGCAGCCCCTCGTCTGGTTACCAGTCTATGTCGGGTATGGGATTAGCTAGTCAGTTATTCGTTTTCAGATGCATGAATTTGATGGTGGAAAACGTCGAAACCGACCAGCGGTTATGTGACCTCTGAGCCCAACATTCCTTCCGCACATAATTATTCCCCCATGAGATTCGAGTCCCAGCAATAAATGGCAATATTTCCCACAGTATTCTAATTTCACAACAAATAGTAAAGGCAAAATCAATTACCAATACCTTTTAGAATATATCATTTTATGACAGTAATCTGTTCAACTATGTGAATTCTTCGGGTAGCCTTTTTCTTATGCATAACCTGGTCAGGGTAACCTAGTTTTGTGAAATTCAAAATTTATGGGCATATCTGAAATAAATCATTTTCTGCAAATTTTAACGACAATTGGCGTAAAATCTTTTCAAATAGAATATTAGCTCATAGATTATTTAGTAATTAAATTAATCATTTCAGTAAACTTTAGCATTTCTTTTATGGTTTTTAACAGTTACAGTTTAAGTACAGTTTAAGTTATTTATTGTGTGTTAATGAATAAGGATTATAATACTAATGAAGAGAAATTTTTCCCCGATAGTTGGTTCCCCCCACCCCGGAAGTTGAAAAACAATACTCTGGAGCAGTGGTTGTGAGGTCAAGGGGACACGCGGCCCATTAAGGGGGCCACAGAGCAGTTGGAGGTCCAAAATGCTAGGCGCAAAACTGATTTTAATAATCCCTTGAAGAAAACCCGTTCTTTCTAGTTTCATTGCTAGACGAGGTTATTTCACAGGTTGTTTTCCCTTTGCTGAGCATGAACTCAATGGGATTTAAAATATACCGTTTTTGTTTTATTGTTCTAGTTAACGAATTAAACAAATTACAGCTAATTTAATTCAATAAAGTTGATCATAACGAACAGTACCTAGTGAAGGACTCTATTATCCCAATATTTTCCAGATATGCTTTATTGCAATCTTCACTGGGCGCTCTGGAAGTATTCTTACCAAGATGACGCATAACCTGAACCTTAACCTGGTACACATGCTATGTTCAGGCTGTGCGCCATCTTGGTATACATACTTCGGGTGCACTCTTTACTGTGCTATTTATGATGTACTATAACGAAAGACAACACCATTAAAATACCTGAATTATTTTCCAGCATTCAGAGCAACCTCTACAACATCCTTACCCCTGTCTACTGGAAGCACCAAACCTGAAAGAAATTCTGTTCCAATCAATAAAGGTAAAGCACAGAGTAGGAATTACTGCAATGGTCAAGTGGTTAGCGATTTTAAAATAATTATGTTAACATCCCGAAAATACCCATAACGGTTAGTGCTATGACTCAGATTATGCTTCATAGCGTATAGGGCAGGGGTGGGCAACATCCGGGCCGGGTCCGGCCCGCGACGAGATTTTGACCGGCCCGCTGACTGTATCCAACCTCACTCTGTAATGTGGTCCGACGCATCATTCCTGAAAGTTGCGGATCGCTCTACTCTCACCGCAGTGAGTCAGTCAGTCAGTGCGAGCTGGTGAAATAAACAATTGCCTTAATGAACAAACAATTGCGTTAGCACACTTGTTGAACAAACAATATAAGGTCAAAGCAGAGAGCGTTGTAAACATTCCCCACTACTGTTATCAGCTATATCTAGATTTTGAATACAAATAGATTTTAGAAATTAGATTTTATATTAACCCATGGAATATCCCAAGAAACGTAAAGTTGACAGAGAGTGTCGAGCATATAACAAAGATTGGATACCGAAGTATTTTTTGTAATAATCTGGCCCACCGAGGACTTCATTTTCCCACATCTGGCCCGCCGACTAGAGAAGTTGCCCACCCCTGGTATAGGGGTTTCAAGTTAAAACGTTGTGCTTATCACCTCAACTAAAGTGTAATAAATTAGGTAATGTGTGGTGACTATGAGAATCTTAGTAGAGCAAAAACCATACGGACTATGTTCATGTCAGTGTGTTGGTTAATCATTGTTCAGGATTCTAAATCATTCATGAAAAATTTTGCTTTTTGATAATTATGCACGTCAAAGTTTTATACTCTAAATATATTTCACTTCAGTTGAGTAGATTTGATAAGATATAAACTGGAATTTTTTTTTCTGGTGGCCAAATAGTCGAAACGACTTGCTAACCTTTAAGTTGGACTATTGTAGTGACCATGATCACTGGAGCCGGATAGAAAATAAAAGTCATTCATTCCTCTCGTATTCGGCGCATCATGGTAAGCTTTGGGAATATATATGCTTGCCCAGACTCTGATTACCCTACATGTGTTCGCAGCTTCGAATCCCATGCGGGGATAGTTATGTGAGAGAGGATTGCTGGACTCCTCACCGTCGTAGGCTGGTTCACATAACAGCTCTTTTGGCCATCAAGTTCAAGTTCGGAATTCGGCTTATTAGACTCCGTACCATAGGGTAGTTTAAAATAACTAACTAACCAGGTTTCCTATTCCCTGGGATAAATATCAAATTCTAATCGATGGATTTCTGACCAAATTTATATTTTTTCAGCTTTGAGAGCTTTTTATAATCTATCAAAAGCAGATAGCAGAGATTCGGGCGTTGGTGAATCTACCAATTCTCTTGATTCAGGTGAACAATTTTATGAGATTGTACATTTTCTTTTAGTTTTCTAAATTTTCAATGAAAGCAAATAAAGTTATAAATTATTTTTAAAATATTGTTTTCCAGTTGCAAGTAGCAGATCAAGTCTGATTAATCCATTATTCCACAAAAATTTCAACAACGGAAAATTACATAAAGGTAAGTGTGAACTTTGGCAGTTGACGCAATGTGCCAAGCATATATACATACGCATGTGGGATAATTTGGTGCAAGAGGATTGCTGGACAACTCACCATTGTAGGGTGGCTCCCAGTGGCCGTCTCCTCCACAATCAAGTCCATACAGCACAAACAAATAACTGGCTAACTATTCGAACCTTTGATTACTCTACATGGGTTCGCAAGTTAGAATCTTGTGAGGGATGATTTGGTGCAAGAGGATTGCTGGACAACCTGCCATTGTAGGGTAGCTCACAAGTTACTGCTAATGCTTACGGCTTCCTCCGCCATCAAATCCATCCAGCAAAAACAAATAAGGGCCTAACTATTTCTCGATATGGACTGGTAGCCAAATGTAAAGTCATGGTTGCCTGTATGATTAAGTCGTTTTATAAGCTTCCCCCTCTTAGAGATAAATATGAAAATACTATCCTAGCCTAAAAATTTAACAGAATGAAAACATGTTTCATCTGTCAATTTTTTTTGCTTCGTCAATTTGTCATTCTAGTAATAGTAGGATGACAAATAATAGCTACCTACATTGCAGGCTTTTGTGACCTCCTTCCCCCAGTATTACAGATGAGCACAATGTTTTTTTATATTTTATCTATACAGATTTTATGGCAGCCTCGACAAAAACTCTTATATCAAATTCCAAAGAACTCAGCAAATGTTCAAAAAATGGTGAACGTAAGATGAATCTTCATTTCTGTTTGCATTTTCTAAATCTCATTTTTGCAATCTCTCATTTCACGTACGGTATTTCTCAAAAAGTCGCTTTGAAAAGTCTGAATAAACCATGTTCATCTCTACGCTTTAAACCTTACTTGGGGTTTTGTTCCCTTTCCTGATTCTGTAATCAGTTTTATTTTATTTTTATCGGAATTTTATTAACGGCTTTTAACGGCTTTAACGGCTCGAGTAGAGTATAGATTTATTTCCCCATTTCATTTCATAAAATTCCATTTGAATATTTTCAGCGCCATTGAACCCTTTGCACTTAGCATCAACTTTTCTGCGTTTTGTTGCCATTTGCTTAATTATATTTAAATTATATGCTCAATAAACGAGTAATTGTAAATTATATAATTGTTAGGTTATGATATAATTTAGTCTAAAAAATATATTCGTCAAAACGGATGTTTTGTTATTATAATTTAGTGAAGCGGCGCGGGCCGGATTATAGTGCTCCGCGGGCCGGATCCAGCCTGCGGGTTGTCGACCCCTGGACTAGGGTATAGGCTCGAACTCACTCACACGTACCAGATTGGACAAAATTAAAAATTCGGACGTGAGCTGGCACACCCCATGAATTAGAGCAGGGCTACTCAACTATTTTTATCGACGGTCCGCAAACAAAACTTCAAAATTATTTGGGTCCGGTCTTCCCAAAAATGATATTTCGGCATCCTTAAACGAGCACTTCCTCGACCGACTAATGATTAGTAGCAAATTAAATTTTTTTATTGTGGTTTCTTTTCGTATATAGTCAAAACTATGAAAGTCATTTTATAATAGGAAATTCGAAAAGGTGGGCTAATGATCCCAAATAAATAATTAGGTGTGGTCCAAATCCAATACTCGAGAGGTCCGGATTCGGACCGGGGTCCGCCAGTTGAGTAGCCCTGAATTAGAGCATCAGATATTTATCTTCATCACTGAATTTGGTCTCAACGATAGCTACATGCTGTGAAATTGTGTTGGCAACTCTTAACACAAACGAATAATTTTTCAAGTTTTCAATAAATATAAATTTCATTCAGATTCTATGACAGCATCCACTGAAACGCTGGTTTCAAGAGAAGAATTTGAAATAAAAAATGGTGAGATTTTACTACTTCTGATTTCCTTTTGTTTCAGAGTGAAACTCGAATTTGTAATAAATAACTACAAATGACTTGCTCGTCTGACTCACTGAAGATTGCCACTAGAACAATCGACTTTCGAAAATAATTGGTATTAGTATTTCTCGTGTAATTGTCATTGTAAATAGCGCCAAAAGTTGACAACACGACGTTCAATCAAGTTTGATATTCTGTTTTGGCAAATGAAAAACTCTAGACAATAGGTCAAAATATTTATCCTGAGAAGAGGAAAGCGGATAAAACAGCTTATTCATATAGCAGCCCCTCGTCTGGTTACCAGTCTATGTCGGGTATGGGATTAGCTAGTATAAGTATAATAATAAGTTTATTTCGACTCCATAATCAGCAATAGACGATAAAAAAATAGATAAAAACAAAAGTAAAAGTAACTGATTATAGAATCGGGAAAGCGAACAAAACCTAGAGTAAGGTTTGAAACGTACAGATTTTAGATGGAAAGGTATTGATAAAAGAAGTAGTACGTGTTCGCTCACCCAAAGTAAGTTATTTGTTTTCAGATGCATGAATTTGATGGTGGAAAACGTCGAAACCGACCAGCGGTTATGTGACCTCTGAGCCCAACATTCCGCACATAATTATTCTCCCATGAGATTCGAGTCCCAGCAATAAATAGCAATATTTCCCACAGTATTCTAATTTCACAACAAATAGTAAAGGCAAAATCAATTACCAATACCTTTTAGAATACATCATTTTATGACAGTAATCTGTTTAACTATGTGAATTTTTCGAGTAGCCTTTTTTCCTAGGCATAACCTGGTCAGGGTAACCTGGTTTTGTGAAATTCAAAATTTATGGGCATATCTGAAAAAAATCATTATCTGCAAATTTTAACGACAATTGGCGTAAAATCTTTTCAAATAGAATATTCGCTCATAGAATATTTAGTAATTAGATTAGTCATTTCAGTGAACTTTATCATTTCTTTTTAACAGGTAGTGATGTAAGAACAACGCATGGTCAAAGCCAGAGTAGTTCTGACAGCTATGTTTCAAGTGATGATGAAAGTGTGGTGAGTGTATTACATGGAGATACAGGAATAACTCAAGCACAAATTGATCAGGAAGAAGATCTGGCTGTTGAGGAATGCAACATAAAACCAAGAGGTAATTTAAATACACTATGACATACTTTCTATTCTTCCTAAAGCAGTGGTACGTAATCTTTTTTGCCAAATTCCTCCTTTTGCCCATTTCTTTATTCCCCCTTTGCTTGATTTCTTTATTTGTTCAATGTTTAATGAAACCCTAGCTATGAATCCCGCTCACCTGTTTATGTACAGTTTAAGTTATTACTTATCGATCTTCAGATCGGTAAGTATGTTGATAGGTATTTGTCTGTCTGTTAGATGCATGCCATATCTCACGAAGGCGTGGTTGAATCTGCTCCAAATTTTGCATGTGCATTCATCATGTCTCGGACCAGAAGCCTATTGATTTTGGATGAATTATGTCATATAATTGGCGAGTTATTGATTAATTAGCGATGGGACGTGCAGTGTCACTATAGAGTCATGATCGAAACCACAGTTCGATCGATAAGTCTTCGGTCTCCGACCGATATTCTCGTTTATTGTGTCCTAATAAATAATGATTATAATACTAATGAAGAGAGATTTTTCCCCAATGGTTGGTTCCCCCCACCCCGAAAGTTGAAAAACAATGCTCTGAAGCAGCGGTTGTGAGGTCAAGGGGACACGTGGCCCATTGAAGGCGCCACAGAGCAGTTAGAAGTCCAAAATGCTAGGCGCAAAACTGATTTTACTGATCCCTTCAGAAGAAAACCTGTTCTTTCTAGTTTCATTGCTTGACGAGGTTATTTCACAGGTTGATTTCCTTTTGTTGAGCACGAACCAAATGGAATTTGAAACAACCAATCAAAATGAGTGGTATGACAAACAGGGGGCCCTGAGTTCTCAAGTCATAAAGTGTTGTGACCGTTGCTTTGAAGCTTAACTCAATGCTTATAGATACATTAAATATGCTTAAAATGACCAGTATTAAGTACCCAATAGCTTGGCTTGAGTGACTTTCTAAGGATTTGAAGTGACAAAATCTTGAAATGAGTCGTCTGATCTCAAATTCCGCTAGAGCGATTTGGCTAGAACTCCGAGGAAATTTCAGCAAGTATTTGCAATAGTGACTCAAGACTAGTAACATGTATTTTGAGGTTCAGTGTAGCATACCAACACAGCACTATAATCAATAATACTTCACAGAATAATGACATTGATTAACACATTTCTATTTCTGGCTTTAGACGGAAAAATGTTCTTTTCTCATTTAAATAGATTTCATGGATATGGGTGCCAAATTTGAACCAGACCTGCAGGAAGCTCAGCAAAGTGATTATTCACACAATCAAAGTGAGGTGATTAATGGTGAGTATATTATTTTATATTTGAAAATTACAGATGATCCACACACCAGGTATTCCAATGAGACAACCACAGACAAGCTTCTTCTGATAGGTGGAGAAATGACCTATCTATTGCCAAATGACATACCTTCACCCTGTGTATTGTGGTGGTTGTACAGTTGACTATATTGTATTCTATGCCCATGTTTCCGAAAACATATAACTGGCTGAATAATCCAGTTAATCTCGATAACCAGCTTTGGTTCCTCGTAGTTTTCCCTCCCCACTATACCTGTGTGAAAATTTTTTTTTTTTTCAATATTGTATATAATTGATTTTTTACTGGTTGAAAAAAAAATAAACTTGAACCAACCCCTATTAGGATGGCCACGTAGTGCAAAAAACGAATACCTTTTTATGTCAATCCACTTCTCTTACTCTAGTAAATCTTCAAATTTACCAATTTATCACTAGGCATCTCTTGGTTCCATTATCCACACTGAATTTTTAACCACACTTGTAAATGCTCAGTAGGTGATTTCAATGGGATAGAATTTTCATATTTATCCCGGGAGAGAGGAATGTCGTTAAGACGGGTTAATCATGTGAGAACCTGTTACCAGGCTATGGGATTAGTTGGCCAGCTTTCTATTTTCCGATGCATAGACTTGATGGTGGACGAAGCCATAACTGACCAGTGGTTACGTGAACCACCTTAAGACACTTGGAGTCCAACAATCCTTTCGCACATATTTATCCCCCACAAGATTCAAACCTGTTAATCATCGTCAGCCACGCAAAGTAATCGAAGGTGCTATGACAAGTCAAAGGCTATGCGCCATTGCTCGCCAAGCCAATATAAGTGAATGCAATTGGCAACTTCAAAAACAGATTTATGACTTCAGTCACTAATCTCATCCCTGTTCTTTTGTTCCATTAATCAAGTGCTGATTACAGTCTATTCACAGTCAGTAACTTTGTAAAAATTAATTATGAGTTTTTGCTAAGTTAAAGAAAGATTGAATGACTTACTCAATATTCTTCCATATTATACCTGTTACATTAGTCACATACATAATATGGTCACCATTGTGAAATAGCAAACTTTTTATTCGAATTTACTTTTTTTGCAGATGATGTCATCCAAAAAGAATTTAGAGTCCAAATAGGTTCAGATGGGGGAGACATTGAGTTGTGTGACTGTCTGGTCACCTTTCCTCCAGGTTCTTTCAAAGAACCAACATTAGTAGAAGGAAAACTAGAAATAGATCCATTGAAATGGCCTCCTGGTTATACTGCAATCACTCCTATGCTATTTATAAAATCTGAAATACCAGCAAAATTCCCAATAACTGTACAAATGGATTCTTGGTGCAAAAATGACTGCTCTAACCAAAAAATTACAGTTGATATTCTTCATCTCCCAGATGGTAAATCTGAATGGGAAGTTATTGCCACCCAGCCCTTGACCAGCCTAACTAGATTTAGTTTCAGTAGCCCTGACTACAGCCCTTTCATTATCGGATTGTTAAGAAGAGTTGTTGAACAGTTCCGTCCCACATACTTACTTGACTGTCGTGTTCACACGAAACCTGAAAATTCGTTTCGTATAGTTTTCAACAAGAGGAGTCGGGTTCTAGAGGAACATTTATTAAAATATAATCTAGGCTCTCTTAAAACTGGTTTTGATACCATTTTTGTACACAAAAATGATAGAATAGCTATAACAATCAAGTGCGTGAACCCTAACGGTATTCTTTTTTGCCATGAGCGATTTGACTTCTTAATTGATGACAATTTTCTTGATATTCGAAAAGATAAGCAATTTGAGACGTATATTACAAACGAAGCAACCGCACCGAGGCGATTAGAGATTTCATGTGATTTGTTTGTAAATAATGTTGCTGTCCAGAGGGACCAAAGCTTCATGTATACACTGGATATTGAAAGAGGTATAAATATATTTATTATTTTTAACTTGTAGACTTGATCAGTCTAAATCTAATCTAATACATTAATCAGTGTTATTAAGCAGAACGAATGACAAAAACTGACAATTTTTTTTTTTATATTTGGATGTTTTCATGCTGTCATTCTGAACAAGGCTTCAAATTTATACTTGTGTAAGGTGATGAACCTGAAATCTCTAACTTGTGACGCATAGATAGTAAAATCCAATGCCCCAACCGCCTAGGAAATCTCAATCACATATGAAGGTTTTAGTGAAGACTGTTTAAATGCATATAAATAAATTTCAAATATAATGTACTGTGCTTCTGCTACATACCGGTATGTGAAATCTATACTGACTCGACGGTGTGGCGCCTTATGCTAAGCGTTAGGAATATGTTCGCCCTGCGGGGGATAGTTATGTGTAAGAGGATTGCTGGACTCCTCGCCGCTGTAAGGTGGTTCACATGACCGCTGGTTGATTACGGATTTCTCCACCGTCAAGTCCATGTACCTGAAATAAATAACTAATCCCATACCCGGCATGAATTGGTAACTGGACGATTGGCTTTCTTCTCCCCTGGGATAAATATATAAATCCTATTCTATTTATGTTGTAAAAGTAGGATAGGATTCACATATTTATCCCCGGGTAAAGGGAAGGCGCATATGGTAAACTACGGCCTCTTGTCCGGTTACTAGTTTATATCGGGTATATCCAAACACTATTCAGTACCGGCCAACATCATTGGTTCTCTTAATAATCGGGTGGATTTTGATCAGTTGAAATGTTTTGTTGGATGTATTGAAATCTTGTTCTATGTCCCTTGATTTCAGGGGTGAAATGTATCCGTTTAGAATAGGCAACACTGGTATTCAGTAATTATAGTAACTATACAATTGTATTTTTTAATTAAAAATCTCTATATATTTCTTTTTCTTTTTCAGGCAACCGAAAACTTAAAATAAAAGCTACTGATGGTTCAATAGTCACTATTGATACAGAAAATATGACCATTGATCATCGTCGAATGCCAAGTAAGTAAACAATTGGTCAATCAGGACAGGCATATTTTTATATCCTATTCAATATGTGGAAGGAATTTCAAAATTCTAAAAATCATAAGTCCAAAATTGTTGAAGAAAGGTGGCGTACACACGATGATCTCAAAATATTGTCGCCTCAGTGCTGAAAAATTCAGTGGTATGGGAGTCAGAATTTTAGTATGCTTCTTATTTGAGAGTTGACTAAGTTTTTCCCAGATTCCACAATGGTGGTTCTGGATTACCTCATTGAATATACACAAGTAAGGACACGCCCATATGTTTGTGATATTATTTTCTATTTCTTATAACAAACTTAAAATTTTGTGGTGTTTTGAAATATTTAAGAAAAGAATTGAAAAATAAATGGTTATTTGAATAATTTTATAACTAACAGCAGTTAGAGACAAGGAAATATTGATGAGAATCAGGCCTTTGCTCATTATATGCAGTTCCATATTATTCAACTGCCTCAAATTTGGTTTTTACAGATAACATTGAATGGAAGGAATACATCAAAAGCTTCAGTTTCTTACTAAAGAAATTATCTAAAATTATTGTCTCGAGAGACTTTATGTTCATTGCCATACTCTCGCTTTGTTTGTTCCAAGATGCCATATCTCCATTGGAAATTATGGCCTATATTGTTCTCGCTGCACTAAGTGCTGCAATTATCAGAGGAACTTATGAAAGAATTCGCAGGCTGTTTCGTTGAGTTGCATGTTTTTCAACTGCAATGATTTTATTTTATTTTTTCATCCTTCATTTAATGAAGAATCACTCCCTTCACCCTGTAATGCAATTTCGGTGCTCCTGAAGTATGCGAACCAAGATGGCGGACATCGGAACGTAACATGGGTAACAGGTTAGGGTTAGGCGATAATTTTCCTCATTTTAGTCCTATTATCAGTTCGAAGACTAGCCAAGAGCCTCCCGTAGTGTTTATACCTAAAATTATGGCCTAACTAACCCTAACCTAATACAAATATTACATTCCGATGTCCACCATCTTGGTTCGCATACTTCGGGAGCCCCGCAATTTCTTTACATATAATTTTTTGTAATTTGTATGTCGAGTGTGCTTTTGAAAAAATAAACTACTGATTACTGATATATCCAGAGGATGTTTTAGATTAGTTTGTTATTCTGCCTATATAATACAACCTATTTTTTCTTTGTCTCAATAAAAGTAGTTTATATTGAAATATCCATATATCCACTGTTGGTCATAATTTTGTATTCAAATTTATTAATTTAGAATAAAATTCAACACTTCTCAACTGTACAATCTTAGGTAAACATCTTCTTAATTGTTTTCACTTTATCGTTGCTGTATATGTCACTATTGGCCAGCATTTGTTTTTACTTATTGTTGACTGTTTGTATTTTGGTTGACAAAATACTGAATATCCCTCTCTCTATCATTGTAGGAGAATAAAGTTCAACACCCCTGAGAAACATCATTTTAATGTTTTTCACTTCATTTTTTTTACTTTTATCTTTGTTATATATGTCACTATTGGCCATTATGAATTCAGTTTAAAATTCAACACTCCTCTGCCTTCATTGTATTTTTCATTTCGTTTCACTGTATATATTCACTTTGATTTCACATATGCATGTTACGAATTTTTACCTTCCATGTTTAATAAATCCCTTCTACAGCCGGAACGCCCATATGGGTGTACTTTTTGATAAATTGTAAAATTTATGTACTTATAGAGTCAATATCGCTCTTAGCTGTTTATCGACGTAATGCCCTGATATGAGAGAAGCGATAAAACCTTCCAGCCGTGACGCAAAGTGCGAATCGTATAAATATCCTGGATTTCAAAATCACCTGTCAGACGTCTGAAAAATGTGACTCCCTTCAGACAGGAAATACTCCTTTATAACGACTTATTACTTATCGATCTTAAGATCGGTAAGTATATTGATAGGTATTTGTCTGTATGTCTGTCTGTCTGTCTGTCTGTGTGTCTGTTAGATGCACGCGATATCTCACGAAAGCGAGATTGAATCTGCTCCAGATTTTGCATGTGCATTCATCTTATCTCGGACCAGAAGCCTATTGATTTTGGGCGAATTATGTCGTATAATTAGCGAGTTATCAATCAATTATTGATATAGTGATCTAGATTTTTGTAAAGCGAGAGAATTTTGAAACCCGCCGAGTGTGTGTGTGCGATGCGCAGTGCGCAAGTTACAAGAGCGGATGAATCGAAACTGCAGTTTCTGTTTTGGGGGATCCCCTAACTATCGATCGATAAGTCTTCGGTTTCCAACCGATATTCTCGTTATTGTTTTAGCATGTATTTTCAGTCATACTAACTATCCCTGACCATCCCTGGCGCTGTGTTGTTTTGATAAATATGATTTCGAATGCTCCATAGTTGGCAGAGGTATGGAGATTTTTTGTATGTAAAAAAAACGTAAATTAATGGTAATTTTAACGCGTAAATGCGCGTATGAGATTGGTTACGCCGTTCTACGCGCATTTCCGTCGAAAAAATTTAATTTTTTTGCATTGGGGGTGGTCTGTGCAGTAATAATAAGAGCTGTGACGTCATCAGTATCGGTAATTTGACCTTGAACTTGACAATACTGTAAATACAATTGTGAATTTCAGAGTGATAACCATTTATGCTATAATAGTCGTTTTGGTATTGTTATGTTAGGAAAAACTTGACGAAAACGTTGAAGAAAAAATTAATTAATTAGGAATTAATTATTAACCCTCTACTGTACACAGAATATCTCAAAGTCCAATTTTTTTTTTAGAAATTTTTGAATTTTTTTTCGAGGGGTGTGTTTTAAAGATATATTGCTGAATAGAACTCTAGCAGACGCTTTTAAAAACCCATGAATAAAGCTTTAGGAATTAATGGTTGACATAAAAAAATAAGTTTAAAAATACCCATAAAATGGGCAGGGCTTGAGGCTTAAAAAGGGTTAAAAGTATTGTTTACAATAAAGTGAATTATAACCTGGTATCTTGTAGTTGTTATAAGGGTTTACCTTCAGATGAGTTTCTATGCATTTTGGAACTTCTCAGACTCTCAATGATATTTTCAAGTCGGGGCGGGCGTTTCAGATTAGTTTATTGTGCCTATATAATTATAATACCACCTATTTTTAGATTATCTTGTCTGTATTTCAATACAAGTCTTTTATATTTAAATATCCATTATGGGCCATAAATTGATATTCAAATTTATCAATTTAAAACAAAATTTATTCCTTTATTTCTGTATAATCTGAGTGGAACAATTCTTTGATATTTTTCGTTTCATTTTGATTTTTACTGTATATGTGAGTGTTGGCCATAACATATATAAATTTGGAATGAAATTCAACACTTCTAAACATCATATTGATGTCTGTCACATTATTTTCATTTTATCTTCGCTGTATATGTGACTATTGGCCATTGAATAAAATTCAACACTCCTGAACTCTACAATCTTTGTTTAACTTCCCCTTTATTTATTTTTTCATTTCATTTTATCTTACAATAAAGTGATTTATAATGTTATATTTTGTCGTAGTTGTAACGGTTCACCTTCAGATGAGTTTTTTATGCATTTTGGAACATCTCCGAGTCTCAATGGTATTTTCAGGTTAGGTGAGGTGTTAGGGAGTAGTTTGTTATTCTGCCTATATAATTATACTACCTATTTTTAGAATATGTTTTTAAATATATATAATTATAATACCACCTATATGTTTTCTGTTTTTTAATATAAGTCTTTTAGTGGTCATAAGTTTAATTTTTGCTGTTTATGTGAGTGTTGGATATCAATTTAGAATAAAATTCAACACTTTCTAAATATCATTAAGATGTCTGTCACTTTAATTCATTTTTTTTAATTTTATCTTCCCTGTATATGTCAATATTGGCCGTTGAATATAATTCAACCCTTTCGAACTATACAATCCTTGTAAAACATCAACTTTATTTCTTTTTCCATTTCATTGTACATAATATAATCACTGTTAGCAATAGTTTTATTATAAAAAATTGATAAATTTTACCTTCAATATTTACAAGTACTGTTTACAATAAAGTGAACTATAATAATCTTGTTGTACCTTGTGGTGTTGTAAGGGTTTCCCTTCTCAGGAGTTTCTACGCAATTAGGAACATATCAGACTCTCAATGGTATACGAGATATTATGGTATCGCAATAAAAATGTTTTATGTTTTTAGTTGTTCCATACAGCACAAGCGCAGTTGAAATTGTTCTCCTGAGCATACTATCTTTGATGATTTTTAATGTCTCTTGATATTATCCCTATGACTTGCTACCTATCCCACATGTATATGGCTTTTTTAATGTACGAGTGCTTGAATGATGTAAAACAACATGCCAAATTTTGTATTTCATATACACCTCTTTGTGCCCACATGAATCAGCATATGAGACTTGGGTCACACACAACTGCACGTTTTTTGACTTACCATCCATGCCTACTTGAAACGAGTAACTGAGATATCTCATAACCTTTCCTCAGGTTGTTACAGATTCCAAGCTGCCAGAATATTAATGAGCAAAATGATCGCCATTTATTGAACACAAATGATGCTTTTGCATTGTTCACAGGCATCACTAACGTAGAAAGGGAAAATTGGTAATATATAGATATGTAAATCCTAATACATTAGTATACTTGAGTATCCTATTTGTACATAGGTACTACACAGATACATATGTCAAATTGAATAACTAATTACACATGCGAATAATAATCTGTGATTTGTACCAGTATATATGTTTAATTCCTATTTGTTTTGTTTACAGCGACCATTGATGTAGAATGAAAAAAATAGTACTACATAGTTATGTAGAACCCAACCTTAGTGTACCAAATTATCACATTTGTACATAGGTATCACACGGATACATATGTAAAATCGAATAACTAATCAGACGTGTGAACATAAATCTCGCATTTTTACCAGAATATATTTGAATCTTATTTTTTTGGGGCATTATGAGTATGAATACGCATGTGAACTCGCACATCTGATGGTTGCTTGAATGCTTTGGCACAAACAGCACATGAGAATTTCTTTTCTTTTGAGTGAGTCACCATGTGTCTTTTCACTCCGCTCGAATCACTAAATTTCTTTGCACAGATTTCACATTCATAATTTTTTACGCCAGTGTGGACGCGCCAGTGAATTTGCACATCATAAGGTCGCTTGAACGTTTTATCACACAACTGACATTTATAATTCCTTTCCATAGTATGAACGACCATGTGGCGTTTTAAGCTGGAGGTTCCAGTTAAATATTTAGCACAGATTTCACACTGGTATCTCTTATCCTGAATATGAGTTCCCAAATGCAATTTCAGACTGCTCTCCCACTTAAATGTCTTTGTACATATTTCGCATTTATGTTTTGTTCGATCTGAGTGGATTTTCAAATGCCTTTTATGGTTGCCTTGAGAATTAAATCTCCTCCCACATACCTCACACGCAAACGGCTTTTCTTCCAAATGATTCATTGAATGTTGTTTCAAGCTAGCTACGGAGGCAAATTTCTTTTTGCATATTTGACATTCATACGTTTTGCCGCCAATATGAGTTAACATATGATCCTTTAGATGCGTAACTGTAGTACTTTTCTTTCCGCAGATTTCACATACTTCATAATGCCTATTATCCGAATGGATGAGTAAATGTTTTTTCATGTTGTTCACTCGTGTAAATCGTTTATCACATATTTCACATACATATGGCTTTTCATCGGAATGAACAATCATATGTTTCTCCAGGTAACATTTGAATATGAAGCTTTTTCCACAAACATTGCATTGATGAGACTTTTCCTCAAAATGTTTTCTTAAATGCTGTGTCATGTTGCCTTTCGTGGTGTATTGTTTTCCACATACTTCACAATCAAACTTTGTATCTTTATTATGCTCCTTCAGATTCATATTTGAGTTTTCTCTATTCCAAATGTTTGGCTCATGTAGGCCCAAATTATTAATATAAAATTTATCAATAGTCCTGCTAAAAAAAATTCAATATTACAATGATTATATTTCGAAAGCACCTATACAAAATTTATAGTTTGAATTGCAACAATCCAACAGAATAAATAAATCACAATTTTTACAAGCAAGAATCAGCATTATTATACTTGAAAGAGTTTTGTTGTACAATATTACATGTAACGTTCAAGTCAGCATAAATATACGAAAAATTCAAGCATGCACATAAATACAATTTTTCGAGGATACACTATCAGATCTGATAAGATAATCCAGGTAAATTCATATTTGCAACAGTGTGTGCTTATTTATTTGATAATAGTTCAAAGAATTAGAATTTCGATGACGATTCATACATTTTTTGGGTTGCAGGGAAAAAGAATTGAAGAGAAAATTTGAGGTAATGTTTAGCTGATTAATTGGAAATAGCTGAGATGTGCATTTTATTACATAATGGTCAAACATAAATATATGAATTAAATTTCCATTTATTTCCACCTAATCGTGTACAAGCATGTGCTTTCCAAACTCGATAAATATTTGATTTGTTTGGCATACTTTACACCCATGACTCTTTGCAGTAGTGTGTACCAGCATATGGTGTTGTACTTGTTCGAGTTGTGGAAAGCTTTTTTCGCACACTTCACATATGAAATATTTTGTGTCTGTGCACTAGCATGTGCCTTTTCAAATTCCCAGAAATACTGAATTTCTTTTCACAAAACATACATGAATGGTTTTTTATTCTAGTATGGACGCTTGAGTGCATTTGCACATCGTAAGATCGCTTAAATGATTTGTCACACAATGGACATTTATAATTTCTTTCTTCACTATGTATTACTTGATGGCGTTTTAAACTTTGGGTACTAGTCAAGTATTTTCCACATATATCACATTGATATCTCTTGTCAAGAATGTGTGTTCTCATGTGAAGTTGAAGACTGCTCTTCAAACCAAATGCCTTTGAGCATATTTCACATTTAAAATTTTTTCGATGTTGATGGGTTTTCAAATGTCTCCTGTGATTGCTCCTATAGGCAAACCTCTTCCCACATATTTCACATGCATATGGTTTTTCTTTCGTATGAATTCTTGAATGTTCTTTCAAACTGGATAAAAGAGAGAAATTTTTCTTGCATATATCGCAGTGGTGCTTTTTGATTCCAATGTGATTCATCATGTGTGACTCAAAACGTTCACCTGGGAGTTCCTTTCCACAGATTTCACAAGTTTTTAAATTTCTGTTTTCTGAATGAATTTGGGAATGTTTTCTTAAACTGCCCGATCTGGTAAATCTCTTACCACAAACCTGACATTCATATGGTTTTTCTTTCGAATGAGCAACCATATGATTCTCCAGATAGCATTTGTACATGAAGGTCTTTTTACAAATGCTACATTCATGAGATTTTTTCTCCAAATGTTTTCTCAGATGTTGTTTCATGTTGCCTTTTGTACCGAATTGTTTTCCACATATTTCACACTTAATTTCTTTAGAAGGTAATACATCATTCATACTTATGGTAAGTTTTATTTTCAAATAATCTGAAAAGTATTAAATTTTTGACAGGTCAAAACAACTTAGTACACTCATTTAAATCAAAGAGCCATACCTAGCCAAAGTCAACGTAATAAATTACAATGCTGTATTGGGCAATGAGTAGTAATTACAAAAAAATCAGTAATGCGCGTTTGGAGTTTAAAGAAGGAGGCTGTTAAGTTTCGCCTGTATATCCCTCACTGGCACAGCTCGCGCGTTTGGAGTTTAAAGAAGGAGGCTGTTAAGTTTCGCCTGTATATCCCTCACTGGCACAGCTCTTATTATCATTTGCACCATGCACATTTTTTCTAAAGATTTGTTCAAACTAGGGTTGTATTTGGACGAATAGCGACTCTAGACCACTATTTTCGAATACCAATTTTGGCAGATTCAATAATAAAATTCTTCCACATGCCAATTCAAGTTTGTGATATTCCTAAAGGTATAGGAGACAAGCCAAACAGTGAAAACACAACAAATGAAATGGCATTAACTTCCCAAGAAAATATCAGAACGACAAAAGAATTTCAAAGTAAGGGGAGCTGCGTGTAACCCAATCTGGTTATCGGCAGCAGCATTTATAAGAAGTCTAACAAAAAATAATAATAATCGAAATATATATGTTATTAGGAAAAAACTATAAATACGTCAAAGCATGCCAACCTGGTATGCCCAGTAGTCGTGCATTTCAACTATCACAAAAAAACGACTCTGTGCACCACCTACCCCGAAAATTTTTAGACCTACTATTAATGTTTCCTCCAAACGGACAAACCAAATTCTATGAAATTGCGCCTTTGCATAACTTCGACAGCAATGTGAGGCTGGTTGTTTGTACCTGGCCATGTTCGGAGCGAAAAGCAAGAGTAAGCATTTATGAAAAAAATCACCTTCCCTCCCAAAAATATTCTGCGCTGAGACCCTGGGACCCATTGCTGACTAAGCACCAGGATGACATTGACTTGAGATTTACCAAATTGTATTCTACACTAAAGAAGGATAAAATGATTCATTAATAAACTATTCCAACCACTGTAGTCCATAATACAAGCTGTAGTGTCAATAGTTTTACATTTTTCAACTTGTTACAGAATTTAAGCTGAAACCAAAACATTACTGAGCAAAATAGATTGACGTTTATTGAACATGTATTCTTTTGCATTGTTTACAAGCACCACTGATATAGAAGAAAAAAATGGTACGACATAGATATGTAGTAAATACACAGATACACGAGTAAAATCAAATAACTTTGGTTAAATGTGAACATAAATCTCACATTTGTTCAAAAGGCAGAATATATTCAATTTTTTGGGCATTATGAATACGCATGTGAACTCGCACACCTTCAGGTCGCTTGAATGCTTTAGCACAAACAGCACATGAGAAATTCTTTTTCTTTGAGTGAGTTATCATGTGTCTTTTTACTCCACTCAAATCACTAAATTTCTTTGCACAGATATTGCACTCATGGTTCTTTACGCCAGTGTGGACACGCCAGTGAATTTGCACATCATAAGGTCGCTTGAATGTTTTATTACACAGTTGACATTTATAACTCCTTTCTATTGTATGAATGACCATATGGCGTTTTAGGTTGCGGGTTCCAGATAAATATTTGGCACAGATTTCACACTGATATCTCTTGTTTTGAATATGAGTTCCCAAATGCAATTTCAGAATGCTCTCTGACTTAAATGTCTTTGCACATATTTCGCATTTATGTTTTCTTTGGTCCAAGTGGATTTTCAAATGCCTTTTATGGTTACTTTGACAATTAAATCTCTTTCCACATACCTCACATGCAAACGGCTTTTCTCCAGAATGATTTATTGAATGCTGTTTCAAGCTACTTGTAGTGGCAAATTTCTTTTTGCATATTTTACACTCATGCATCTTAGCGCCGATATGAGCTAATATATGATCCTTGAGGATAGCGACAGTGGTAGTTTTTTCCCCACAGATTTCACATATCTCGTAATGTCTATTATCTGAATGGATGTGTAAATGTTTTTTCAAGTAGTCCTCTCGGGAAAATCGTTTATCACATATGTCACATGCATATGGCTTATCTTTAGAATGAAAAATCATATGTTTTTTCAGGTAACATTTGTATGAAAAGCTCTCTCCACAAACATGGCATTGATGAGTTTTTTTCTTGAAATTTTTTCTGAAGTGCTGTTTCATGTTGCACTTTGTGTATTGTGTAGTATATTGTTTATCACATTTTTCAAATTCAAACTTCTTAATTTTGGTGCCACATGCGGGTTTGTTGTTATCCTGCTTCTGATTCATTTTTAGTTTTTTTTTTTTAATGTTTGGCCCATGCAAGCCCAAAAATTATATTCCTAGGTCTGCTAAAAAAAAATAGGTGTAATGATTATTTCTTAAAACTTGTTAAAAATTAACCAGGGGGTTTGAAATTGAAAATAATTCCCATTGATTCGCACTCTCGTACTTCGCCATACAATAAGATAATCTTGAATTTATTTTCGAAGTATTCGAAATAGTGAATTATTCGGTATTGGCCATCCCTGATTATTATTCAAACATACAACCGCAATCTGCGGACTTAAAATGTGTGGTAAAGTTCCCGAATATAATTAATTTTGACTCGTATTTTTGTATTCACAAAAAAATTGTCACAAGTCGGAAAAACAACTCTTTATCCCGCTTTTTGGCAAATAATTTGGATTGTGGTTGGTATTTGAAAGTATGAGTGATTTAGTGTTGCGCAATATTCAAATCCATCACCCATATCACTATTTAAAATGCCTTGCCGTATCAATTTAATTCTGTTAACATACGGTACCTCATGGTATATAAAATATATATCGCAATAATCTGCAAACATGAAATGCCTGGCAATATAGCTAGGTTGTAGATAGCAGTTATTCCATTGTTTATTGTATGGGAATTCCTTCATACACTTAGATAAGCTTCTATTACTTGATTTTATTTTTGATTTCATATTCGAAATAGTGCACTATTCGGTATTGGTCATTCCTGTGGTATGTGATTAATTTTTTACCGGTACCATAACGTATTTATTTTTGAATGCATGGACTCGATGGTAGAGGAAGCCATAGCAGACAGCGGTTGCCGTACCGTACATGAACCACCCTCCAACCATTTTCTCGTACATCCAGCGTGAGATTGAAACCTGTACCGTATTCCTAACGCTTTGCACGATGAGACACATGGCCGCTCCAGATTAAAATCAGTCTGAAATACCGGTACCGGAACACCAGTACAGTTCTCTACAGTAGCCAGATTGAATCAAAACTAGGCTAATTAGTAATTACCGGTCGGTACAATTTGAAGTAGGTGGATCAGCAGCAGATCACGTTTTAAACCAAAGAATCTGGATTTCTGAATCACAAGCAAATCAGCCCATCAATTTGATTATAAATACACGCAAACCCATCCTATTCTATCATGCAAATGTCCGCATGTTAATAACGCTCGCTAGTCATTACAGAGCTCAAAATTGATTCAATGTTGTTTACACTTCGCTCATTCCTCTGTGCCACTGTTTCGGAATTTGTAAAAAAAAATGACACGTACCTGGGTTTGAGATTGCGAAAACCCGAAACCCTGTTTTCTATATATTTTACCCGAATGGGATCCGCGACTTATACTCCCCCGGGATAAATATGTAAATCCTATCCTATCCTAATACTCCAAGCTATGTAGCGACCCACAAGCGTGTATGGCCGGCGTGTTCAATCAATCGGCATGTTTTTTCGTTGCTTTTCCGCTTGTAATAGAATAAGTTCATTTCTCTTAATTTAGGCTCTGTACCTGTAGTGAAAAGCGAGCGTGACTGGACCGGCGTGTTATAAGTATAAGTTTATTCCGACTCCATAATCAGCAATAGACGATAAAATGATAGATAAAAATGAAAGTAACTGATTATAGAATCGGGAAAGCAAACAAAAGTAAGGTTTGAAGCGTACAGATTTTAGATGGAAAGGTATTGATGAAAGAAGTAGTAGGTGTTCGCTCACCCAAAAAAAAAAAAAAACTAATTAGGGCACGCACGCACACACACACACTCAATCATCGAGACGTGGTACCGGTACTGTCGGGAGTGAAAAAAGCAAGACTTAAAATCAATTAAATTACTTACTAAGAAGGAAAATATACAAACAAATGTATACTGTGAAACTCAATTTAACAAATGGATCATGAATGGAATGTGGACTATAATTTATTTTATTTGTTTATTTATTTTTTACATATTTATTGAAATCACTCAATGAGTGAACCAATTAAAAAAAAAAAAAAAAAATGAAAAAAAGAATGAATAAATTCTTCTGCCACACCAAATTAATAATTTTATAAGGATTGCCAAATTGGATACAGAATTAGTCGACAAGAGTAATGTACTGTGGATTTAATTATTATGCAGATATTGTTACATTTTGAGGCAAATAAACATACTACATACATACAAGCTCAATCCATCGGGATATTTTTTGCTGCTTTTCCGCTTGTGATAGAATAAATTTATTTATACCGCTATAGCTTGTACTGTTGTATGTATGTAGCATGTTTGTTTGCCTCAAAATGTAACAATATCTGCATAATAATTAAATAGTGTAAAAGAGACGAGGTACACCCAGTGGTGTGATTCAAATTTTTTGTCGGTTCCATCACAAAAGTCATATTTTTCAGCCGGTTCTGTTGTCAGATAATTTCCATTGACAGTAACCAGTAATGGTACCGTAACCGGTTCGCAGATCTCATAAAATTCCGTGGGGGGAGCTGACTCAGATGACCCTATGGTCTTATCGCTCCCCCCAGTCTATACCGAATTACTTTGTGTATATTGTATATATTTTTTATTGATTCAATGCTTGTATTCTGGTTGACGAAATCAATATCTCTCTCCAGCTTTCTCCGGTGAGTTGGTTTTATGGAACCGGTGCGAACAGGCTGAATCCCATCACTGGGTACGGTACCTGTACACCCCTAACAAGTGTAACATAAGTTTAGGACTGCTGCGTTATTAAATGAGTAATAAATCTATGTTTAGCAGTTATTTTGAATGAAAAACATGGTAGTAGTCGAATGATTCATACGCTCCACTGGAACATTCTTTTTTTCGCATTTTGAATTCTACACAAATTATGTCAGTATAACAAATCAGCTACTACTCTTACTAAAATTCTCTGTTCATGCTACTCTGTGTTAGGATAGGATTTGCATATTTATGCCGAGGGAAAGGAAAGTCGATGAGACGACTTAACAACATGGCGAACCACGGCCTCTCGTCCAGTTACCATTCCATGACGGGTATGGGATTACTTAGTTATTTGTTTTTGGAGACATTGACTTGATGGTGGAGGAAGCCGTAACAGGCCAGCGGTTAAATGAACCACCCAATGGTGGCGAGGAGTCCAGCAATCCTCTCGCACATAAAATCACCCAACGGCGGCGATGGGTCCAGCAATCCTCTCACACATAACTATTCCCCGCATGGAATTCGAACCTGTGAACTCTTGCAGAGTAATCAGGTGGCGAGCGCATTCCCAACGCTTAGCACAATGGGTCACATCGCCGCACGTGTGTTGTTTTTAAGATTGTATTGTACAAGCAGCTCGTTGACCGATGCAACATTGTAGGATAGTTGAATCAGCATCATCATACAGAAAATAGCCAAACTTGAATATTATCAACAATAGTTCTTGACTTTGGTTTAATTAAAAGCACTGAGATGGTTAGACTTTAATGACAGCTAGAACATTATGTATTAAATTAGAATATACAATATATGAGATAACATTTAAAAAAAACATTATTTTGTATTTAATATACCATGTTGAATATATCATGTTAGTTTCAAAACAGGTATATTTCAAAATCATCCTCTCAAACTGGTAAGGTAAAAGAATTCAATCACCACAAAATGAATCAGCAGCATCATGACAAATGTTCTCTGGATATTGAAACCATCAACAAAAAGGTGAAGTTTGAATGTGAAGTATGTGGAAAACAATACAGTAGCAAAGCCAGCAAAAATAAACACCTGAAATTTCATCTAAAGAAAAAATCTCATCAATGTAATGTCTGTGGAAAAAGCTTTATATTCAAATACTGCCTGGATAAACACATCGTTTCCCACGTCCATCCATAGGAGAAACAACATAAGTGTGAAATATGTGAAAAGCAATTTGCTTCCCCAAACAGCTTGAAGACACATGTACTCATTCATTCGGAGAACAGAAAGTATCACCCATGTGAAATATGTGGGAAAAAATTAACAACTAAAGGGTGTCTGAAAGATCACATAATGATTCATATTGATGTCAAATCGCATAAATGTGGAATATGCGAAAAGAAATTCACCTTCGGTGCTAGTTTGAAAGTGCACTTGAGAGTTCACTCGAAAGAAAAGCCGTATGCGTGTAAGATATGTGGAAAAACTTTTAGCTACAGCAGCAGCTGTAACAGTCATTTGAAAACACATACTGACCAGAAGGAATATAAATGCGAAATTTGTTCGAAAATGTTCAGTTGGAAAATAAGTCTTAAATTGCATATGCGTGACAAGAGGTATCAGTGTGAAATATGTGGAAAATACTTGAATGGAACTATAAGCTTGAAAGGCCATCAAGTTGTTCATAGTGCAGAAAGAAATTATAAATGTCCATTGTGTGACAAATCATTCAAGCGATCTTACGATGTGCAAATGCATTTACATGTGCACACTGGTTTGAGGAACAAAAATGAGTGCAAAATATGTTGGAAGAAATTTAGTGGCTCAAGTGCCGTGAAAAAACACATGATAACGCACACGAAAGAAAGAAATTTTAAATGTGAAGAGTGCCCAAAAACGTTCAAACATCCCGCAGCTGTGCGAGCTCATATGTGGATCCACACAGGCCCTAAAGTTCATAATTGTGAGATATGTGGAAAATCGTTCAGATCACCTTCAAGTTTAAAAAGGCATGTACATGTGCACAGTGTCTCTAAAAGCTTTGAATGCAAAGTATGTGCAAAAAGATTTAAGCATCCTTCAAGTCTGGATAGACATTCACTCCTTCATACTGGCGCAAAACAAAAGGAGTGAAAATAATATTAAAAAGATTTTTCTTATTCGGATATTTCGGGGCTCTATTCAAGCTTGCAACCTTTTTCTGTATAGCACTATTTGCGAACCATCAATCATTTCTTTCTATCAATAACAATAAGCTTTCTCTGTCCAGAGTGTTACTACTTGGCAATCCTGCATCAGATGTAAGAATTGTATACTTCGCTTGTAAATGAATACTTATATACGCATTTCAGCAGTAAAAATCATTCAATAGCATATCTATCGTTATCAAATTTATATCATTGAGTAAAATAATGGGCCTGGCAAGGATTCTGCAGCATTTTGAGTCTCTGTCACTTTTGGGAAGATTCAAATAGTGAGTCCTCTCAGAAGTGCATAAAGACGCAAAACATAATGACAAAGGCTTGATAATATGTTTTCAATAGAACTTTGTTTTTACTGTTCGCTCCCGATTAGATATGGTTTGGCAAATAAATTTTTCATTATTTTACTATGTAATTTAACATGAGCTTATCGGTTTTTTAGTTAATTTCTCTGAGTGTGTGTGATATAATTTAATGATTTTAGGTGAGTGAACACGTACTACTTCTTCTTCTTGATGGAGCGGAATAAGTGTTGCAGCCAGTGTTCCCTCTAAAGTGCGCGCACACAGCTTTCAGAGGCTGACAGACGTATTTCGATGTCATGTAACACGGTTCTCGGTTGGCAGGTTGAGAAAGTTTGTTGTTGGCCAACCCATTACCCGGTTAGAACGCCAAAATTTCTTCATTGGTTTTTGCACAAATATTAGTCATTTCCAAAAAAGTGCGCACACAACAAAATTTCTGAGCACACATACTACAAAAAATCAGAGGGAACATTGGTTGCAGCAACAGCTTATATACCAGATACGTTTTCAATTTGCAAAAATACCAATTAATACAACATAAATAATCATACATGTTTATAGCCATGATTGCGTTAGTATATTTGAGCGGTGATACTATTTATATTGTCGCAACCGCAGATTACATCTATCACAATAAAATTAATGAAGCAACACATTTCGTTTTGTGGAGATTTCGAGATGATGAATATGTATGTTTGATATATACTTTTAATGTATATTTATTGTCCTCAATTAAATTTTACTTTCTGGGATTTTTATAACGGCGTTAACAAATTCACATGTATCAAAACTAAAAATAGTCAGACAGTTTATCTCACGATATTATGTCCGCAGCAAACACCCATTTTTTTCAGCCTTAAAAACGGGCCTCGTTTTATTTACTACGTAGACTCATTTGCTGGAAGATTTTATTCAATCATTTTATTCTTATGCAGATTGTGGAGTAGAAATAAACTCATACTTATATAAGGCGAACACGTCCTACATGAGATGACGGGTGGTGCAAAAGACTCTGCAAGTGATTGTATTGGCGACATCTCGTTGACAAATTGTATGAGAATCAGAAATATATATATGTGATGGTTCCAACGCAGGAATATGAATAAAAATACTGTTATTTATAGAATGTATACATGCAACTCCACGTGTTGACTCGATGACATAGGAGTGCTGTGACAATACAAAATTTAATCGCATTCTCGACAAATTCCTTCCGCTAGTTCATAGGTTAACATCAAGGTAACTCAAGCCTCATTGTTTTTCACCTAGGCTTTTGTAACACTGTAAATATTCTTTATAAAATGTAACTTTTACGTCACACTTATATGGACCGCAAGTCCAGGTGGGCAAAATTTTTGGCCCCTGGTCCAAAAACCATGCACACCTCTGCTTTACATGAATGCGATAAACAATGTGTTTAGCCAAGTGAAATTCATATACATTTTTTCCCCATAAACATGACATAACATTCTTGAGTTCTTTTCGCACGATGTTTTCTGAGGGTGTCAGACACGTACCATTGCATATTATTTATTTATCTGATTTGCCAATGTAGCATGATTTCAGCCTGAATTGCATGTTCCAGATTGTATAAACTTATTTTCTGGAGGTACTGTATTCATGGCTAGCTGTAGACTTTCCACTACGTACCAGTATATATGTGCAAAACATGGAACATGGCGGGGAAAAATTATCAGGGCTTTTTCTATTTTCCTACTCCAGTACCGGTATTTTACAAGCTCGACCCAATCTCAGATAAAAAAAAAAACTCGAAACTCAGCGAGCATTTTTGCAACCAAACTGTGAAATATCAAAAGACAATATGCTGCAGGGATTGCAGAAAGCGTTATGCTGATTACTGGGGATTCACGCGGGAGTATATAGGATAGGATTTACATATTTATCCCAGGGGAGAGGAAAGCCGATAAGACGGCTTATCCATATGGCAAACCACGGCCTCTCGTCCGGTTACCATTCCAAGTCGGGTATGGGATTAGTTTTACTGTATTGTTTGTTTTCGGAAGCATGGACTTCGTGGTGGAGGAAGCCGTAACCGACCAGCGGTTACGTGAACCACCCAACGACGGCGAGGAGTCCAGCAATCCTCTCGCACATAACCATCCCTGCATGTGATTCGAACCTGCGAACCCACGCAGAGTAATTAGAGGTGCGGTGGCGAGCGTATTCCTAACGCTTAGCCCGTTGAGCCACACCGCCGCGCTGGGAAGAGTTGAATTAAATAAAGTAAATTTTGTGTGAAACATCCGGCGACAAAGGTCGCAATTCTGAAAAAGGGCATCTGCTGTCGGGACATTCAAAATTAAATTCAAGTGAAAGCTGAACGAATATTTCGGTCTCAAATTCCCCCATAATAGATGTTGGGAAAATATTGTATCTAAAATGAAATAAAATAATGACACTTCTCGTACTAGCATTATCACTATTTCGACATCCTCAATAAATGTGGAACAAAAATTTCAATAAGAACAATCATTAATTTAAGAATCCCCAAGTTTCATTATTCGAATTTCGAAACACTATCTAGGACAGTGGTTCTTAAACTGGGGGGCGCGAGAGGTCACAAGATGGAATCGAAAATTTCCATATGTCTCTCTATTTTACTTCATTTATGTTCAAGGTAGCTCGCGGTTGCGGCGACTCATGACAAAATAAACTCATAACAGATCTAAAATACCACATCAATTCGTTATTGTCGTTAAAAAGATTTGGTATAAAATCTCAGGAAGTATATATATTCAATTTAGTACAATGAAATTACATATAAAGTATATTAGTAAATCAGAAATACATATTCATCGTCTCATAACACCCGCGGTACGACTCCTGGTGATTATATAATACATAATAAAAAAAACTCGTTTTCCCCAAAGGTGTCATGGTTCCATGCAAGAACGCAAAAAGTAATTATCATGTCTTAGCGGCACAAAATATTTGTTGAGAGAAATTTTCGATTTAGGGAGATAAACACCGAAATAAAGATTTTTACGGCTTAAATAACACGTCACGCGGGCAAAAATACTAAGAGATTTAAACAAAATGCAATCGCAAACGTCATTAGGGACTTTATTTTTCAGCACTCTAGGGCCGGAAAACGTATACATACATAATTACAAATAAACGGCCTTTTTATGCTACAAATCTACATAAATTCATTTGCACTTCTCCATTGTGTAAACTGTAGTTTGACCTGGTGGTTGTCCATAGGTATTGGTAGTGAATTTTAGAGACGTTAGGTAAGCCAAGAAGTCTGTAATTGTTGTGAATTTTTAACACACAGTATTTATTTTTGCATTGCTCAATAGTGAAGTAAACGATTGAAATTTTACGTGTCGTAAACGTATATGCAGAAAATACCCTAAAGCGCAAAGAGCATACGTTTATTGCGTGTTTAATTTTACGTAAAACTTAAGTTGACTTCACCAGGCATTGCAAAATGAGCGGAAAAAAGAGAATGTATGATGACCAGTATGTTCGTATGGCTTTATGCATACGACAGTGAAAGGCGAAATTGTACCCCGATGCGTTTTATGCCTAAGCAATCTGAGCAATGGCGCTATGAGACCAACACTCTTGCAGCGCCATCTTATTATAAACTATAAAGCAACCTGCCCATTACAAAAGCATTTTTTCAATGCAAAAAAAAGGGGGGGGGGGGGGGGCGCGAATTTCATAAAATTTTTCAAAGGGGGGCGCGGCTCAAAAAGTTTAAGAACCACTGAGCTAGGAGGATAATTGGGACTACAGAAACTTGTACAATGAAACTATACGGACCGTCAAATAAGTATTGGTACGGTACCATTGTTGAAGCGTGAGTAGTTGGAATAAAAAAAAAATTTTGGACACGTTAGTGGACATAATCGTTTTGCATTTTAAGCTGGCACTCTTCTTCTTCCTGTTCTTATTTGTATTCTTCTTGTTATCTGTCATGAAAAAATCGCGTTTCCCATTGATTACTGGACCATTTGCTTTGAAATTTAGTGAGTAAAGATTATATTTTTTGCTAGAAAGCTATTGCTTTTATTTATTTCAAATATCCTGGTGAGCTGCATTGGATTCGTTTTCTGTGTGCTATGACGTCATCCAAATTCGCCACTGAGTGGCACCATGTGTCCATAGATTTCAAAGCCTATCTATAACCACTGTGAAGCTAGCGGCACTTTCAGCCAGAATATTTTTACACATTGAATATAGAGGTCTGAGCATAGCTCTTTTTTTATTTTCCATTTGGGATTGGGTCGAGCTTGTAAAGTGATAGTGAGTACTAGGATAGGAAAATGTTAGTCTTGATTATTTTTTTCCCTTGCGCCTTATTTTGTACCGGTAAAATACTGGTACCGTAAAACCGGCTACCGTAACTTCGGATGATTTCACTATATTTTGAACAATATCTCCGCCGCATGTTGTTCAACTGAAGCCAAATTTGGAATATAATACATTGTGGCTATTCTCGTCTTGATAAAGTCGGTTCCATATCCATCAAAGCCTTTTTTCATTGAAATTATTGTCTTTATTCGTCTATTCTAAAATTATCTAACTTCGGATGGCCACTTTTCTCTTTGCGTCAACTCGTCGTGAGAGAGAAATGTCTGCGTAAGCAATGACGCGTGACAACGTTGCTGAATAGACCTTACGCCGCCACGACCTGTCTTGCGTGTTGAATACTGACGTTTGTACGTGACGTTACTCTTGCCGCTTCGCGAAGCTTAACTATTTATTCTTGTGTCCTTTATTATAACTCGTATATATTTCACTAACTACTCCTAATTTATTGCAAAATGCTAGTTCGTTCTTTTATGATCGTTTATTTTCAATGCAAGAAAAGGATTAACAAAAAAAAAAAAACGGAAGAATTGAAAGTACCTAACACTGGTGTAGGTTGAAATTGAAATGCAATATGGAACAAGTAAAGAATGAACAAAAATTAGACAATTAAAAATAAACGGATGAATCGAATGAAAAACTGGCAAAAGTAAAAATTGAAATCAAAAAGCAATATGGAACAAGTTAAGGTATGAACAAAAATCCGACAGTTAAAAATAAACAGATGAATTGAAGGAAACGCTGGCAAAATCAAGAATTGTAATCATTTCCACATGGGTTAGACGGGTCTTTGCAACAGTTCTTGTGGAACCAATGTGTTTCGCTGCAGCTTTCGCAACCGACCCATTCATCCTCAATTTCCGTACTTCCATTTGGATCATTCCATAATCCACAAGCAGAGCAGGTTTCGATCGTAAACAGACATATCTAATCATTATGATCGTATAGATACATGTTTCAGGCCTAACGTATTACCAATTGCTACGGTATCTATCGGTGTCGGAGGAAGTATGCAAAAACAAAAATCGACAAATTTCATATGCATTAAGCGTATGCATACCCATATTTTTAAATAAACAACATATGACTGAGACGATAGTGATGTTTTTGTAGGATTTAGTGACTAGGATCATGGATAAGCATAATTTTTAAATTTCACAAAACTGGGCGCCGCGATGTCTGGCGTTCAAATGTCGCAGCGAGTAACGCACGAGCTACGCAAAGTGACGTCGGCTACGAAGAGAGAGAACGGGATTTACGTCGTTGACGTCACGCTGTACGTAATCATCAAAACGTCGATATTTTGATGTAATTTTTAAATCAAAATAATCGATTTCACTCGAATCTCGTACGACACCTTGTGATCACTGTATTTTTTTGTATACATTGTGTACGCTCTCTAGCGCTTGGCGGTGATTTGACGAAGGTAGCGTCTGTAGAAGTCACGATTTGAGCCGCTCGAAAAAACGGTGTCATTTTTTTGGTAAAATATGATTTTTTGAATGATAAAAAATCAAATAGAGCGATTGGAGGCTACGGCAGATTCAGATATGTAAGGCCTTACTATAGAAACCGACAGAAGCGCAATACGACGAAATTTAGTTGAGATATGAATGATTGAAAATTTCATCCGAAGTTACAAGGCATCCGAAGTTAGTCGGTTTTACGGTACGCAGTGGAAAGTCTGCAGCTTTCTTCTTTTTGTATCTGGGATTGGCTCGAGCTTGTTAAGTACCGGTACTAGGATAGAAATATTGGGTCTAGTATAGTTTAGTACCACAGGTACTTCCAGTGGGCGTAGCATAACGAATTTTGCATATGTTATTCCTAACTCCCGCCTGACTATGCCATCCAAAAATTACGTCACTACGATGTCACCATCACGTCATAGGTCTTGCCAAAGTATAATTACGATCGCCCAAAATGACATCTGCGCCGCTGATAACGAACTCGCTAAAGCCAGCGATCTCTCTCCTATCGTGATCGTTGTGACGAGAAAACAAGAGAGATAGCTTGCTCGATTTCGGGTGCTTGTCTGTGTGTTTTGGACGGCCATTCGCATACTTTGGTGGGCATTATTACGCCACTGTAACGTCGAAATGACGTAATTTTTAGGTGACGTAGTCAGGTGAGGGTGAGGATTGACATATGCAAAAATTGTTGAGCCAGGCCAACTAGAAGTGCATGTGGTACTAAACTATACCAGACCCGAAATATGTTAGGCTTAGTTACTTTTTTCCAATGCGCCATGTTTTGTACATAAATACTGGTACCGGTACGTAGTATAAAGTCTACAGCTACATGTAATTTATAGTACGGGTACTGTCGAATGCCACGGTAAATTTTTTTTTTCTTTTGATAAATCTGTTTCTTTTTTCCTGAGGAATTCAATGATGACGTTATTAGATTGCGCTTTTTGTAGTATTTTTCGCAACTTCATTATACTGTATTTTTACTTAAATTGAGGGAAAACAATGTCCAGACGTCTCCCAAAGGAGGGGGATCTGATCATCGGTAAAATGGGTTTCTCTGAAACGAGACAATGTCGCTCGATTTGTATAGTGTGCCAATATGGTATACTTTCCACTGAGCTAGTTTTGAAGACAGTACCGGTACCGTAAAGCATGATTTCACTATACTTCAATATGCTATACTATACTGCTATACTGTTTGTTGTTCAAAGTGTCAAATTTGGAATATATTACATTGATGTAATTCTCTGTGCAAGCATTTAAGTTTTTTGTCGATCTGATCATTTTTTCTTCACTACACCACTAAATATTTAACTTCGGATGGGGAATCACCTCCCTGCGTCACCGCAACTCTAGCAAAAAATTGCATGCGTGAAGACAAAACACGTAACTTTAGATCCGAATATTCACTGATCATAGTCGATAATGTTTTGACAGCGTTCATATATTCCACATCGTATATAGTCGCACGATAAATATTATTGAGCATGCATATGACCGGATTCTTTATTAAATTGACCTATCAAAATGTCAGTCGTGCATAAATCATGGAAAAACATTGATTTGGCAACTTTGATTTATATTACTTTAGTTAAATTCATTGAACGCAACTTATTTGCAACAATGATTCTTGCTATTTATCGCTGATTATATATTATTATATTTACGCAGAATTTCTTGACCGCTTACAACTTAAACCATGCTGCCGTTCCAAATGGAGGAGTTTGAATCGTCAAATCGAACGTAAATATTTTTCAATAATTGTCATTTACCGGTAATTAAATTACATTTCCAACATTTGACGCCATGAATTTAAGATCCACAGAAAACTGTTGATGTGTATATCTCAGCCGATATTGATCCAATGGAACAAAATATCGCAGTTTTTTTCAAATCTACGCCAACTCGTAGGCGCCCGAATGTCTGACGTCGTCTTAAAACTGAGCGACGTCAGGGTGACATCAGTTCAACGTGTGCGTTTAGAATCTAAACTTTAGATGCTATTAGTTTGATAAAAAAAAAATATTTGAATTTTAATTGTTTCTCCAGTCTCCTGCGACATCTTGCGATCAGTCTAATTTTCTATATACATTGATTGCCATCTATCGAATGACAGATTTCTTGACAAAGTTAGCATTGGTAGAAGTCTCGATTTGAGCCGCTCGAAAACGGAGTGTCAATTAATCAAAAAATAAATTAAACTGCGCGATTGAGTATGATAACAGATTGAGATATATAAGGACTCACTATAGAAACTGCTAAACGCACAATATAACGCTATTTAGTCGAGATACGAGCGATTGAAAATTTCATCCGAAGTTACAAGGCGTCTGAAGTTACCTGCTTTCACGGTACCTCACATTCTGGAATAGACAATGCAGGCTGATATCCCGCTAGATTGACCAATCAGATAGCCCGTTTTTGAGCTAGTTGCCCACGAGTTTGCATGCGAGCTATCACAGTCATTCTTTTTATATCTGGATAGCTACAGATGATTTCAGTATAAAAAAACGACTATTTCTTTCTCACTCTGCTTCAGCCAAAATCTACTCACAGTACTGGTACTATGATTTACTTGCCAGATTTCATAATTTCCATTGCACAATGTAGCAGTGTGATTTAGTCAGATTAACATTGCCAGTCAGAAATTATCCAAACCTGACTATAATCAATACCAATAGTTTTTGACTGGACTCTGATTTCAACTACAAGTAAAATAAGTGTGGACTGAGATGGTTTGATAGGTCCGAAATTTAATTTTGGCTAGAATACTATGTATTAGTTTAAAATATTATAAATTAATTGAGAACGCATTTCGAAAAAGAAAATAAATTATATTGGATATTCTGTATTTATATTATTTCAAATTAATGTCAAACCAGATATATTTCAATTTTTCAAAGAAACTGGTAAGAATAAAACAAAGCAAAAGCCAAAAATGAATCAGCAGCATCATGACAAATGTTCTCTGGATATTGAAACCATTAACAAAAAGATGAAGTTTGAATGCGAAGTATGCGGAAAACAATACTCCATCGAAGGCAACATGAAACGGCACCTCAGAAACCATTTTGCGAAGAAAACTCACGAATGTAATGTTTGTGGAAAAAGATATTTATTCAAATGTGAGTTGGATAAGCACATTGTTTGCCATGTCCATCCAAGGGAAAAACCACATAAATGTGAAATATGTGAGAAAGGATTTGCTTCTTCAAACAGCTTAAAGAAACATATACTCATTCATTCGGAGAACAGAAAGTACTACCCATGTGAAATATGTGGGAAAAAATTGACAGCTATGAGACATCTGAAAGATCACATGTTGAGTCATATTGGTGTCAAATTGTATAAATGTGAAATATGCGAAAAGAAATTGACTACTGCTGGTGGTTTAAAAGTGCATTTGAGAACTCATTCGAAAGAAAAGCCGTATGCATGTGAGACATGTGGAAAAAAGTTTAGTCGTGGCAGCAACCGCAACAGACATTCGAAAACACATACTGATCAGAGAGAATATAAATGTGAGATTTGTTTGAAAATTTTTAGTTGGAAAAGCAGTCTTAAATTGCATGTAGGAACCCACATTGGAGAAAAGAATTATCAATGTGAAATATGTGGAAAATATTTGACTGGAACACATAATTTGAAATGCCACCAAGTTGTTCATAGTGCAGAAAGGAATCATAATTGTTCATTGTGTAACAAATCATTTAAGCGAGCTTACGATCTGCATAAACATTTGCGTGTGCACACTGGTTCGAGGAACATTGAATGCAAAATATGCGGAAAGAAATTTAGCAACTCATATAACATGAAAAGGCACATGTTAATTCATACAGCGAAGGAAAGAAATTTTAAATGCGAAGTGTGCGCAAAAACGTTCAAACAACCCTACCATGTGCAAAATCATATGTCAATCCACACTGAACTAAAAGTTCATAAATGTGAAAAGTGTACAAAATCGTTTAGAACAATTTCAAGTTTAAAAAAGCATGTGCATGTGCACAGCATCTCCAAAAGCTTTAAATGTGAAGTGTGTGCAAAAAGATATAAGCACTCTGCGAGTCTATATAGACATTCACTCCTTCATACTGACATGAAATGAATAAAAACATATTATTACAATGTGGTTTATAATTAAGACTTGTATTATTGTGTATGTAAATTTCTACTTCTTTCATTATGATTGATCACGACAAGTGAAAGGCCCGTTGTCTGTATTGTCCGATGTGTGACGAGAAGAAGGCTCTGTGTGTTTTATGTGTTACTATTTTTCATTTCGACCGTGTATTTGATTTAAGATTTAAGTGCGTATTTTCAATTTATCTGTTTTTGGATTCGATTGTACATTTCTGCGATGCGAACAATTTGGCATAACAAAACTTTGTGTGCTTATTGACCTCTGAGGAGTCAGATCGAGGTTTCACTCCGCTAATACGTCATTTGGAAAGGATACGAAGATAGAGAAGGACACTCTCCACTATATGTGTACCAGGTTAGGACTTGTCCCCCAACTCGTAAAAGAGCTAAAATAAGAAAAATTGGATTAAAATTATGGCCACATACTTTGGGAGTACCCGGCGAATTTTTATGAAAACAATCCGTGATTTTAGCAAAATGCAATTGCACGCATTATTAGCGTATTTTTCAGTCTCCCAAAAAACCAGAACTTTATACGCTGAAAGTGAATTTTGTGCAAGGTATAGAAAATGCAACTGCCTTCAATTCACAGAGCAGTTGCATATTAAAGGGGTATCAACGGGAGCGTGCCTAACTTTTCTGCTGTTCAGAGCGAATTTCTGATAATGGTGCCTGGCCGTGCCTCTAAATCGATTCAGGGGATAAACAGATTATAATTGTTGCTATATATGAGAATGGATAAATCAAAGGTCAAGTTGGAGTAAAATGTTCGTATTCTCAATTAAATCACCAAACAAACCAGCAAACTGACACGTATATCCAACTGCCTCTATGCCCCCACTTGGTATCAAATACCAACCCATATACATGCAACATTGATTATAACAACGTAAATTGCAACAAGAGCAAGACTGCTTGTCAGGACAGGTCTTGTTTTTAGTTGGCATAGTTCATAAAAGACGCCTCGGGATTCAATTTAGAAACTAGAGCTGCGTGCAGCTTTAACAGGCTTCCCGCGTAAAAAAGCTGAAGATGCGTTTTGCTCACTGGAGCGTGAAAGCGTGATCAGTCATGCATAAAATTTGCAGTTTACGATGAAAGACTTATTATCTGCATGTGATGTAAATTTCAAGTCTCTTAGTAGTGTCGTTCTCGAGAAGAAGATGAAATTGTAAAATCCTATTTTGCTCACTGGAGCGTATCGCCGAGGTCACTCATGCGTATCCTTGATATGTCGTATCCGGAACATGTCCATTAATCATTGTTATGAATTTCAACCCAATAGCATGTATCAATTTTGAGAAATCGCAAAAAAACTGAAAACGCGTTTTGTTCACTGGAGCGTGAAAGCTTGGTCAGTCATGCATAAAATTTGCAATTTATGATGGGGGACTTATTATCTGCATGTGATGTAAATTTCAAGTCTCTAAGTAGTGTCGTTCTCGAGAAGAAGATGAAAATGTAAAATCCTATATTGCTCACTGGAGCGTATCGCCGAGGTCACTCATGCGTATCCTTGATATGTCGTATCCGGAACATGTCCAAAAATCATTGTTATGAATTGCAACCCAATCCCATGTATCAATTTTGAGAAATCGCAAAAAAACTGAAAACGCGTTTTGCTCACTGGAGCGTGAAAGCGTGGTCAGTCATGCATAAAATTTGCATTTTATTGCTAGATGAGAACTTCTGCACATTTGAGGTGAATTTCAAGTTTGTAGGACCAATTTGAAAAAAAAATAATAAAAATAAATAATAATAATAATAAATAAAAAATAATAATAATAATAAAACACAGGAATACAATAGGTTCCCTGCTGACAAGCAGCGGGAAGCCTAATGATCATTATGGTGTAACCCAAATTCGTACACAAGAAAAACCCTATTAGGCCGCGAGCCAAGGCTATTTATCTTTCAGTTTCGTAGCGCACATAAGGTAACTACCTGAAAATGATTTTAAAATGTTTCTTAGAAATTAAGTAACAAATATTGCCTTGTTCCCACTTCCAAAAGTTGCACGTTTTACAGAAAAGACGCTTTTACTACAATAAATATGTGTTACCATTTGTCCTAATTTCTCTGCTTTTCCGGTATCATGGGCCAATGAACCCAGGTTTCTGCATGACGTACTACAATAAATATGTGTTACCATCTGTCCTATTTTCTCTGCTTTTCCGGTATCATGAGCCAATGAACCCAGGTTTCTGCATGACGTAACAATCAAATTAGTCAGCTGTGGTCGGATGAATATCAGATGTACTACTACTGCTCGCTTTTGCGTTGAGTAGCCTTTCCATAGTTTTTTTCTGTTATAATTACGTCAGTTATTCTAAGGAGGTGTTGAAAAGTATAGGTAAGATATTAAACACTTGTATACCCTTACCATAAATAGCAATTTTAGTTGAGCACTAGCTCATAAGACGTTGTTAAATAGGTACGGTGCGGTAACTCCAAGGAAAGCTAGACCTAGAATAATATGTCACAAACAACGATATTTTCTGGCTTGCATGAAATGTTCGTGATTAATTTAATGACTCTTCTTGACTATTCAGCAGACTGATACTACTATAAAGGCCACAGCATATTTGGAAATGGAAATTAATGGCTGTTTCTGTAATGCACGGTTGTGTGAAAGAGAAGAAAATAATCAATTTTACTAATGTCGGTTGGTCTAAATCTAAATTCATAGAGTCGACAAGAACCTGGGAAGCAATGATAAGTTATGCCGGAGTGGAAAGTAAAGTAGCATTGGAAACGATGGAGAGGTGAGAAATCAATATTCGCTATTTGATTGAGTTACAATATTTATAAGTTACAACCAAAATACATAAAGTGTGATGGATTGAAGATCATCAGACATCATTACAATTCAGCAATATGGCAACAGCAATGACATATGCTGATACTTTACGACAACAAGATATAAAGGACCGAAATACTGTTAATCGTTCAAGACGTATGTTTCTCAGATTCGAAAGCACACCAAGAAGAGAAGACATATAGGAATTATTTGAAAAACTTCAAATACCCTTCACCAAATTAGAAGGTTTTGTCCAATATCAAATGCTAGTGTAGATGTGACATTCAAAAGCAGAGAATTTGCAGTTCAAGTTGATGCAATACTATGGAAAATCAAAAGAGAAGGTTCATTAGAATTACATTTCATCGTCTTTATGTAGTTGGAAAAAGTGCAGTGTTTATTAATTGGGTACCCATTCCAATAGACAATGACGAAGTTCTGAATTATTTCAGAGAGTTCCATGGAAGTGCAGAAGATATGGTTGAGTTACTTGATAAAAAGAGTCTAAAGAATGGAATTCGTCGTTTTTTTGTGAAAAAGGAAAATTTAAATCAGTATCCTATCAAAAGCTTTGTAAAAATAAAAGGTCATACGATGTTGGGTAAATATTGGGGACAAACTCCGACATGTAGACTATGTGGCAAAGAAAGTCATATAATGCAACACTGCCAACTGTTTATCCCAAGAGGTCAAAGAAATCAAATTGAAACAAGACGAACATCTAGAGAACGATTGGAAAGAACAAAAGAAATGTCGAATCAAACCAAAGTAGTACAAAACTGTGATAAAGAGGGTGAAGAGGAAATTAGAGAAAATGAACAAACAGAGGTGAACAAAAATGCTACTATACAAAATGTCGGTGATGAAAATGAAAAATTGCAGCAAAATAAAGAAGAAGCCATGGAAACTAGTGAAGATTTGATACCTATTGTTCGTAATGAATGTGATGAAAGACATGAAGTAAAAGGATCACAAGCAAGCACTCCTGAATGTATAAATAGAGAAAAGAGAAATGTGGGAGAAAACCAGCTGACCACTGTTGAAGAAAATGATTCGAAAAAATTTGAAAATTTCTTTGGAAATCTTTCTGACATAAGCTCTGCTAATGATGAAAATGAAGAAAAAAGTATAAATTCAAGTTCCAGTAGTGAAAAAAATGATGAAACTGTTCTTTATGGATTAAACAATGATGGGGAAGTTATTGCTGTCACAGAGTGTACTAGTAACACCTCAGATAACTCAAGTGAAACTCAGGAAACAAATAGAGCCAATTTAGAATTGAAAAATGATAGAAAAATTGCAAGAAAAAGGAAAACCAAGAAAATGAAAGCAAATGCCAATATCGAAACAAAGCAACATACAGACAAAGATGGAAACATGCAGGACAATTCAAAAAAGAAAGATGTGGAATAGGAAAATGAGTTTATCGAAAAGAAAAATTCAGATCAACACTATTCGTTAATATAATGACATTAAATGCAAATGATATAAGGAATGAAGAAAAAAGAGGTGAACTATTTTTAGAACTATCTTATTAAAAAGTAGATATAATATTCTTACAGGAGACTCATAGCACTCCAGATTTGGAAATGAAATGGGCAAGAGAATGGGAATGGCGCAAAAGCATATGGAATTCTGGACTTTCAAACTCTAAAGGAGTTGGTATTTTGATAAAAGATAAATTAAAGAACTTTTCGTTTAAAAACATTTGTTGGGACAATGACGGCAGAATTATTTCTGCCGATATAGATATATATGGAGAAATGCTACATTTAATCAATATATATGCACCATGCAGAGGCAGTACTAAATTTCAAAAAATCCAAGACAATTTTTTCGATAATTTGCATAATTTTTTATTTACAAATCATGTTACGGTTTTTGGGGGAGACACTAATTGTGTGCACAATGTAATAATAGATAGGGGTATATCTACAGGAGATATGTATGATGAAAAATATGTCTCAAAGAATTTGAATGATTTGATCGCATTCTATAATCTAGTAGACTCTTACCAACGTTTACAAGGCCAAAAACAAATTTTCACATGGAGAAATAATAACACCAAGGCAAGACTTGATAGATTATATTGTTCAGCTGGAAGTTTAATTAGTGAAGCAAAAAGTATAGCAACAGTACACCCAGATCATGACATGTATGTAATAAAAGTACAGTTGAAAGCAAATGAGGTAGAAAGAGGAAAGGGATTTTGGAAAAATAATGTAACTGTTTATGCCGATGAAAATTTTCTAGATGAATTGAAAAGTAGATGGGCACAATGGAAAACATTGCAAATTCTGTTTGAAACAAAAATTGAGTGGTGGAGTAGAATCAAAGAAAAACCTAAAGAACTGGTCATAAAACATTCTGTGAGACTTGCAAGGGAAAATAGGAGGGCAGAAGAAGAAGAAAACAAACAACTCGAAGAAATCAAAAGACAGCTTGATGAAGGAAAAAAAACTAATCACTAAATTTAAAGAAGTGAAACAAAAAATAGCAGCAAAAAGCAGAAAGAAAAGGAGGAAAATGCTGATAAAGAACCAATCAAATGAATTTGATAAAAGAGAAAAATGCAATAGATTGTTCTTTGAAAAGTTAAAGAATCGACATAATGATAATGTAATTGAAAGTCTAAAACAGAATGATGGGACAAAATGTAAAGAAATAGAAAAAAAGTTGGATATCTCTAGACAATTTTATGAAAAACTATATAAGAAAAATGAAAACATTACTGAAGTTCAGAGG